GACTATACAAGTTAATGAGGAACGCGGCATTTGTACCTATTGATAGACCAACCTTTCATCGATGACAAACCCTCCACGCTCACCACACTGGATTCCAATGTCTCCACCCAGCTCATCTCGGGGTTGAACTCCGATCTAAACACCAGTCAGCACATCAATCACTAGAAGAGATCCAAGAAACAACATACCGCAAAGCAAATACAACAACAATCAATCCTCTCACCATCCTCAAAAGTGATCCCAATCACATTATTCCCCTCGTCGGTGTGAACAATCTTAACTTGCTTTTGGTGGAGAACATCAAGTCCCAACTCCCGGATCTTGCGAGTGACTAACATCCCCGCATCTCCATCTAGCTGTCGCGCCAGCACCCATTTATTCCGATCAATCAATTTGACATTTCCGAAGTCCTCCAGATCTGTCATTGCCTTCGCAGCCTCCAAGCCTAGTAGTCCACCGCCGACTGTAACAGCGGTTGCGCCTTTATGCTGAGCTGCGAAATCGATGAGGCGTTCTAGGTCTGAAATAGTTCTATATACGAAGACGCCATTGGCATCGTAGCCGGGCGTGTGTGTTGGGAGGGTGGCATCAGAACCTGTTGCGAGGATGAGTATGTCATAGGATAATGTGACACCTGTGGAGGTTTGGACTGTTTTCTCCGTGGGGTTGATTGCGGTTACTCGTGTGTTGAGGTGATGATCGAAGCCTCGCTCTTTAAAGGAGTCATACTAATAAGCGTCGTTTGTTAGATTGTATGTTTCTTCGCTCTTGAATAATTCGGGGCTCACCCATTCCGCTGGATTGAGGTATAGATCCTCAATCTTGCGATGTTCGAAAAATGACGATAGTCCGACGCGGTTGTATGCTACGTGAGACTCTTCACCAATGACAACGATGTCGTATTTTCGATCTGTGTCCTGCTTGATAATCTTCTCGCTGTTTGCTCAATGTTGTTAGAAGAATTTTCATTCTCATGTCTGCTTTTGAAATCCCTTACATAAGTGAAATAGCCACCATTCCCAGTCCAACTACTACAATCTTCTGGCGCTGGTTATTGCTCGCAGGAATGGGACTGCCATCTACTGGCTCGCCATATCGTAGTCCATCAAGCACAGGCATGACTGAGACTAGACAGTGTGAAAAGAGTATACCACAAACACTGGCAACTACGGAATACGGCTATCATTCTAATTTTAAGAAAACCAAATCCCTCGTTCCACCAGGTCTGATACTACAATGTGATCTGTGACACTACAGGGTGAGTCGTACGAATCAACAACTCGAGGCTAATCAGACCACGAACCCGGAAGATACAGGACCGGCTCATTTCTTCGTGGGATAGTTGTTCTAATCTCCGCGGAGATGCTGTTTTTATGTTGGTTGTGATTGGCTGTTAGGGTTTCAGTCTTATCTTGACGTCTAGAGATAAGAATGAACGAGATGACTTGGCGTTATGAAATTCCGATCTTATGAAATATGAAATGTGGAGGAATGGGAATGTGGATTGGAAGGGGCTTTGGGACCCGCGGAGATCTTAAAAGTCCTGTGCTGGTGCTGATATTGAGAATGACTGGTCTGAGGGTTTTAGGCATGCATGTGCTGTTGTTCCCAGTAAAATGTGGATATTTGCACATTAAGACTGTTTCGATTTATTCTATCTAGCTTTTACCAAGTTATTTTTCTTATTTTGGAAGCAATTTCGACTGTGGTTATTATATACCAACAGTTTATTAGCACAAAGCAGCGTAGGAGCCTCACGTCAATACAATCATGGCCAGCATCACCACGCAAACGATAACAGAATCCGAGACAATCTCTTTCAAAAATGGTCAGGTCACAGTGGAGAACATCATTCCAAGTCCAGGAGAGCCTAACATCCCACTCCCACCACTGTCAAAGAAGCCCGTCGACATCTTGGATGTGGATAAAGGTACCCCAGATAACCATGTACCTCGCGATCCACGATTGATTCGGTTGACGGGAGTTCATCCGTTCAATGTGGAGCCCCCATTGACAGCATTGTATAAAGAAGGTAACCATTCCCATTTGTTATCTGTTATACTGAAGCCCACAAGCTAAGCCAATATGTAAGGCTTTCTCACGTCGCCGGAACTGTTCTATGTCCGGAACCATGGGCCAGTGCCCCAGGTCCGCGATGAGGACATCCCGGATTGGGAAATTAGTATAGAAGGGTTAGTGTTATTGAAATTATGCTTGCAGACTTCGGATCTCAAGGAACTGATTGATGAGCTAGGCTGGTTGAGAAGCCATTAGTATTGAACTTCCGCGAAGTGCTCCAAAAATACGACCAGATCACCGCACCGATTACACTCGTCTGTGCAGGCAACAGACGCAAAGAACAGAACACAGTCCGGAAGTCGAAAGGCTTCTCATGGGGCGCGGCTGGTTTATCGACAGCGCTATTCACGGGACCTATGATGGCGGATATTCTGGGTAGTGCGAAGCCACTTCGACGTGCAAAGTATGTCTGTATGGAAGGTGCTGATAGACTGGTGAGACTTCCCTATATAAAGACTTGAAGGTGCTAGGAACTCTCGAGTCAAGACTGACACGTCCCATAGCCGAATGGATTTTACGGAACTTCAGTCAAACTGAACTGGGCCATGGATCCAAATCGAGGAATAATGCTGGCTCATAAGATGAATGGAGAAGACCTTCGACCAGACCACGGCCGCCCCTTAAGGGCTGTGGTGCCCGGCCAAATCGGAGGTCGGAGCGTGAAGTGGCTGAAGAAGTTGATTCTGACTGATGCCCCAAGTGACAACTGGTATCATATCAACGATAACCGAGTGCTTCCGTAAGTATCACGTTAAAAAATATTGTATTGACTTGTGTTAACAGTGCCAGAACAATGGTGACACCGGAGATGTCCTCCCTGGATCGCAAGTGGTGGACCGATGAGCGATATGCCATTTATGAACTCAACGTGAATGCGGTGGCTGTGTATCCACAACACGAGGAAGAGATTGATTTATCGACAGCTGGACCCACGTATACAGTCAAAGGATATGCATATGCTGGGGGTGGCCGGAGGATAACAAAAGTCGAGGTTTCTCTAGATAGAGGCAAATGTATTTACACCCCGGACCTAAGGATGGAACATGGCTAACTTCTCTGATCCGATAGCATGGCGCCTTTCCGAGATCGAATATGCAGAAGACAAATATCGCGAGTTTGAAGGTGACCTGTTTGGCGGCAAGGTAGACATGTGGTGGAGAGAAGCATCTTTCTGCTGGTCTTTCTGGTCGTTGGAAGTCCCAGTAGCGGACCTAGAGGCCAGCGATGCAATCCTAGTCCGTGCAGTGGATGAGGCATTAAGCGCTATGCCGCGTGACATGTACTGGTCTGTCTTGGGCATGATGAATAACCCTTGGTTCAGAGTGGCAATCACGAAACAAGGAAACACGTTGAAATTTGAGCATCCCACACATCCGGCCAAAGCCGGAGGGTGGATGGAAAGAGTCAAGAAGACTGGTGGTGACTTGCTCAATGGTAACTGGGGTGAAAGGGTTGAAGGCGAGGAGCCCGTCGAACCGGAGCTTGTGAAGGAAATAAACATGAAGAAAGATGGGGTGAACAGACAAATCGACTTCCAAGAATTGAAGGCTAATAGTAGCAGCGAGAAGCCCTGGTTTGTTGTTAATGGCGAAGTGTATGATGGTACAGGCTTCCTCGAAGGACATCCCGGAGGAGCGATCAGCATCACATCTTCTGCTGGTTTGGATGTATCAGAGGACTTCCTTGCAATCCGTGAGTCGCAATTCCAATACCATCGGATTACTGCTCTGTTAACTTTCTCCCAGACAGTGAAACTGCCAAGGCAATGATGCCGGATTATCATATTGGCACATTAGACAAGGCATCTCTCGAGGCGCTGAAGAGCGATTCAGCCGCGGAATCTGATGAGCCACGCGCAGTATTCCTTCAATCGCGAACATGGACAAAAGCCACCCTCACGGAGAAAAGGGATGTATCCTGGGATACACGAATATTCGTATTCGACCTGGAACACCAGAAACAGACTCTCGGCCTACCAATCGGCCAGCATCTGATGATCAAAATCCTGGATCCATCCAATAACGAAGCCATCATCAGATCCTATACGCCCATGTCAGACACAAACCTTGTAGGCAAGATGGAGTTACTCGTGAAAGTCTACTTCCCAACAGAAACTATTCCAGGAGGAAAAATGACTATGGCTCTCGACACAATTCCCGTAGGCTCAGAGATCGACTGCAAGGGTCCGACAGGCCGGTTTGAATATCTCGGTAATGGCCGGGTTTCGATCAGCGGCAAAGAGCGCCAGCTCCGCTCGTTCAAGATGATCTGTGGAGGAACGGGCATCACACCAGTCTTCCAGGTTTTGCGGGCTGTTATGCAAGACACGCAAGATTCCACAACGTGTGTTGTACTAGACGGAAACAGACAGGAGGAAGATATCTTATGTCGTTCCGACCTTGATGCTTATGTGGAGATCGATTCTCGAAAATGCACTGTCGTGCATACGTTGACCAAAGGATCTGATACCTGGGCTGGCCGTCGGGGTCGTATTTCTGAGGCACTTCTCGCAGAGTATGCGGCTCCAGAAGAGCAGAGTATGGTCCTGGTCTGTGGACCCGGACCGATGGAGAAGTCTGCTCGCAAAATTCTTCTTGCCCAAGGTTGGGCCGAGTCGGATCTTCACTTCTTCTAAGTTTAGTGCGAGTTCGATCTATTTTGCACATTAGAGCATGCAACTTTGCCGAAATTGAGTTACACAATAATAAGGGAAACGAGGCAGATAACACGCGAGCCGGAAGGGTATAGAGACAATGGGCTTTCATTTACATAGAAACGAGGTGAATTCTGAAGGTATTTCGTCAATCATAAATCGTAACATGTTCAAGCAGTATGGATAAAACATAGTGATAATGATTCCAGCTTAGAGCCAGTAGGCTGCCCTTTACACATTCTGAATGTGTAGTAACTGCTTCCCTCGATCAATAGTAGTTCTTGACGTCTAGTCTCACCCGTAGATGCTCAAAGACACTGGTTGGGTCTATCCGCGAATAGAAGAATTCCCCTGATTTGGCCATTGATTTCGAAGTGGCCTTTCCAGACTCGAGGCTGCGAAGGTAGTTGACAAAGGCGGAGGTCTGTTTTCTAAAAGACTGATATAGGTGAAGAACAGCTCCTTCACTTTCGTTGCGCATCCCGATTCCATCTGCTCTTGACAGAAGGCTGAAGGAGAGGATAGTGCCGAAAATGGATTCAAGCAGTTTGGCTGCATGCGCATGGCGCTTGCTGAGGAATAACGCGAAGAGCATCTGGTCAAGGATGTCTTCATGATAATCGCGGAGTCGTGGTACTGAGTGTGCCGCTTCAATCGTACCGTCGATGTCACCACGGTTGAGGCAGTGCTCGATCTTGGTAAGTGTGTCTTGGAAGCGCTGCCAGATGGATCCAATACCAATGTGGAAGCAGTAATCACTGACTGCTAGGACAAAGTGCTGGGCATCCACTCTGAACTTCGAGTATACATCGCGTATGTCTTCTGATAGAGATTCTCGAGCAGTAGAATCCCGGATAAGTCCCTTGACGGCAGAAACCATGCGGATTAACCGAAGCAAATGCTTGAAGAGACGATCATACTTATTCAAAGAGCGAGCAGTAATGAGTGATTCAAGCACTTCTGGTGGCGTGTACTGCAGACGAAGGAAGTCCAAAGCCTCTATTGCGTTGGGGTTTTTACATCGTTCGATTTCTTCGTCTGTCAATTCGCGAATCCCGAAGCTCAGGCCGCCAGGCAACTCATTGTCCTTTTGAATGTGGGTTTTGTCGTCATCCTCTGCGTTTGCACTACCAAAGTAACAATCTCCCAGCACACCAATCAACACGAGTCGCAACTCTGAACTAGCTGGTGGCCACGTGTCACGACTGCCGAGGCGTAAACCAGTGTCAACACCACTGCGCACTTTCCCAGCCTTCCGTTCTCCACTTTCCATTTCCGGGTCGAATAGGGAATGAGAAAGGCGGGCGACAAACGAGCCCTCTCCCAACAACTGGAAACGCCATTGCATGTTCAGATGATGGCGAATTCGATGCTCTTTGAAGAGAAGGTGCAGGCAGGAGTAGTCGATGAGGAGTGCCTGTGACGAAAGAATGGGCGCAAGAGATAGATGGAGGCCATAAGTTAGTTCAGGACCCAGATAGCTTTCTTCATTGGTGTTTTCAGTTTCAAATCCCCGAGCTTTATCGAGCAGTTCCTTAAAATCATCTTTTGAAAGAGCCTTGTGATTTGTGACCGGCCCTGAAGCATTCTTGTCATCATCTATATCGAAGAGCTCAAAGGCTACGGTTGTAACTTCCGTTTCGGGATTTTGATCAACACGATGGGTTATCACCGTCGATAGTGCATCCTGCAAGCCTGCATTGCCCTTATGATATTTCTTGATTTCAGCGCGGAGTTTCCACTCGTATTCCTGGGCTTTCATTTGAATTTTCTCAATATCAGCCCAAGTAGTCGCACAATGCAAATGAAGACCACCAGCTCGCAATAGCACATCACGCTGTGCGAGGGGATGATGAGGATGGGATCGTTTCAATAGTTGAAGACTCCGTCCACTTTCAAAGACGGAAAGGGCTTGGTCAGCCGGGATGAAAGAAGGCATGTGGTCCGCTTGGTAGATATGGTCAATTCGCGCTGGTCCAGTCTTGAACTTGACAGTGTCATGAGTTTCCAATCGAACAAAAGTTTTGCCACTTGCCATGGATTCTTTGAGAGCTGCGTCTTCGGGTCTAAGCCCAATCCAAGTCTCGATGAATTTGAACCATGGCCGAGTAACTCGAATCACAATCTCATGCACAAGATTATCCATCCAGCCAAACTTTTGGGCGAAAAACGCTGCACGTTCTGTGACGATTGACATGATCTGTGCGTCTGAGACAGCCGTATGAGCAGCACCAACAATAGCTGACAGGGCACCTATTAAGTCCCCACAGCGGTGAAATAGTGCCTTGATCTGTAGGAGTGAGGCGATATTTTTTGAATGATCAGAGATTTGTTGTTCAAGATTGAAGATTATGACCGCAATTGTGCTGCTCAATGTGAAAAAAGCAGAAAGTTCTCTGCATTTGGCTGGCGGGTCTTGCGCAAACATACGCATGCGTTGCATGTTGGTACCGCATTGTACCACATATTCAATCACATTTTCCAATGCCAATGAGCTGTAACCAGAGACCCGGATATCCTTCAAATCTCTTTCAAATTGCTTGGTGCGTTGATCGTAATGAAAAAGTGCAGAGTTCCAGCCAAGCCCGAGACGAAGCAATGATCGAATGAACACATCTGTTCGAACCATTCGGGTTGGTACACCATCTCTTTTTGTATTGTTTTGTTGTTCTAAAACTGCGTCAAACCCTTTTGCCTCAGATTCACTAAAGTAGACAGACACAGGCTCTTGGAAAGACTTGTGTTGATACCTCTCCCATGATTTCTGCGGAGGTATTTGACTCTGGTCTTCCTGAAGCAAGTCTAAGGACCATATATTGTTTTCATTGCCTGAGATGTCTCTTGGAGAATCAGATGTAGCGTCAGACTCGCTGTCTATGGAGGGATTAATTATGGAGTCGGTAAATGATTCGGGCTTTTCCAGGCTGGTTGGGAAAAGATCCAGCCTCCATACAGGGTCGATCTTATCAGTGGGCGGTGGAAAAATCTCAAAGCAAGCTGTAGCATCATCTATAAGAAAATTATGTTATTGAGGGCTCTAGGGAATATGTGGTTATGTGGTTAACACTTACCACTTAGAGTAGTGTTCCACGGTAACGATTCCAATGGCTGTAGAGCTTCTATGCTGAAATTGGAGAGTCTCCAGAGGCTTTCACTGGAGAAAGGATCTAGCTCATCACAATCCATAGTGAGACCATGCTCAGATGAGGATGTTTGACGCGTGAAAGTTCCCAGGGTGGTCCCGCGACGGAGATGGCTATCGCCGTGCACAGACCCTTGATAACAGAAAGTGCCCTCGCCTTGCTCGAAGCTCATCACCTCCCCTCCTGCTCCAATTCAATTCCTACTTACTGTGGTTCTCGCATATTTCACCTAAGCTACAATGCCTCCAAAAAAGAAGACCAAGCGCGCACACTCGCCCACACCCCAAGACGATACCATGGCAGAGTCGAGTGCAAACACCCCGTCAAGCGACAGCGCCGACAAGCCGGACACGGACTACAATCTCATCACAGATCCCTGGACAGATGAGCAAGAAACTGCGCTCCTCAAAGCGATCATAAAATGGAAGCCAGTCGGTAAGTTCAATGCCCACCTGTGTTGAGTCAACAACGCAGCTAACCGTCTGGCCCCATAGGCCTACACAAACACTTTCGGATGCTCGCCATCTCGGATTACTTAAAGAGTCAAGGATATGCACCTTCCACGGCGGAGCATATGCGCATTCCAGGGATATGGAAGAAACTAGGCTCATTATATAATTTGGAAGCTCTTGACGAGCGGGTAAGCAATGATGGATGTTTTGTCCGTGTTAGTTCATATTACTGAGTATCGATACGATTGCAGGAAGACTCCGTAATCACTGATGTCAACGAAGATGAAGAAGGATCGAGCGAGATGTATTGCACATTTGAGCTCCCGTATGACGAGTACGGCGATATGATGTTTGACAGGCGTCTTGCGATGGAAGAATCGTTGTCGCCTGTCACTAGTCGTGCCAGTCGTGCAGGCGGATCACGGCGAGGAAGTACAGTTGCGGATACAGACGGTAAGGAGTGATGTTATTTACAGGCTAGTCTACAACCCATAAACTGACATCTTGCCCACCACAGAACCACGGTCTTCTCCTGCTCCGTCTCGAGGTCGCAAATCCCGTCCCTCCACGCGTGGAACGCGGTCAACTCGGCTCCAGGTGGAAATAGGCCCAGGAAGTCAAGGTAAAGTGTCAGACGAAGGGGGCGATTCGGCTGAAGACACTGGTGCGAATGATGAGGATGACGAGGAAGGCGAGGAGGGTTCTGAGGGTAATAGTGACGAAGATGAGGGCGAGGGCGAAAAAGGTGGTTCGCGGAGCACCCGGGCACAGACATCTCGATCCAAAGCCAAAGACAAGAGGCCTTCGACTAGCACGGGGACGCGCAGGACTGCCCGACGGCGCTGACATAGTCGAGTTTTCGATATAGGGGGTTGAACTTTGATACCTACGGAGTCTGGGGGACGGCGTTCTCTTTTATTTTAGTGATGTGTATGACTATGCAGGCATCTTGTACTCTATTGCTACAGTAGCAGACCAATCAATGTACGATACAGATCTACCAAGATATAACTCAAGTAAGTTCCGGGTTGTTTGAGAATCAGGCGCCTCCAGGTAACCAAAAATAGGTATATTTCGATCGCTATAGGTCTAATGTCGTTCGAAGGGTACAAAGGGAATAGATCAAGGGGTCAGGGGGTCATAGTACAAGGAGTCTTAGTGGCGCTTGCTTTACAGGCGCTTGATGATAGCCCCAGCGTACTCGTGAGTCTTGGCCTTGCCGCCAAGATCACCAGTGAGAGTCTAAAGGTCATGGGGTCAGTAATGCGCGGTAACTATGGGAAGATATATAAAAACTCACCTTGCCCTCAGCGAGAGTGTCGAAGATAGCCTTCTGGATGCGGGCAGCGTGGTCGTGGAGACCCATGTGCTGCAGCATCATGATACTGCTAAGAAGCATAGCAGTAGGATTGGCGAGACCCTTACCGGCAATATCGGGGGCGGAACCGTGGACAGCCTCGAAGATAGAGCACTCGTCACCAATGTTACCGGAAGGGGTGAGACCGAGACCACCGATCAGACCGGCGCACATGTCGGACAGAATATCACCGTACAGGTTGGGCATGACAAGGACCTTGTCGTTGTAAGGGGTAGGGTCGGTGACGATACGCAGGCATGAGTTGTCCAGCAGCTCAGCGTCGAACTCGATATCGGGGAATTCCTTGGCGATCTCACGGGCAGTGTTGAGGAACAGACCATCGGACATTTTCATGATGGTGGCCTTGTGGACAACACGGACCTTCTTCTTGTTGATGGACTGCGCGTACTGGAAGGCGAAACGGAGGACACGCTCGGAAGCCTCACGGGTGATAAGCTTGATGCTCTGCACGACACCGTCGACGACAACGTGCTCAATACCGGAGTATTCACCCTCAGTGTTCTCACGGATGAGAACAGTGTCGACGTTGTCGTAGGGGGTCTTGTAGCCAGCAATAGAGCGGCAAGGACGCAAGTTAGCGAACAGGTTGAAAGTGCGGCGGAGAGTCAGGTTCAGGGAGACGTGACCCTTGCCAACGGGGGTCTGGAAAAGCGAAGTTTAGTATCGGAGTCCAAATGCGAGGTATATACAGGCAAGTTGAAGCTAGAACATACAGCGAGAGGACCCTTGAGGGCGACGTAGTTGCGGCGCACACTGGCAATGGCATCGTCGGGAATGGCGGTCTTGCCATCCTTCAGGATGGGGGTGACATCAACGGATTCCCACTTGATGGGGGCCTAATATTGACTTAGTATTTCGATCACGTCTAAGAGTTAAAATGTTGATAAACTGGTACCTTTGCGGCTTCGAAGATATCCTTGATGGACTGAGAGATCTCAGGACCAATACCATCACCCTCAATCAGAGTAACAGTGTACTTTCCCTAAAAAAAATCAGATCAATTAGCATTGTCGTAATATACATGTGGTGTTGTTGTTGATTTATAGTCGGTGTGCGCTGCGCGGCTGGCACCGGCATAGATGGAAAAACGGGTTCGGTGGGAAAAAAACGTACATCAGGACCCTTCTGACCCTTGAACTTGGCAACAGCCTCCTGTGCAGGGCTGGCGTAGAAGCGAACCTATTTAAAATATCGAAAATTAGTCAATTGAGTTCTGATGTTAGTGTTGTCCTTGAGGGGGTTGGTGTACCTGCGCGATAGGAGCAGCAAATCGAGGGGCCACGCGGGATGGGCGCATGCACTGGCGAGCGACAGAGAAGTTCCGGGCAGCGATCATCTTGAAAGATCCCTTCAATTACTTGGGGGAGAAGATTATAAGTGGTGAGGGGGTAGGAAGGAAGAAGGAGAAAGGAAGAAAGAATCAAATCTCTCGGCGCCGTACCGATCCGACCGGGACTCAGACCGCATTGGTGGTTTCATTTCCCCCACGGCCCGAGTCCACTCTTCTAGGTGTCCACTCTTGACTACATGACTACAGGGTCTCATTTGATTAGGGTTCTGTTATCAGATCTCGGCCGCCTGCAGAAAGGTCATAGATCCTGATTATTCTATTTCAATTCGTCCTGGCTCCTACGTTCCTACGCTCCGACATACCTAGCAATCATGGCAGACCTCGACGTCGCAAGCCACTACAGCCTACCCTCCGAGTTCCCCGAGGAATGGCCGGCATCTTTAGACGTGGCTGATGAGCCAGAAGAAGAAGCAGTTCAGCGAACAGATTCCCGTCCGCGCAAGTCCCGATACATAGCTCTCGAACGCAGTACCAGTGATTGGAGAAGCAACTTTGGTTCACGAAGAGGGAAGGAGGGCAGAGAAAATGCGCGGGAAGATGAGCCCGATCCATTGGGTACAAGCGACAGCGTTCTCCGGATCCTCAAGCAACGAGGAGTGCCCTTGGAGGAAGAGGGTAAATCGCGATTCCTGTTGTCATCGACATCATTCTCGCCCGCGCTGTTCCTATCACAGGCGCATCACTCAGACTCTATTGAATCGCTGATGGGAGGACTGGACAACCTGTCGCACTCCATCGATAAAAAGTCAGCGTCGCTCAAAGTACTAGTGGAAGCCAACTTTGAGCGTTTCGTCCGTGCCAAGGCAACTATCGATAGCGTCTATACCGAGATGAGGAACCAGGGCGTGGAGAAAAGCCCCGGTCTGAGTTCCCGCAGGTCAGGACATTTCCGGAGTTATTCGGGGCAGCAACGGAGCGTATCTCCCGTCCCAGTGGTTCCCAAGAAGACCGCTCTTGTCAAGGAGAGCGAATTCGGCATGAAGGGTATTAGAGGTCCTTTGGTCGAGGCTTCTGTCAAGGCTGAAGAGGTGTGGGGACCGGCTCTTGGGGGTCGGGAACGAGAGAAGGTACTGAAGTCAGTGGTGGAGACTATGGAGAAACACCGCGATGTCTATGAAATTGGAAGCCTCTTGTCCAAATCCATCCAGCAACGTGATTATGATGCTGTCTTTGAGCAGTATACCAAAGCAAGGACACTCGCCAATCGGGCGAAAAATATCGCAGAACAGGCATCTAGTTCACGCCGGCAACTAAACGACGCTGAGACACACACCATTCTAGCCATGGGCCGTATGTGGATGGACGTTGACCAACAAATACACAACTTTAAGCGCGAGCTCTGGAGACGTCTTGCCGATGCCCCCACGATGTCAACTACAGGCACCGCCTTAGGCCCCGTGGAAGAACACATGGAGTTGATCGGGGCCTTGTTAGAACTGGGTGTCGAGGACAACCCTATCTGGAAATGGCTTGAGAGCCGATATGAATTCTTGAAAACAAAGATTACTGGATTCTGTGATCGATGCAAGGTCGAAATTGAAATTTTAAGAAGAAGACTTGCTGGTGGAGAGAGACCAACTCCACAGGCTACAGCATCCTATCTCCGCCTAGCACCTCGTGATGGTGCGGTAGAAATTCCAGCGAGACTAGACACGGATCAAGTCATTGAGTTGTGGGAATGCATACAGACTTTCCTAACCCGACTTCTGTCCTCGCAAAGTGGCTTGCTGGGCGAGGTGTTGGATTTCTGGGAAGTCGCACAATCATTTATTGACGGCAATCGGCAACGACTTTTGCCTGCCGGGTTTGAAGGGGAGAGTCGCAAGCATCACCAGCTTTCTGACGGCAATATCAAGGAGTTGGAGAAGGGTATTGACGTGTTGGTCAATATCATTCGAGAGAACGTAGTGGCCCTTTTCACCGAACCCCCAACCGAAGATATCTCCCTACTCTTCTCGCCAATTCCGGCAAGTCCATCGACCCCAGGGTCGAGAGGTATTACTCCAACAGAGTCCCGCTTCAAGCTGGATCCAAGGAACCTACCATATCCTCCCCCAAAGCTTGGAGAGCACTGGGAGGCTTTCGCATTCTGGCCACCATTTTCCAATTCTCTCAGTGGAGTGCACTATCTGAGTAAATTCCTCATCATTGTGGGCACCGCTGCGAGCGAAATGGCAGCCCTAGGGCCGATTGGCGGCTCTGGAAAAACATATGACCTCCTCAAGACCCTTGTCAGTATTGCCCGGGAACGATGTGCACGTGTGGCGTGTGCTGCCTGGAGTAAAGATGCGGAGGTCTGCAAAATGTTGGAAGACTGGACACGCGATTCAGAGAACCGTGATTTGACTAAGATGCCCGGGTTCTTTGTGGCCTTTGAGGGTGCTATCCTTGGTGGCATGCAAAAGATCCTTTATATTTCGGAAGCTATGGCAAAGCCAGGTTCTGTGGATGTTGTTACTCAGCCGCCTGCGAAACTACTTCAAATGGTCCGCTCTCAGTTCGTATCGAGTGTTTACAAAGCGTTAAGCGGCCTGGTCGAGAACGCAGAGCGCCTAACACCAGTAGATGAAGAAAATGAATGGATTATTGCTCGACCAGCAATGTCAAGCCAAGCGACTGACGCTGCTTTGTCAGTTCTCTCGGCTGATTCGGTCGATTCTTGGAATCGGGTAAGTATCTGTCCAATTCGATGTGATACCTGCATAACTGACTGCAAAACAGAATGTTCGAATCCTTCTCACACTTTCAAATCTCAAGGCTCTACAGGCAGACCATGTCCCACAGCTTATCTCGAACTTTGAGACATCCTTCTCAGTCAAACTGACGGAAGAGGCCAAGACTGTCCGGGACGTACTGAGCCAGATTGAAGACAGGCTATTCCAATCATATATCACCCCCACTAATGCCTTATTACACAAAACAATCACCACTGGCATTGCGTCTCCAGATTGGGAGCCGTCTGTTGACCGGCCGGAGCAAGTTCGCCCATATGTGTACAACGCCATGCTGACCATGGTGCTGGTCCACACGGAGATCTCCACAACTATTCCATCTACTGTGTCATCAGGTGCTACTCGCGCTGCGTCAAGTTCACCTTCCTCATTGCTGACCACTGTGTTGACACATCTCCTTTCCCAAATTTCTTCGTCACTGCTTGAGGCTTTCCGTGCCCGGCCCTCCTTCTCGCTGCCAGCTTTGATGCAAGCTACCCTGGACACCGAATTCATTGCACAGACTCTTACCTCGTACATAACCGAGGAGGCATCAAATGTGCAAAGCCAAATCTATGTCGAGCTAGATTGTCGCACCACAAATGAAGCTCGTACAAAACTAAAGGCCGAACTAGGGGAAATGCGAGTTATCTTGAAACGGCTCAGAGATCGGACGAAGGGCGAGTTTGCTTGTTTCAAAAAGCCGAGAAATGGTGGAGGAAGCTCCAAGTCTTCTGCTACAGTCGCATCATAGGTTTAGCAAGACAATGCTATTAAAGAATCAAAATCGTATATTGAATGCTTTGAATTTTTTTTTCATAACCGGGTATCATGAAAACATAGTCCACACCATGCATGTGTAGCTCTTGCCTTTCCTCTCTAATTATTACCAACCATCCGCTGCACGCGACTAAGCAGCGCGTTGCTCTCCCTGCCTAATCTTCTCTTCCCAAACTGGTCCGGCCGCTTCGCGCGCAGCAGAGCCTCACGCTCATTTTGTTTCGCTTGGCGATCCTTCTGTCGCGCTTCCTCTGCTTTCCTCCGCTGCTCTGCAAACTCCATCTCCTTTGTGAACGCAGAAGGCTTTGGCCGGCGCTCCTTTTGTTTGCCATTGCCTCGTGGGCGCCGTTCCGTTCTAGATGCAGGTGCCGGCTCAGGCTCGGGCTCGTTCAACATGGCTATGCGATCCGGGTGAAGTTCTGGAGTCTTTGCCTCTTCGACAGTCTTCTCATCATCCTTGCCAGTCTTGATTTCGTCCCCCTCGGCGGTATCATATACGGATCTCCTAGGCGCGATGGCGAGTTCTTCGGCTTTGATCTTGGCATAGGCCTTCTTCACTTTGGCTTTGTGGATCAGGTCATTCTTGATCTTTTGGGCTGTTTTTGTCAGTCTCATCCAAGGCATGGCTTTGGGGGCGTACTCACTCTTGCGACGATATGTGCCATCTGGGAGGTTTGCGGGTCCAACGCTAAAACCCTTGCGCTTCTTAACCTCGGGCTCGCCCTTTGATGATGGAGCAGCATCGCCGTCGTGGGTGCGTTTCGGTGCCATGTTGATGTTAAAAAAAACAACAACTGTGTTTTGTCTTGACGTGTGTTAATATCGAAAGACTTTCGGAGAAGAAAAAAAAAAAGTGGCGATCTCCGCACGGAACATCGGTCTCGGCCACTAGCAGGTCCAGCAGCTAAGTATACTTCTGAACATTATACAACACTCTTTTTTTTTCTTATTGAATTTGGTTCCCAAAAATTAAGATAACAGGTAAGAATCTACAATATTTACAATATTATCTAGTCTATGATATATACGACATTATCACTGGTTTTATTATCGTTATAGCGGGTCTGCATGCACATTTATGTGTCTTTGTTCTCTCTTGATTTCTTCCCAACATCTCTCGCTTTTGAGACATTGGGCCTTGAAATCATTATTGAGACCCAAACGAATGCAAATATACGACATACAATATAGGGCTCTCTGCCCAAGTAATGTTGCAACACAACGTCACTGATCCATCACATGACGTTCTGAGTCCGGCTCTCCGAGATCGACGGGTGTCCACCCCAATTCAACGTCTCAATGCACACGACCTGTTCAATATTTTTTCTCCCTATTCAACATTTTGAGGCAGCGCTGACTGGGTATTCATACTTGGAGGCAGCGACGAAAGCCAGGTCCATGGTGGGACGTACTCTCATCTATATAAGCGCTATCTTCCTCGCCAATCAGTAGAATCACTGAAAGCATATACCCGAATCATCCTGGTACACCGCATCAACTAGCTCCCCCACCACGGCACACCTCGGCTCTAGTTTCAAAAGGTGCTACGTCGATGGTGAAATGTCATCTTTATCGTTTCAGGCCTTGTAGTCTGCCCTTATCACGCCACCATGCCCCTGTTTCGAGATCCGGATCGGCGGCGCCATTATCTATGGTCACCCGACGATGGCCAGCGTGAACCGCCAACCACAGGATCCGAGCAGCCCCAGCTTAAAGATCTCAATCGCCGTGAAATAGTTGCCCCAGAAATGGCAACCAACTCCATGCATTCAACAGAGTTGAATCCGCCTAAGTCGCCCAAGTCGTGGGCAAATGATCGGGAGGAGCTCATACACCATATCAAAGAGTCTTCACCGTGGAGACTTCAACACATGGTATGTGAACCGCTCCATGATATCCAGCCCTATTGCAAACCTCTACTTGTTGTGGTCTCCGTTTTCTTTATTTATTTCCATCTGGTTTCTCTTTGTCCTTTTTTTCATAGGCCGACACATCTATCTGAACTATACATAGGCTAACATACCAATAGTCCCTGGATGGAGGCAACGATGATTTATTTGTCTCTCAAATCTCACGGAACCGGTCACAAACGGTAACAATTGAGCATGAATCCCGCTCTGTTAACCAAAAACATCACACCAGAGCGACAGAGGAACTGGGATCGCCGGCCGATATCCAGAGACCTCGATCAGCGCTACACTCAGGTGATTTTAGAGAAGGTGCCACAGATCCCCATGACTCACATTCTCCTCAATCACCTTTTACTGAGCCGAGTCCGGCTTCTCCCTTTGCTCATCTAAGCTGCTCTCCCACTACCCCCTGGTTCGGAGCGCCGGCCTTGCCACCCGATTTGCGAAAGACAAGCATATCAAATGAACATCATGAGTCCGATGTTATTGTGGATGCTCGTGCTCGTGCACCGTCGGTGAGCTCATTCTCATCAAGTTATGTTCTGAAGGCGCCTACCAGTCCTCTGGTATACCAAGCAAATAATACCGACTTGGACTTTTCCTCCCGTGTTGATCATGTGGATATTTCGGGGCCTTCGGAGAGAGCAAACCGTCGCCGCACTTTGCCACCAGAGACGTTTAGGAATCTCCAATTCTCTTCGCCAAACACTGAAATTCCCGACCTAGGCAGTCCGTCTCCACCTAGACGGCAGCAGGATGTCTTCACCAATCAAACAGCTTTGCCCCGCCGATCATTGACTTCGGCATATAGTCTTCAACTCGCACCGTCCCCCGGAGGGCAGATCCCACCATCGCGGGTAAGACGGCCATCTTTTGTCTCTGACATCTCGTCAAACCCCCACGCACCAATGGTGGGGTCTTATGAGGAGTCGATATTGCGCGGGAGAATGTCAATGAATCCTTCTAAACCGCTGGATTTCACGGCTCAGATCGGTGTCCTGGGCAAGGGGAGATGCAAACGTCATCTCAAATGTCCGCCACATGTTACAGTGACATTTCCGGTTGTTTTCTACAGCTATCCGACCTCGGGATGTGGCCGCTCAATCTCAGACGACAATCCGAGTCCCTATGTGGGACAAATTGACCTGGAAAATTCCTTACCAAAAGAGAATCCCAATCCGACTCGACGTCGCAGGCGACATCCAAGTCCAACGGGAACTCATGAAGCCACTCCTGCTACAGAAGGAGCAAGCGATACTCCAACGTCTAGTGAATCACGACGCCGCCGGGAAAAGAAAATTCGCAGGTCAGAATCGCCTAAATGTCCCCCAGGAGGCTCTTATCGGATTCCGCAACAAGGTCAACTACAAATCATAATCAAGAACCCGCATAAAACTGCGGTCAAGCTTTTCCTAGTTCCATACGATCTCAGTGATATGGAACCCGGCACAAAGACCTTCATTCGGCAGCGCAGCTATTCGGCAGGTCCGATCATTGATATGCCACTCAGTGCACGGAAGAACTTGGGGACAGATCGCCCTGAAGCTTCCTTGAATCCCACAGAAGACCCTCATGACAAACCCATTTTGCGATACCTCATTCATTTGAACATCTGTTGTCCCACGCGCGGTCGCTTTTACTTGCATTCGACTATCCGCGTGGTGTTTGCAAACCGCGTTCCGGATGGTAAGGAGAAACTGCGGAATGAGATCCAAAATCCAGAGCCTCGGTACACTCCGTACAAGCCCTCCCGAGAGTCTTCGTCTTCCACCTCGAGCACTTCGAGCGCAATTACGCGCCCGGGAGAGGAATCATCTTCCCGCAGACGGAGTATGGACCAGGCACCTATCTCTCGTCACCACCCAGATATGCCAGGACCCACAGATGTTACGGGTGGCCCTAAAACCCCACCTCCCTCGCATAGTGTGTCTCGGTGCAACGAGATTACCAAGGGCGAGGATTACGGACGTCACCCTCTTCCTTCAAATCCAAGTAGTCCAGAACCAAGCGAGAGTCTACTTGCCAAGAGACTCCGCGCCCTCGATGTGCAGAGGTCGCGCTCCACAGTAGATGAACGACATCCACGCAAATCGGGCTTCTCTGGTCGACCATCTCCCACTCACAACCACACTCCTCGCTGAACGAACCCAACCCAATGCAATATTTTCCAAGAACTTCTCTCTCGCCGTTCAGTATTACAATAAAATCACCTATCTCTCACGTGCATCTTGATCTTGAATTGACATGTGACCTCATTTCCTGTCTGCGCCACCATTGAAGAACAGCACAGAACAGCATGACAATAGGCGCACTGGTTTGCAGCCATTCCTGTTTGTACTAGTACTAACCAACATAATAGCACCCAGTATTTTTTATTCATCCTGATTCACGCCCAAGCGATCTGTGTATTTCTTTTTCTTTATCACTTGGATGTACAGTTGATATGCTTTCATTGCCTGCTTCATGGATACATTGGGGATCCCAGGCGCATAGGTTGTTGGCTATACCCCCACTTATATATTTCTTTGGTTTGGTACCTTCTTCTCTCTTCGTGCAGTTTTGGCGTCTACACTAAGTTTATTTAGTTGGGTGAACTTGGCGAATTTTGGGATTGGTTACATATATATCGCTGCGTTAACTGCGTTGCTACGCGATTTTGATTTTCATGTCTGCAAATATCGTACATGGACAGTATATATATATCTATGGAGTTTTCACATCAAAAGTGTTCACTATAGAAAGATACAAGGTGGGATTTTGTGAAAGAATAGGAGTTCCTGCAATCTATACCTACAGAGCGCTAGATACAGCAAATAAATTATCCAAAATAACAAGTGACAAGCCACCTTAGAAGAACACTATGTGATCTTGACCTGGCCGACATGATGTATTACAATTCCTTTGAGTCCATGAAAATAAAATTCCTGGTCCTCTTCAACCCACAAGGCTAGCTTAACCAGCATGCTCCACGATTTCGCTTACCAGTACGCCGTCCTTGATGTAGCTCTTGAACTGCTCAGGCAGAGGGCACTCCTTGGTATCTTCATCAGTGCCCTCCGGCGGCGGAAGGGTGATGTTAATAGCGGAGCACTTGCTAGTGAAGATCTCGGTGTTGAGGCTCTGCTGGCCAAGATAAACGGTAGCACCATCAACCTGATCCATCAACAGAGTAGGGACCGTGCCGTCGATCTGCACAGCGAACTTGGGGCACTTGATGATGTCCAGACTGCTAACGAGAGAGTCCACAATGAGAGAGAGACCAACACAGTTGTCGATGGCAATAGCATTAGCCTTGTTGTTGACCTTGATGATCGTTTTGTTGCAGCGGCTAATGAGGATGGACTGGTTCTGCTGTGCGGCGATCTCGATGATCTCGCCAGGGTTATCAAAGTTCTCAATGAGCCACTTGCTGCCCTCGAGTTCTTTGCGGGGCGGCTTGCGCGCGCGCATGTTTTCGGGCTTGGGCTTTTTGCTAGGTGCTGGCGACTTGCCTCGAATGGCGCTGGAGCCTTCGTACTCCGGAACGATTGATCCGGCACGCAGGTTGGGGTTCTTGTGTGTCATCTGCGATTTGTCGACCTTGCGGAGGGTGGAGGTGATAGCCTCGCCCTGGTTGAGCTGGTCGAAGACAGCGCCCATGTCTGCTGCTGGTGCTGCGGGGGCTGGAGCGGGGGGATGCCAGGAGGCGGAGGTGGGGGAGGAGCACCGCCACCGGGGACGTTGAGGGCTGGGACTGGGGGAGGAGGGGGAGGGGGAGGAGGGGTACCGCCGCTGATTGGAGCAGGTCCGCCCTTGGCCTGCTTCAAAGCTTCCAAGGCATCAATGCCAGACTGATTGTTCCAGGTCAGACCCTGGGGGAAGTGTTTCTTGAGGTACTCGGCAAGAGCCTTGAAGTTTTGATAGTAGGCTTTGATGTATTCAACATGTACTTTATCCCTGTCAGACTGTCAATATGTGAATTCTTTCAAAACGTCATTAACGGGAGTGCTCACTTGTCCTTGTACTCCTTCAGCACCTTATTTCCATAATATTCAATGCCACCGATCATATCCGTGACATACTCCGCGGGCTTGCTTTCAAAGAACCAAGCGAGCGCAATGATACCCTCCGCAACAGCGCTCAGGTGGTTGAATAGCGGCGAAGCTCTGTTTGACTCGCGAATGTTGTTAATGCTATCGGAAGCTTTGTGCAGATCCGTCATTAACTCCGGAGGCTGGGTGTCAGGCTTCTTGGCCTTTGTCACAACGAAAAGATAGGTGCGTTCAGCTTGGAAGGCTTGAAGTACGGCTTTGGACTATAGGTCCAGTCAGCAACTACTCACAACAGCCCAAGTCCCCACAATTGCTTAAAAACATACTTGTTCGGCAACCAATCCACCGATTTTCTCTCCCAAGTTGACAAAGTTCTGAACATTTCCCTTGATCAATGCATCGAAGTCCTGGATCTGCGGCGGGACCGGGGGAGCCACAGGGGCTGCGGGCGGAGGAGGGGAAGGCTTGGGGGGTTCTGGAACAGCAGGAACAGAGGGAGAGCCAGTCAAGGACTTTGGCGCACTAGGGCCATCAAATGCCATTGCCATATCCTCCAAGCGTGAGGTTGCTGCCTCGAGCCTGTAGATGAGTCCAATGTCAGTCAAGTATTCCGGATGGAGGTACCAAATAGCTCAGCAGCCATTAAATTAAAATTAAAATGGCATAGGTCAAACACTACTAGTGCTGGCATCAAAGATACATACCGCTTGATGAGGGTGGTGAAATTGTGCATATGGCCGCCGGACGCCATGATAGGCAACGAAGTGGAATGGTAAAAGGGGTGAGTTAGGTAGGTTAAAACCTAGTGATTACCAAAAAGTAGAATCCCTTGCTGTTTGGTATGATTTAGGGCTTCAAGTTCCTAAAACAACACACGGGGTGATAGGGAGTGGGAAGAAGACAAACGGAGCTCCTGAGGTCCGCAGATGACGACTCTAGACGTGGTATGGTATGTTACAGCGGGACCAGCAGATGCAAATGACGTTGCGGGGTATATTTGGTAATTATATTACCACCATATGATCCACTGTAATAATGCGATAGCCAAACTCCTAACACTTCAACATTGTGGGTTTTCTTTGTCTCTCTAGACGACCGTCTTCTTTGCGTATCTATACATAGCCCTAGTTGCAAATATGGTGGCCCAAGACCAGCCCACTGAGGTCGAGTTTTGCACATTAGGAATGTTTATAATTGGTATGGTTTATCTCGTCCCTCTAAGTGGGATGTAGACTCACAGGTGCACTGTTATGCAGATGATATTGATTTCGGGGGTTCAAGACCCGGTGTCAAGAATATTCTCGGTGGTGCAGCGTCATTTGCAGTCGTGGGCGCCCGCTTGGTCTCAGGCTCGAAGTATGCACGATCTGTGAGCTGGATCGTGGATGTTGGCTCCGATTTCCCCACTGAGACACTTGATGTAATCAAATCATGGAACACATCCTGCGTTTTTAGAGAGGACCCTAGCAGGCTAACAACAAGAGCCTGGAATGGGTATCATCCGGACGAGAAACGGGGTAAGCTCCTCATGATATATTTTGAAGGGTTGCATACAGTAACTGACTAGGCAGACTTCAAATACTTGACTCCAAAATTGAGACTCGAGCCTGAAATGTTGTCCGATACACAGGTGTGGTCCAAGACATTCCATATGGTCTGTTCTGCATCCCGTTGTATGTCTATAGTGCAAAATATTCTGCAGCGACGAGATGAATTGCAAAAGGCAGGGAAAACCCCCTCTGCCGCTCATGCTTCTCAGCGCCCTATCTTCGTTTGGGAGCCAGTGCCTGATCTCTGTACTCCGGAAGAACAGGACAAGTTCTTCGCCGCAAATAAAGTCGTGGATGTGGTGAGTCCTAACCACATGGAGCTCGCCATGATGTTTGATCAACCTAGTTGGACCGAGAAGAGACAAGAAGGCCAGAAGCTAGTCCAGAGGATTACAGACTCTGGCATTGGGCCCGATGGAAACGGCATGTTGGTTATCAGGGCGGGAAAGGATGGTAGCTACGCCTACTCAAAGTCCGGCAAGATTTGGCTCCCCGCATATCATCAACCCGATGCCTCAGGTGCTACGCCTGTGCTTGACCCCACTGGTGCGGGCAACTCTTTCCTTGGTGCTCTAGCCCAGGGCATGGTGACTGCAGGCCGAGAGCCATTCCAGGCCATTGACTCTGTTCTATCAAACTCTGGAACTTGGAAGAAAGCCCTTGAGTCTTGGGGTGATTACCAACATTATCCTATGGCACTCATTTGCGCAACCGTCGCAGCTGGCTTTGTGGTCGAGCAAATCGGTGTGCCGCAGATCGATATTGATGGAAATGGAAATGAATTGTGGAATGAGACTGAATTCACGGAACGGGTCCGCCTGTACACGCAGCGATTATTGAGGACACTTGAAGAGGCTCCTCAGAGACATCTATTGGCCAATTGACCAACGGCCGAATAATAAACGCCCTTTTATTGTCGTACAGCACACAAGTGATCAAATAGTAGAAAAACACGAAATGGAAAGGGTCCTGCTGAAAATCCTCCTACAACCGCCGTCCAGTATCTTGGACCTTCTTCATGAGTCGTTCTTTGCGGCTTGTTGTTGCTCGTGTTCCCGAATTTGCTTACTCCAGCTATAAATAAAGAAAAGTAAAGGTCAGCATATGGTATACCGAGTGACATGGGGTTCGGGTAACGGACTAGCGGCTGGGGAAGAAGCGGCCGGGCTCGGGCATCTTGTCGCGATATTCCCGTTCAGCGCTGAGGCTGAAGGCAACGGCAGCGACACCAATCACAAAGGCGCCCATGATTGCAGTGTTGGCCCTCCAGTTAGCTGGCTGGGCGTACCAACCACCAGCGGGGGACCAGACTTCCTTGGGGTACCTGCCAGATCGAATCGATTAGCTCCTGGTGCGGTCACGAACAGAATGGGTACATACGGGATCTTTCCACCTCCACCCATTGTGACGAGTATGTAATTGAAGGGTTGTTAGAAAAATAAAGCGAGCGTCAGGCTGGTAGTTCTCGAAGGTGGAAGCCGAAAGGGCCGTCTCGGTCGCAGGTTGATGCCAAGGCGCTAAGTCTGCCTTGGGTTTAGCGCAACCTCACACGACCTTGGACATCCCGTGACTGCCGCGACAATTTCTCTTCTCTTTCGTTGATGGTATGCTAATTGATTGCGTCGCGATTATCCCTTCTGTCCACTGTACAATCTTTTTACGACCCTCAGAATAATACAATCGCCCAAATGAAGAGACTGCAACTCCAAAGATGGAGCAGTTCAGTTCTTTCACCGCGGGCTCGGACTGTTAACCGTCTGCATCAACACATCTACGGACAACGGTATCAATCGACCATTCCCCCGGTCCAAGCCCGTGATGATCAGACCACAGCGATTTTTGAGGAATCAGCAGCTTTGGACGAGCAATTGGCTCAAATTGTCAAGGATTCCCACACCCGCCACTCGCAACTCCAATATCCCTCTCCCCCAGTCGAAGCAGCTAAACAATCTGCAAAACTTGCCGCTCTCCACGCTCGACTCTACCTACCCTCCAGATTACCCGTCGAGACACTTGCACGGACACTAGTCGATGCGTCAGCAGATCCGAACCCAAATTTCAACAATGCCTCGCTGGCTACTCTCGGTCACGACCTCCTTTCCTACTACGCAACTGAGCACCTAATTTGCACCTACCCTCGCCTGCCCTTGACCGTGATCTTTGCCGCCATGTACGCATACGCTGGACCTAAAACTCTTGCCGCTATGGCACGAGAATGGGGTGTCGACCTGGCCGCGTTGCCCGGTGGAGAGGTCGATCCCGGCCTGTTGCAGTTCGAGAGGGTTGACCCTGGCGCCGAGATTCCCTCGGGCCCGATCCACCCGACAGCACGCCCATATGAAGCACAGAAGAACTGGAGGAAAACGGTCACTTCTAAGATTTTCTATGATGATGAATTCGGTGACCCACTCAAGGGCATCAAACAAACTACCGGAGGTGTCACCACTGAGCAAGCGAGCGCCGAGTTCGTCCGGGCTGTTATGGGCGCCATCTACCTGCACGCCGGCCGCGCCGCCGCTAAGCGATTCTTCGAGCAACACTTCCTTTCACGACACCTCAACATCTCAGAATTGTTCAACTTCCAGGCACCAGCCCGTGACTTGACCCGGTTGTGCGCTCGCGAGGGCTTCGAGCGTCCAGTCGCCAAGGTCATCAGTGAGACTGGTCGTAAGAGCAGACACCCCGTCTTTGTGGTCGGTATCTTCTCTGGCCAGGATAAGCTTGGGGAGGGCGCTGGCGCCAGTCTGATGGAGGGCCGTGAGCGTGCTGCTGTTGCCGCGCTCAAGGGTTGGTACCTCTACAGCCCGCTTTCTGTGCGCGTTCCCAGTGCGATGGAGGAGCCATCGGCTGCGCCGTGGAAGCCAGTACACGTTGATCTGGGCGAGGTCATTGTTTGAGGTATTTGGTGCAATGGGATGCCTTGGTTCAAGGCACGGTATATTATTTCATGTCTCCATTTTTTTTGATCATCTCGCTTTTCTTTTTTCCGGTGTGCTATTCTTTCGCATGGGAAGCTGGCCGGCGGTAAAAAGAGTCATCTATCCTGTCTCCTGCATGACTGGATCCTGTACATTATGGGAATTCCAATCCCTTCGATTCACCTGGTGTCTTTTTTCTCGAAATTTCCCTTATTGTTTTCTTTAACTCTGTTTTACTCTTCTCCAGTTAGACACCTGGCAAAACTAGGCATGTCATGGCCTTCGTTTTGGCCCTGCCATCCAAATATAGAACTGATCTCAGACATCTATTGAATGCAAACAAAATCAAAGTTAATGGAAGCTCTCTGGTCTTTTGACCCTACTAGTTATATATCTTAACTACCACATCGACCTACCGACGCCTATTCTGAAACTTACATCCATCTCATCACTCAGGGTTAAGAATCTCATCCTCCCAGTTCCCACTACTCCTACCAGCACCCACCTTTGTAGGATTATCCAGATACAGCCCATATTCCTCCCACAACTCTGCCACCCCAACCCCGAAAAGACCCTTCCAGAACCCGATACCCTGTTTACCCACGTCCTCCCCCTCCCCTTCACCAACATACCCAACCCTCAAAAGCCGATCATTCAACATCCCCACAGCGCCCCTCCCAGCTTTAACATCCTCAATCCACGCCAAAAAATACGCCGTGTGCTGATACCCTGCATCCCACTTCGGCGGCCGCTCTGCAGCAGACAGAGGCCGATTCCAATGCGGCGGCTCCAGACCAGCCTTGAGCCGCACGAAGTCAGCTATGCCCTCGATGAGCCCGCCTGGCGGATGGGGGATGTCCTCGCTACTGCTTTCGCGACTAGGCGGCGCGGTGTGCTGATAGCAATGCACGAGCTCGTGGGTCAAGACACCGACCAGCTCGTGTAGCGGGTCTTCTTTCGCCGATGGACCCGATGTACAGTGCTGGACGTATGGGAGCGAGACATGGATTTCCTTGTGCGCGTCGTCGAGCTCGGTGCCTGTTGTGTAGGCTACGCCGCTGTAATCGCGTAGGAAGACGGTTACGGATCTTGTTGGTGGGATGCTGGGTGTGAAGGTGGGTCGGTGGGGGAGGTTTCCGGACTTTGGGGGTGGAGTGTATAGGTATTTGACGATGTTTTCTAGGGCATTGTCGAGTGTTGATGCGACGTCTGGGATCAAGGTCAGGAAGGCGCTTGAGGCTGGATGGCGTAGGTGTTCCACGTGAAGGCGGAGCTTTGGTTGCGGGATTTGTGTGGTGGGATGTGTTGGTAAGTTTGTTTGCTTTTCTTTGCCACTTGAGGCCTGTGGCTCTTGCTTTTGGGAGCTGTCTTTGGGGATTGCGGAGGGACGAGGTGCGGGGGCGGAGCTTGTCATGGTGTATTTGGTTTGATAGCGATTTGATAGCGATTAACTGGGAAGATGTCTTTTGTTAAAGTTTTCGAATTCGCCTCTTTTATATTTCTCTGAGGTTCTCTGAGGTGTATGAAATGTCTAGGTTTGGCTGCGAGCGGGGGTTCCTGGGAAGAGCGTGATGCTGGCTAGACCCGTATTGGCCCTGGTTTGGAAGGCATGATCTACATGTACCTACAGAGACATCCATGTAGGTTTACCAAATGCATAAACGCAAACTTTTCAGGGGTTATATAAAAGACACTGTTGTGATCTACAGAAATAAAGTTGAATGCTCTAGTCTAGCCTTCAATACACACCTTGTCGGCGCCGATGATCCTTAGTAGACGCCATGCTCCACTTTGACGATCTCGTGGGGTATACTAGGACGCTTTGATTCACATTGATTGGAGTGAAAAGAAATGTACGGAGTAAAATGTAATAGATTGTGTGTTAGATGAGCCCCATATTGATTTTTTATGTGCGTTGAACAATACAGTGAACAGCTTCTAGTCATGTTATACTATGGGTTCAAGTACTATTTTGATGCCATGGTTTTGGAATATACTAATAGGCAAGATATTGCTTTAACTTTGGAAATTAGTTCTATTTGGCAAATACTATTCTGCTTTGTTTTCAACCCAAATCCATATTTACTATGCGATGTTATAGATATGACGATGTTGGTTGCCCATTGCGACGCGTGATCCCAAGGTAATAAACAAAGCATGTTGGGCTGTTAATATGCTTTTGGGCACAACCTCGGATGCAAGCAGTGTAGATCCATAGACAGGGACAGGTATAAACCTTGATACATCCTAGGAATAGTAGCCTCTTAAATAAAAACTTAGCCCTACCTAAAGGCACCCCTTTAATATCCCTCTATATCCCTCGCGCTTATCATCACGCGCTTATCGCCCCTTGTTTTCCCTCCGTCCGCTTTTCAACATCCCCACCATATCCAAGTCAACTTTGCGCTCTTGCTCATATTTGTGCTTGTCGCTAATTCATCGCATTCTGTACGTTACGAACATTCCGCTCCACCTTTGAACCCTCCGTTGTGTTCCCCGCCATTCCTTTATTCCCGACATCCCGTATGCTTTTGCGATGATCCCCAGCCTATAACCATTTGATGCCCTCACTGCCTGTACACGTCCATTCTATCTTATTTTCTTTGTCGCAATTGCTCTGTTTTCAAAATCTAACCTATCACTCTTTTGCACTGGCAGAATCTGCTACTAACTTTCACCGTGACTAGTGACAAATCAAAATCCAACCTCGGGAGTCTGTTCTCCTATCCGCTATTAGCCTCGTCGCATTTTGATTCCTCTGGAACATCTATTACATACAATCTCATTCTTCTGTCCATTCCCTTCCGTTATTGACCCGAGCTGAAATCTATCTCTCGGTGTTGACAATGGAGGCGAAGGCAGCAGAACTACTGGCAGCCTTCAAGAACCCCAACCTGTCTGTTGATTCAAAGATCGCCTACCTCTCTAGTGTCAAATCCGATATCAAACAGAAAAATGTCCCGGAAGGAGCCATTCGCCCTATTTTCGAAACATTGCGCTTAGCCATCGGCTCCCAACACTACTCTGTCCTTGGAGCGGGGTTTTCCACACTCGGCCACCTCCTCAAGCGGCTTGCAATCCAAGACCAGGAGCAATGGATTGTTCATCAGGCTCAGAGCTTATATCCCATTCTGCTGGAGCGTCTCAATGACCCGAAAGAACGCATAAGAGCCCAGGCTGCGTCGATATTCACCGAACTGTGGCCATTTGCAGGCAACGAAGTCGAATATCATGTTCTGGAAGTTGCGCTGGTCGGGAAAAATCATCGGGCGAAAGAAATGAGCATGCTTTGGTTGGCGAATGTAGGCTTATGCATCCTGCAAGGCTTGTCTCAGTTGCTAATATCGACCTGCAGATGACGAAGAACCATGGTTTATTGTTCCGCCAATATGTTCCTTCGCTGGTTTCGTGCTTAGAGGACGCCGACAGCGCCGTACGAGATACGGCGAAGTTGGTCGTGATTGATCTGTTCCGGTGAGTGAAGCTATTCCTCTAACCATTATATTCATCGAATTGCCCCTAACCAAACTCAGAACTGGCCCCGCAAGAGCGAAGTCTGACCTGCAAAAGCAAATGGCGGCACGTGGTGTAAGGAAATCCATCGCGAATGCTATCCTTTCGGGAATTGGCCTAGGGTCCATTGAACCCGAGACTGCATCCTCCACGCGTCCAATCTCTCGGGCTGAACGCTCGATTTCGGTGATGTCGTCACGTTCACATGCTATGGAACACACTGATGATGGTTAGTATTTCGATTCTGTTTATATCCTTGGATGTCTGCGCTAAGTGTACTAATTTGCTTGCAGAGATGGAGCCTGTGAAGACCCGCCCAGCTTCCAGAGCTACTCGTGAGCGACCTATAGCCTCCTCTGCACCATCAGACCCACCAATTGTCAACCGACCTCGCACACCGGCTCCGATGCCAGCACCCCAGGAACCGTTGCAAGATGATGATGGTTTGGAACCGTTCGATGTTGCTTCGGCAAGGGACATTGATGATCTTGTGCGCGATATGCTCCCCTGGTTTGAGGGAAGAGAATCTGAGGATAATTGGTCAAAGCGTGAAAAGAATGTGATTCTTTTCCGCAGACTGACTCGAGGCAACGCGCCACACGACTTCACGCAGACCTATCTCAATGCAGTAAAGACACTTCTTGACGGCATCCTAAAGGTTCTCAACTCTCTACGAACCACAATGTCTAGCAACGGCAGTCTTTTGATCCAAGATATTGCTCGAACATGTGGCCCTAGAATTGACCCAATGGTCGAGATTATCATGCAGAACTTGTTGAAACTTTGCTCAGCGTTGAAAAAGATTGCCGCTCAAAACGGAAATGCTACTGTTGCAGTCGTCATTCAAAATGTTTCATTCAGCGTTCGCCTCCTGCAGCACGTCTCTTTCGCTTCCCAGGATAAAAATGTTGCAGTGCGTCAGTTCGCTACAGGGTGGCTAAAAGCTTTGATCACCCGCCAGGCTCATCACAAGAGCGCAGTTGAACATGGTGGTGGCCTTGAGCTCATCGAGAAGTCGATCGTAAAAGGATTGGGTGATGCCAACCCTGGTGTGCGCGAAGCAACCCGGAGTACCTTCTGGACCTTCTACGGCGTGTGGCCGGAGCGAGCCAATGTGATAGCAGATAACCTCGATCCCAAGTCGCGAACCTTGCTGGAAAAGGATTCTTCAAACCCCAACCCGCCCTCAAAAGGTGCACCTGCTGCACTGCCTGCAAAGAGCCCTGCTAAGAGTCGTTCTGCTTTACAAGAAGCTATTGCTGCCCGGAAGAAGGCCCAAATGCCTTCTCGCTCCGAGTCAGCTCAGCCAGTTTTTGCCGAAGCGAAGCCACCCACTGCTGCCTCCACTCGAAGTGTACCCACTGGGGCCCCTCTCTCCTCTTTGTCTTCTGCGCCTATGAGACCCGCCATGAAGCCTCGACGGCCAGAAATCAGTCGCCCTGCAACCGCAGACCCCTATGCTCGTCGCCCTGAGTCACGAGCCCAGTCTAGTAGTACCCAATCTATCAGACAAGCGACAACTTCCCCCCGGGCCATACGATCCAAAACATCAACACCTACATCAAAGCCCCCCTTAACGGCTCCTCGCACTCGCCCGCATGAGTCAGCACAAGCTACTACAACGAAAGGCCGGCCGAAGAAGCTCGATTTGTCCAAGTCCAAGTCCCACAGTGATCTAAGGGCTGCGAGTCACGCTCGAAGTGACTCGAACGAAAGCCTGACCAACCTGCCATCTGCAAGAACCCCCCGTCACGGAAATTTCCTCACTCCATCTGAAGACCAACATTTCCCAGCATCTATCGTGTTGGAAAGTCCTCCACTTAATCCATCACAGCCTCTTCTGTATTCGGCACCACATGGCCCTCACGCCGACTCGGTTCCTGTTGAAGAACCGGAACCAATAATACTAGATGAACCTGTTGTTGCCGCACCTCCACCTTACATCCCTGAGCCAGATCTTGCGGTATCTCCCCCGCTCGTGTCTCCCGCTCGGCATGATTCAGATCTGGTCTTTGGCTCTGGTCCTGCATCTGCAACCAAGCCCCAGCCTGAGTCAATGGTGATCTACGAAGACCCCACCACCCCCACCACGGACCAAAATGAGACTCCTGCCTACTCCGTCTCGGTGGGAAATCTTTCCCCCTCAAAGTCGTCCCCTAGCCGCCCTGAGCAAACTCAGCATGGCGAAGCAGAGCCTCAACTCATATCCGAAGATACCCCAGCCTCGGTGGTCACTTCGGCTAGGAACCTTACACCTGATTTGGTCCCTAGACAGGAAACTGGTATGAACCTTGAAGTTCGAACTCCATCTCCAACTCGCCGGACACCGCTTCAACCAAGTCCATCACCAACAAGAGGCCGTTTCCAACCAGCGGCTTCTAATATTATGGATATTGAGGTTCCCCAAGAGCCTCGTTTGGGAACGAGCCGGGCCGATGGCAACAATGAGAATGCGACTCCACACCTGGCCAAGGCTCTGGACTTGCTCGCTGTGCCGCGCTCTGCAGTTAAACCGAGTGCTCTCGAAGAAGTGACGGCAAACGAACCTACACCGCGTTCGCCAGAAGTTTTGAGACAGAGATTAGTTGAATCAATGTCTCAATCAACACTCTCCCAGTCGACCTTCTCCCAATCAACGATGTCTGAAGATTCCACACGACGCACTCGAAAGTGGGTTGATCGTCACCGCAGCCCTAGCCCACGTTCCAAGGACCCGGCTAATGCCAAGGAAATGATCCGTAAAGGCCTGGCTCGTATCCTCTCTCGAACCATGGAGCCCTCGGGGTATCGGAAGCTGCAGGGTCTTATCCAATACCACGGTGATGAGATTGTACCCCAAAGCCAGGACTACAATGCGTTGCTGGAAGCTCTATTCACCGAACTGGAAGCAACGCCTTCCAACCGTAAGGACCACGACGTGAAGACACAGGTCCTAGCCACCATCCGTTCCATGCTCCTACGGACCCGTGAAAATTTCCACCCCTATGACACTCGCGCCATGGCAGCTATCATCCAGGCCCGCCGCCACTACGAGTCCACATCTCACTTCGTCACTTGTCTAGAGGAAGTGGCAGAGAAACTGGTATTTTTGACTTTGCCCCAGACGGCAATTGTCGGTGTTCTGCAGGGTCTGAATCTTGGAGCAGACGCAGAAAATGATGAGACATACCGGTCTACCATCATGGGCTTGAGTACTATCCAGCAGGCGCTATCTCGCCCTGGTATTGATATCGACGATGAGCTTCTGGCTCGCATCGGTGCTGTGGTCATGCAGCAGCTCGGGCACCCGCGCCCCGGCGTCAGGAAGAATGCCACCGAGCTCTGCACGTTCTTGAACATTACTTTCGGATCTGAACGAGTGCAAAAAGTCACGCAGCCTCCTCGTGAAGGATCCCTTAACCTTTTGACATACTTCATGGCCAGAAGGACTCAGTAATTGGTTTTTTCTTCTTTTTTTTTTCGGCTCAGGTCTACATGTGTATTTGTTTAATTACTCGGTAGCGTGGTGGCGTGTCAGGCCGTGGGCTTCCCGGTGTACATAAGTTCTTGTTCCATATTTATTTTGAAAATTCATGTTTGTATTATTATTCCTTGACGAGATATACCTAAACCCTTCTCTTGGCTCAATCTGAGGACGTTTGTCTTATCAATCCGGGCAGGGACATCCTTCCAATTCCAAGCTCCCGTCAATGGGTCCGAAAGTTGTAGTTCGATCAACAACCCAATGTCAGACCGATCAAGTCGATCTCATCAGTGAGACCATTTATGGCAGGATCGGGAGGATCCTACAACTTGGTAAATAAAGAGGTACAAGCCCCGCGCACAAAGGTATTGTGCTATAGCGGCCCAAGTTTGCCTTTATATAGACACAAAGACGACAAAGAGAATTTTTGCGATCAAATAGATTATCAACGTACAAAGAGCTAAAGTGCATAAATAGCCTCTCATGGCTATATAAATCACCCTCTTCGCCTCGAAGATTGTATCGCATCAATATCACTCTCGGCTCTCTAGCCCAGCAGCATTACCTTCACACACGAGTCTCAACCAGTACCAGGCCATCTCGCAATCATGAAGTTTTGGAAACTTACCGAAGCTACAAAGCAGTCCGAACCAAAGCAGACTGAACGCTTCCCAATCGAGGCAGCAGAAGCCTTTGATCCCAAGGAAGATGTTATCCGTCGAGCCGAGCGTACCGGCTCTCCCCCAGGCACTCTCCTTTGTTCATTCCCTGACCCTGCACCTGGAACAAGCCTTAACCAGTTTCGTTTCCAGCTCCACCGCGCAAACGGAGTTCAACCCGGTGTATTCGGGTACCTTGAGAAGTATGTCAACTCTACGCACTTAGTCTGGAGCATGTGTGCTATTCTTGCAGATAGTGGTATCGACCCAGCCTGGAAAGATACATTCGAGCTATGGCGCCCACAGTGGAGACAGTTCGCTAAGAGCTTTGAGATTCACGGGAATACTATGTGCACTATGGATACCCCCGCCTCGCCAGTCACTGAGATGCGGATTCAGAGGCCTAATAGCCTTGCCTTCGTTACTCTTACTGTTGGTGATCCCAATGAGAAGCAGATTGATCGTAATGTTTTGGAGGATCTCTGGAAGTGGATGCTTGATACGCCGCCTGAGGCGATTATTGAAGGGGCTTTTATCATTAGGCTTCAGCACGAGGAATGGTTTCCTGAGGAGTAGAGATCCAATAGGCGTTGGGTGGTGTTGAAATAGATATAGACCGAAAATAAAGGACAATTATGTCTTGCTATGAAACCTGAAGTGTGTAATAGGCTTGACATATCAGTAAAATGTAGCAGAGACATCGAGTATGTAGATAAAAATGGAAGGAATACTCCGTACGGAGTAGGTCTTGTTTAGTGGGGTGCGCTTTGAACGCGGAGTTCGGTTTCCGAAGTCTCGATACAATAATGCCCTAAGATGAGGGGCTCACGGGAGTTCGGGCAAGAGACGAGATTATTTCTTCTGGTAGAACTACATATTTGATTAAATTACGGGGGAGCTTCGGATTTTGGTTTCCAGGTGTGTAATACAGAATTTTTGATGGGCTGTCTATGAGCCCCAGAACATCTAGGCAAATTTTATCTCTTCCATCTGCTGCAACATAGTAGACGTTTTTTCTCGCAATCCTCTACTGCACAGAATATATACATCATGTCTAACCTACCTAAGATCCGGTGGGGTATCATTGGTAAGTCTGAATTCATTTCCGAGGGCTCTCGGTGTTGATCATTGGTGTGTAGTAAGCTAACGCTTTCCATAAGCCACCGGTATGATATCCTCATGGTTTGTGCAGGATCTGGTTCTGGACTGGCCAGAAGCAAAAGTAGAACACGTTGTCCAAGCTATTGGCAGTTCAAATATTGAGAAGGGCCAAGAATTTGCGAAAGAATACTGCCCGAAACAAAGTCCAAAGGTCTATAGCTCTTATGAAGAAGTCTATCGTGATGCAGACGTGGATATTGTATATATCGGAACTCCCCACGCGTTCCATTATCGCGATTGCATGGAGGCGATTTCTGCGGGGAAGAATGTCTTGTGCGAGAAATCTTTCACTCTGAATGCCAAACAGTCCAAGGAGATATTCAATGCTGCTCGTGAGAAGAATGTATACGTGGCAGAAGCAATGTGGCTCCGACATCGACCAATTTTCACTGAGCTCAAGCGATTGCTCCATGAAGAGAAGATCATCGGGGATGTCTTCCGGGTGTTCGCAGATTTTGCGTCTGGTGTTGATATTGCTTCACTTCCACCCACATCCCGATACCGCAACCTGAAATTGGGAGCGGGATCATTGTTAGATATTGGGGTGTATTCACTTACGTGGGTAAGATTGGCGCTAGGTGGGAATACGCCTGACCAGGCAGAGATGCCGCTCATTCTGGCCGCCCAAACCCACGAAGAAGGAGTTGAAGTGACTACCAGTGCAATTTTGCAATATTCCTCGAGTGGAAAGCAGGGTATCGTTACTTCAACTACCAAATCCCTCGGTGCTCCTGGTGAGGTCTTTGCTGTTGTACATGGGACTGATGGTTACGTTGAGATAGAAGGTAGGACACCATCTGCACCGGAGTCTTTTACGGTGTGGAAGAAGCAGGAAGGGAATCCTGGTCGTGCTTGTTTCCCAAGGGAGATGTGCCAAGGGAAGAAATACGAGTTTCCGACTCTGGGACGTGGCTTTGTTCACGAGGCTGAACAGACGGCCCTTGATATCCTCGAAGGCCGGAAAGAGAGCAGGATTATGCCATGGGCTGAAACGGTGTATATGATGGATATCATGGATGAAATTCGACGACAGGGTAACACAATATATCCTGGAGAGTGACGAGGCCGTGGATTTGTCTCATACCAGCCCTGCTCGTTCTTATTTCCAAAGTTGTAATCGCATAAGATCAGCAATTTTTAGCTTTTAGTGGTAATATACTACCACTGAAACAAATCTATATGGGCTTCCATACTACTACGCTGTACATAAAATGGAAGAGCATCTCCTCTTCTTTACCCGACTTTCTATATAGTACCCTTCTCTTATCACCATTCCCTAAGATGACGACTTATGTTGTTTACAGCCACGAGGGCGCAATCAATAATTTCTTCAGCTCAAACAAAACTGTAATGAGACAGTAATGCGGCGACTTTGCCATTGTTCATGCTGGTGGCGTGTCCACTCCTTTACAGATGCAAGGAGTACGTCGCTATACCATAACAGCGGGACCCAACAAGTCCAAGCTCTTCCAGTTTCGAGAGGAGAACTTTACCATTAATATAGGCAATATCAGCCTTGCCAAGGCAGTTCATTTCGAGTTTCTTGCTAGGTGCAAGTATCTCAGTGTCTTAGGCGATTTACGACTCCTCTATATCTACGAGATGGAGAATCTTCCTAGGACTGCTTCCCTTATAGCGGGTATTCCGTCAGACAGCACGTAGCAATAATATTAAGGACCTTGCTAGGTATACCTAGAAAACTTGTGGCCTCATTTATAGGAGAACCGAAATTACTGTACATGTTCTTTGCACAGTCATGGAATAACAATCAGAGCCCATACTTAGATAAAACTGCGATTTTGCTTGGGGAATTTCAATATAAGTTTGACATACTTGCTCGAGAACGTGCTAAAAATAGATAAGATCCGCAAGATACTCCCATTTCCTTTATTGAGAGCATCCTCTGGTAGAAGATTCGAGAGGAAGCTGATGGTTCCTCCGATGGGGATTTACGTTTGATTCGCGATGCAAGAATGGCTGAACTTTTCTACCTTGATGGATTTTCTTTTGACGCAAAAGATGCAGCGCAAAGTGTACAGATAGATGGGGATGATGATTTACTGACATATCTTGACACTTTTTGTACTGCTAGTGAGTGGGATCATGTTGTGTGAGCTGGCTTATGATGCTCAATATGCTGATTATTATGTAGATTTATAGGCCCCGTTGCCAGATCATATAGCCTGGCACATGAAGCAGTGGGGACTGAAGAGCTTCTCCTTGTCAATACATCGGATGACTCGATATAGTGAATATCAACAGAACTAATAAGGAAGGCACGATTGTAAATATCTATACGGGAAGCTCCTTCCAAGGCTGCACTTGGGCTTTCTCCCATTTTCCCCTTCTCACCCAACTCCCTCAATTGACTAAGCCACAGACTTATCACCTATTTTTGACTTCTACCCAAAATCTTTGGCTCCACGAAGTGTCTTCGAGCAAGAGTTGCTCACTTCTAATAATAGAAACAGAGCGTGGGGTCATCGATCTGCCAAAGTCCATACAGGGGAGTTCAGTCTGGGTAACTTCATGTGTGCAAAGGACAATTCCGTCAAGAGATATTGGTGTCTGACGAATGCTAAAAAAGATCTCTGGATTATTGAGCCATGGAATACAGACGGAATAATATTCACCGGATGTTTCGAAGGTGTTTTGATGGTGACTTGCATATCTGCATAGGATTCTTCTCAACAACATCATATCAGAATGCTGATAATTCTTAGACTAGGCAGGCTAGTGCTGTGACAACTCTCTAGGTATCATGTTCTTTGGCCATCTATCAGTTCTTACTAGCACTTTGTAGGATACATTATAATCAGGATAGGATCATATAAATTCTCCTTTTCTCCTAAGCATTTCTCTTATAAAGAAATCAAAACAGAGCGGAAACGAAGGTAATTTCCATCTACGTGCAAAACCTGATGAAGGAGATCGGCCATGTTTTATTGCTAGAGCAAGTAAATTGGTATTTGTCGCGGAATAGCTAGGCCAAGACTCAGCAGGAAGCCGAAGGACCTTTTTGCCATTCCATTTTATCCATTTATTGTTTTCAACCAAAATATTCGTACTCCCAGGAAGCTGATGGTACAAAGTACTGTCACGGTTGGATCGAATTTCAAAGGTACCAAGGTTGGTGTGAACATATAAACCGTCATGGAAACATTCGAGTGCAGTGGCTCGTTCTTCAAACTGTAGAGTTTGGATCAGCGCGCCCGTCACCCGGTCCCAGAGACGCACTAACCCATCACCAGAGCCGGATGCTAGTAAGCGGCTGTCGGGCGAGAAGCCCACGGACCACACATCCTGCGAATTGACTTCAAGAGTATGGGTGAGCAACCCTGTCACTAGGTCCCAGAGGCGGACTGTCCAATCATTAGACCCGGAAGCTAGTAGGCGGCCGTCGGGCGAGAAGGCCAACGTTATCACTGAGCCTAAATGACCTTTGAGGGTGTGGGTGAGCGCCCCCGTCGCTAGGTTCCAGACGCGCAATAACCTATCAGCACAGCCAAACGCTAGTAGGCCGTCGGAAGAGAAAGCCGTGGACCACATACCCTTTAAACGGCCTTCGAGGGTCTGCATGAGTGCACCCGTTGTCGGATCCCAGATACGGAGTGAACCGTCACTAGAGCCAGACACTAGGAGGCGGCCGTCAGGCGAGAACGCCAAAGCTCTTACTACACTTGAATGATATTCGTGATTCTGGGTGAGCGCCCTCGCTGCCGGGTCCCACAGGCGGACTGTCCGATCATCATACCCGGATGCTAGGTGGTGGCCGTTGGGAGAGAAGGCCACCGATCTTACTATACGTGAATTGCCTTCGAGGATATGGATAAGCGCGCCCGTTGATGAGTCCCAGAGCCGGACAGACATATCATTAGAGCTGGACGCTAGTCGGCCGTCTGAGGAGAAGGCCACCGAGTTCACTGAACTTGAAGGTCCTTCGAGAGTGTAGGAGAGCACGCCCGTCGTCGGGTCCTAGAGACGAACTGTACGATCAGTCGGGCCGGATGCTAGTCGGCCGTCAGGGGAGAAGGCCACTGCATTCACTGAAATTGAATGGCCTTCGAGAGTGTGGGTGAGCGAGCCCGTCGCCGGGTCCCAGAGGCGCACTGTATAATCAGTCGAGCCGGATGCTAGTAGACCGTCGCAGGAGAAGGCCACTGAGGTCACTCCTGACTTATCTTCGAGGGTCTGCGTGAGCGCACCTATCGCCGGGTCCAAGAGGTGCACTCGGTGAACACTAGAGCTGGACGCTAGTAGGCGGCCGTCGGACGAGAAGGCCACTGAGTTCACTCCTATATGGCCTTCGAGTGTCTGAGTGAGCGCACCCCATCTTTCCTCAACCTGTGGTAACTGGCATATCCAATTGGGAAGTTCGTGTTCGAGCATCCTGCGGATTATTGCCGTTCGGGGTGCGAATATAAGTCCTGCAGAATGCACCTGAAGGGGCGCTTCATCAAAAATCTGGCGATTTTTCAAAATAAAGCGCTTTGCATCGCGAAGGAAATCTAACATTTCAGAAGAGTCGTCGCCCTGAAGCTGTTAGCGCTGATGTGACATCAGGTATAAATATATTCCGAACTTACCAATATAGCTGTTTGGAGCTGATCAAGAATACCAAGTGTTTCTGATTGCTTCCACCCAATGCAAAAAATGCGTCTGGAGAAACAAGAAAGCATCATTCATCATCTTGGCCAAATCTGAGCATTGTACCAGATGATGTACCCAATATCGACAAGCGTATTTTAGCTCCGGGTGAATGGTATCTTGAATCAAATCCTTGCTGATTTGATTGTATTCTGTGCCCTCGCTGGGTAGATTGCAGATATTCTTCCTCAGGTTATTCTGCATGATTCGAAGGCATCCCGCTGTAAGGCGCCGGTTTGCATCTTTCGAATTGATCTGGAATTTGTTCCTATCTTTGTGATGATCTAAAAGAAAATCTCGGAATGCTAGATAGAGAAGCCTAACAGGCTTGTCAAAATCGGTTGGTACTATGAGCACCGAGTGAAGCTGGTCCAATCGAAATTTGACATCGAATGGCTCTTTCCCCACTTGTTTCGAGAGCGGCGTAGCTAGAATGATAATCATCCCGACTATCTCCTTAAACTCATCAAGTAATTGGTGTGACTCCGTTTGATTCTGGCCAGTAAGGAGTTGATTTATCACGGGAATATATATCCCCTCTATCTTCGACGCGTAGATCGATTGGTCTGTGAGTATCGCTTCGAGTCGCTTTCGAGGGTTCCAGCTCGTATCACCAATAAAACGGCACAAGGTAACAGCGGCAATAAATAAAGGAACCGCTCTATCAATCAGTTCCTTGGTAGCTGCACTTCCGGGCCAGTCGGGTGGGAAACAGTGCCTCTGTTTTAGAAGTAGTAGCTGATCCTCAAAATATAAAAATATATCATGCTCTATCACTGGATTTTCGATCTTATAGGGGACTAAATCCTGATAGTCATCACCTGATCCGCAATTTAGGTCTGCTTGTCAATAAGAACCGGAGTTGTACGGAAGTCGAATTTTGAACTTGTGGTAAGAGCCTAAGAAGAATCCCTATATCACTTTCCAAATCACATTCATCTAGAGCATCAATTACGACTACTCTGCTTGCGACCTCTTGTATCGGCTCAATTGTGAGTAGTGGATGGAGTAGAAGCTTTTCGAATTGTTCTCTTAACACCTTCTGTGAAATATTAGGGTCCTCCTCAATTACTTTCTGAACTTGAGGTAGTATTTGAGGTATAGCAATGACTAGTTGCCCAGTTAATGTTAGGGAAAGCCTTTTTGCTGTTCCTCGGTCCTGTTCGCCTCGCTTGAAGAAGAAGCTTACCCCGAGAAGCTGTTACTCTTTAAGGCGTCTTGCAATTGTTTGAGATATTGTTGATTTCCCTGTCCCTATATACCGTTTACCCAGAATATACATTTTCCGTGCGCCGAGTTTGCCTACACTTTGATTTCTCGAAGGAGATCAACTCGGGTTCCCGGGAGACATTCACTGTGTCGATTGTCGTAAGAGTTATATACTGCTCCCTTTGCAGTCTGTAGCCTGCTAAAGTCTATCTTTTAATAGATCGAATTGGTAGATCTCCTAAGTCTATATTAGAGCTAGGACTTGAGACTAAGAAGTAATGAATCAGGGTATGGCTCGGACGTTACATTTGATCAACTTGCAAGGACAAACTGAATATTGTTTTATATGACTCAATCTCCATGATAGCATCATCTACCTCCGACCATGCCAGCGGCCGTTTAAATGCCCTAAGTCCCCATTTCCTCATTCGTTTTTATGTCGTTTCCGGGTCAATTATCCCTTTCAATTTTGCGAGTGTCGAGGAACATTTTGTAATCTCGTGGACTAGATTGTCTGTAGTAGTGAGTTTATTGTTGCCATTGGATTGATGGGTCAGCTTATAGACAGATTCAAGAACTTGAGCAAGGGCGGCGATCTTTTCTTGGAGACGCTGAATATCATGTGCGGCGTTTTTGACACTGTTGAGATATTTTCCACGTATTTGGACGATACTTCTGGTTAACTCGACCACTGCGATAATACTTGTTGCACCCGAGAGAGGGTTCATGATCAACAAGCCTTTAAAACGATAGATAATATAAAAAGCAGAAAGTAATACCCGCCCACAGATCCAAAGCTAAAGGGACAAATGAGGACAAAACCAGAGCTCATAGATGGACCTCAGAGAGGGTAGGTGTCAAAGTGAGGATAGGAGGAGGATCTTGATTGGTGCTTACCCCATCCACTAGCGTACATGAATTTCACAGGGGCCTTTCTGCCCATGTAGTACACTAACTGAAAAAGCCATTGTATCGCATGATGGGGTCAGTGTTGTTTTATACGGCGATGGCGTTTGGGGCAGGGGCCGGGGCCGGGGCCGAGGTGAGGACCTCACGTTGGCCTCGCGTTGGCAGGGATGCGGAAGCATTCGTCTGAAGTATGAGCGATCTTTCGCTATTGAAAAGTTCAAAAATGATATGGCTTGGGGGGCTTGTTGTTACCCTGCTGATTGAAAGCGGTGCTTATGTCGCAAAGGATATTGTTGGTGACTGGGGTGACTAGCAAGACGTAGGTACTCAGAAATAACGGAATCAGAGGAGTCACCGACGAAGTACGGTATAAGAGATGTGTGAACCGTGATGTGAAGGTGCAAAAGATGGTGGCGAGGCTTGTGAGTCTACTAGGTGATTGACAAATTCTTGGGAGCTAACTAGGCTTGCTTGTTAGTGATAATAAAGACAGCTTTTCGTCTTCTGTCCCTAGACGGATAAGATAAATTCTAACGAAATACTGCAGATCATAAAATAAGAAGTTTTACGTTTGACATAAAACTGACCCAGATAGAAAAAAATAACAAATAGTTGTTTGAGATGTTTACCTCAGATCTACAGGCTACAAGACTAAAAATGCTTTATTTAAAATACTATGAACCTTAGAAAAGATATATCATTTACGCTATTATTTTAGACAATGAAACGAGGACGCGAAAGTTCCATCACTGCGTAGGGAACAGACTTTCTATGCTATTAGATCGGGCGAACCGTTCCCAGCCAGTTGATGTATTCGTAGCACGAATCCAGTAGCCTCGAGACCCATTTTTTGTGACGACAGCCACAGGTATTATGTTTAGTCTCCATGTGTTTACAATCATAGGATTGACAAATACGACTGGCGCTCTTTTTCCATTGAGACTAGCACCGGAGAACTCAAGACCCGTGTAATCGAAGGTTGTCCAGTGGGATACCACAGCAAGCCCAAGGTTTCCAGTGCCTTGCAACTTTAATGAGAGATTCTTGGATGCATGATCTTCCGAGAACCGAAGGCTTTGTTTGACGGATCCGGTGGACGTATATTGCAGTGTTTTGAGCCGTATTTTCCGTGCAATCTCAGCAACTGACTCTTCTTTCAGCTGTTGAGTAGAGAATTTACACCGAAGAGCTAAAATACTACAACGGATGTAGTATGTTCCAGCCTTTGGGGGCTCAATAAAGCGACGAAAGTTGATAATCCCAAAGTAGTCCACTGGATTAGGTGGTGCAGTATTAGGTTGAGGAGAATAGACGCATTTCAGATACCACGCGGCGATAACATCATTTCGCGTGAGTTTGATATCGGGGGAACAATCTTTCAGTTCTGCCTGTGATTTTACCCGTAATCTGTCGACCCATGGGCCTGGAATATAGATAAATTTGGGTTCCAGCTCCTCGCGAAATCCGAACTTTGCAGCAAGGATCGCCAGTAGCACGCGCCACACAATCAGTGCTAGCTTAAATATTCCGCTGTCATAGCTTTTTGCATGCATCTGGTAGTGGAAATTCGATTCCGCTTCGGAACACTCATCTTCGACTTTCATCAGATCAGACATTCGGACATCCCCAGCATCAGGTGGAAGGACAAAAGAAGGAATTGGCTTATTAGACAATAGGTCACAAAATGCTCTAATAACTTCCCAACAATCATTGCCGTCACATATATGGTGTGAGATTCCAAAACAGAGCAACGTAGCATCTCGAAGAAGAGTAACACGAAGGCGGAAACTGTTTGTGAGGCTGGGAGAGACATTGAATATGAATTTCTCATCAACTGCAAATATTTCCGGGCATTCCATGATTTGCGGCCCATTGAAATGTTGGTTATAATGGATTGGAAGATAAGTAGCCAGTGGTTGGTCAATATCCCTACTGGCGTAATCGGCAGTAGAGCCACAGGTGAAGGACCATGGTTTTGTCTAGAAATGGATATAAGCAGGCCGTAGTAGCGGGAAGATGCACTCACGTCTTCGATCAAATGACCGCCAAGTATTGGCCATAATCCAATCAACTCGGTGAGTTTTCCCTTTAAAATAGCCGAGTCGAGCACAGCGTCGACAATCAGGCCTGCATAAATGGTACTATTATTTCCTAAAGGGCTGAAGCTCTTGCAAGTGTATTTCGAGCCCAAATTCGAATTCTCCATTTTTAGTGTTCAGCGGTAAGAAAGGGCGTGAGAAAATGAGTTGAAAACGGATGAGATCCTTTTTCTTTTATTGGGGGAGCACAGTACATATACTCTTCATCAACCCCCTGAGTGCGCAGTTCAGGTGTCCACCGCATGACAAAAGCATAATCGGAGTAAATATAAATATAAGTAGTACTGTACAGATTTTAGTGTCAAAATATGGAGTATTTGCCTATTTTTGCTGAGAGATATATGTAGGTAGTACTACGGACCTCAGTACTACTACGCACTTGAGCCCAATAATTACTCCGCTAGGTAGAGTTCTTGCGAGATAATTCCTACCTTTGCCACTTACCAAAATCAGAAGCAGTATTCCTGCATATGCACACTATTGGTAAATATTGTATTTATTTCTAACGCATAAAATGAGTGAAACACGGGTGTCTTTTGGTTTTTTTCCTCGTTCCGGAGTAGAAGAAATACGACATTTGATGTTGAAGCTCTGTGTCGCAAATCCCACGTGCTTCTAATCCAAATGAACGTCCTGCGACGGGAAGTTTCAACCAGGCTATCTTTATTTCCTTCCTAAACAAGTCTGCCGGAGATTGAGTTGGCTCCTAACCTTTGACTCAATTGGCGATTAAAACCTCTTTGCTGCTCTCCGGAAATTTGCACATAGTCCTGGACAGGATCCTGTGCAATACCTCTTATAAGAAGCTAACTTTCGTGTCTGAATGGAAAGCCCAGTATGCAGCTAATCATCTACCCAGACTTCTGAAAGATATGTTCGTCACTTCTCCAAATTATGGAAGTGGATACGAAAATTCATGCAGGATTGGGAAGACATGACTTGATGGGTCCACTTTATATAGTAAGATCTCAAGTGAATATAAACCAAATATCCCATATTTGTTTTTAGACAGTGAAGATCATTATTAAGAGACCAAGTCCTTCACAGCTCTCAGGTGGGGTTTTTTTCGAGATGAGCAGAATATATAGATAACAGTCCTGACCTATTACATTAGAATGGTTTCATCTGTTACAACCTGCCCGTGGACTGGCGAGTTACACACCAGGCCAAAAAGACCACTATATTTGAGTATTACGCTCAGATATTCCAGGCTCCAATATATATAGTGCGACATGAACTTGAATCTCAATAGTTGGCATATTTTGCAAACAGGGACTATCCATACAAGCACTCATGACTATATCTATCAGATGTAGAAAGAATGTTGTCAGAAGTAGTATAGTGCCTAGTCTCAGATCCCGGTTTGGGGCGATTCAATCGATATGCAGGTGGAAACACACGTAGATTGAGTGCATTCGGAATGTGGGCCGTGGAACTTTCTATCAATCGTATGTGGATACTGTCAGTTTGCTTCAAAATGACTAAGTACTCATGGAATTCAAAAATAAAACAAATTACAATATGAGCGGTATTTCAGGGAAGACACAGAACTGGTTCGCAATATCCGGATGATGAATTAGGCCACAGATACCACACACAGCTGCCAATAAGGTATCAACATATGAGCATGAGATCAGTTCTTCAACACTATTGACATACTCTGAAAAGGCATCTAGAGTGGCATCCAAAGGTTGCTACATGGCATTGTGGAGACACAGACCCACTAAGCTTCGCGCCAATCGCGTGCAGTCGTTTTCGAACCCACGACGTTTGAGTGCCAAGGCTGAGTCTCACGTGACCTTATTGTGAGACCAATCAAACACCAAAGAGATAGACCCACACCGTTTGATCTTAAATAAAGGCCTCGAAAGAAAAAAAAAATTAGGTAGCTTCTCTTTGATTGCGTGTCATCCTTAGCGCAGGGGCCATGCTAATCTTCTCTGTATATTTTCATCACACGTATGCCCCGAAGCCCGAAGGGCGAAATGCTTATTCGTTCTGTGCTATGTGACCTCAATTTCCGGCAGAATTATACCGCCTTGCTTGCTATCCTAGAAGACAAAGGCAGAGTGTGGTCATGTGGATCGCTCTTTATCCTCATTGGTGCCATAGGCAATGTTTTTAGGAGAAGGTTGAAGTGCATAGACTATGATGTTAAATGAGATCAATTCATGGTATTATGATTCTACATCGCGCGATCCTCGAAAGTCAAGAAAAGCCATATCCCGTTCGACCTCAATGTTATCATAACTCTAGATCTGTTAATTGAATATGAGATTCATAACTACAATTGTAAATACAGCCTACGTGACCATACTACGTAGACTAGTAAATGACCCTGTAGAAATGATGTTTGGCAAGTTTGCAGGACTGATCGCCGGGTTGTCCTGTTAGGGCTGACCCGCTCGGCCAACCTGCCTAGGTTGTCAGCTCGGGAGGCCTAATTCCGATCTTCCCCAGGATCTCGGGAAGGAGGCCGGGGTGACTGATGATGGTCAACTCCACCTGGATATTGTATTGAACTACATGTTCCACATGGGCCCTTCTCAGAGGCACGCCGTGTAGCTTGGCTCAGCTGCCTGTGGCAGGATTATGCGGCAGAATGGAAATTGAGGGGGAGACAGAGGGTGTAAAAACTGACAACGAGGATGCAAAATTGAAACAAAAAGCTTATTTTCCCATCACTTCCTGGACTTCACCTCAATAACACCCATTCAATCAAAAACCAAGCAAATATACTCAACCATCCCCGAAATGGCAACGACATTAACGGGTGGAAACCCACATATCATCCAACTCCCCAAGACGCCCTCCGACATACCCTCCGACCCGCAAAGCATCGCCCAACAATGGCTCACGTCTCTCGAAGTCGAGCTCTCCCGCCCAGAGAACTTGAACATCAATCAATTATTCCACGTCGATTCCTGGTGGCGCGACATGCTGGCGCTGGACTGGGACATGCGCACCGTACACACCGCCACTGAGATCCAGAGTTTCCTGCGCAAGCTACAGACCAACGCACAACTTTCCAACTTCCAACTTCAGGACTCGGGCAAGTTTCAGCCACGCCTGGAGAATGTCGTCGACGGGTTGAGCTGAGTATCTTCCATGTTCTTCTTCGAGACTGCCGTCGGCACTGGAACGGGCATGTTGCGTCTAACCCAAGCAGAGAATGGAGTTTGGAAGGCCTACACTGTGTATACGTCGTTGCAGGAGCTTAGCTCGTCTCGGGAGCCACTCGGGAAGCGTCGGGCGGAGGGAACGACGGAGTCGATGCCTGGTGACTTGGCTGGGGGTACACGGATCGAGCGCAGGAGTCGACAGAAGAATTTTTTGGATAAGGAGCCTGCTACGTTGGTTATCGGGGCTGGTAACACATTCCCTTTTTAGGATTATTGTCGGCGGTTTGAACGCTAACTGGTCAATAGGCCAAGCTGGATTGAATATGGGTGCTCGTTTGCAGAGCCCCGGAATTTCGTACCTGATTACCGATCAAAATGAGCGAGTTGGAGATAACCGGCGCAACCGTTATTGGGTACGTGGCACTGGAGGAACAAAATCTGCTATGGAGAGAAATACTGATTTTCGAAATGCAGACACTTGTCACGCACGATGCAGTCGAATATACACACATGGCATACCTTCCTTTCCCGCAAAACTGGCCATAATTTACACCGAAAAACAAACTGGGTGATTGGTTTGAAGCATACGCCAGCATCATGGAGTTGGATGTCGGGATGCAGACCTCAGTCGTCTCAGCGGACTACGACGAAGCTGCAGGCCAGTAGACGGTTGTCCTCGCGCGCGGCGATGGGTCCCAACGTACAGTCCGGCCTCGTCACCTTGTATGGTGTACCGGACACTCAGGGAAGGCTAGGATTCCCTCTTTCCCAGGACAAGAATATTTCCTAGGTAGTGTGTATCATAGTAGCCAGCACCGCGATGCGTCAGAAAGCGAAATTCGTGGTAAGAAGGTTGTTGTCGTCGGTTCCGGTAACAGTGGTCACGACATCGCACAGAACTTTTATGAAAACGACGCAGATGTCACTCTGCTGCAGCGCAGTGGGACATATGTTATAACCGCCGAGAAGGGTATATTTATGATGCACAGTGGACTGCACGAAGATGGCGGGTACGTTGTCAGAGTCTTTCCCATCTCTGTCCTATCCTATTATCTCACAGACCCATATTAATATCAACCGTCTAGTCCACCAACCGAACAATGTGACAATGTCTCCGAGAGTCTTCCCTGGCCAGTTCAACTCGAGTTGAGCGTACATATGACGAAGACCATTGCGGACGTCGAAAAGGAAACGCTAGACGGACTGCGTCGGGTCGGTTTCGAACTTGATTTCGGACAAGATGGGGCTGGTCTTACGCGCGCATACTTCACTCGCGGTGGAGGTTACTATATCGACGTCGGATGCAGTCAGCTTATCATCGATGGCTAGATCAAGGTCAACCATAACCCGGGGTGGTATCAATGCCATTGGGAAACGCGAGCTGCTTTTAGCGAACGGTGACTCCCTACCAGCGGATATTGTTGTCCTTGCCACCGGATATGATAGTATGCGCACGACAGTCAGGAAAGTCTTGGGTGACAAAGTTGCGGATCGGTGTTCTGATGTTTGGGGTTTGGATGCAGAAGGAGAGCTTCAAGGTGTAAGCTGCCATTTATTGTGGGTACTTCTGGAATGCATGCTGATTATAATGTTCAGATGTGGCGTCCCACTAGCCATCCGGGCTTCTGGTACTTCGGCGGAAACCTCGCCTTGTGCCGGATCTACTCGAAATTCTTGGCACTTCAGATCAAGGCTAGAGTCTGGTTTATCAAAAGGAGTGCGACAGTAGAAAAAAAAGAGAAAATTTCTAGAAAAAAACACTATCAAACACGATGCCGCGTACTCAACACTGCGAGTCATATCACAATAGCCTATCGGCTTCTAGCTTCTCTTCGTGAATATCACTGAAGCGGTACAACACCTTAGTAGAACGTAGTCGGGATACCTATATAGTTCCTCGCGGATTTATATATGTTGCCAATGGCTTAAATAGGGCACTGTTCACAGATCACTATTAGTTTGCAGCTTGTGATGTACTTTGAACTTGATGATTGCATAGTATACATGAATAGCAATGTTGATCGCCACAAAAATTCATTCAAAGAATTACTAAAAGCGTCGAATATCGTTTCCCTCCTCCATTACCCCCAATTCAGCGACAAAAGACCCAGACCCAGAGAACCAGACATAAACCAAGCAGCTGCTGCTGCCCTTGAAAAGAAGCAGCCGCACTAAGATGTGGATTATATCTGGGCAGAGAACAGTAATTCGATTGGACTTCCAAGTCTGGATTTTGTTTCATCTGGCAGAGAGTAAAATTACCCTGCAGCCAGTGACTAGCCTGATTGTCATCGCTGCCTGGCTCAGGCAGGCCTTGGAAAAATCGGTCGGGGATCTCGCACCATTGGGCATTTTGCGATGCCTCTTGGATTGAATTGGGCGAGCAGCATGCTGCCAGAGCCTCGGTCTCATTTTTGCGGGCGTCTCCATCCTTGATGTAGTACATGCAGTAGTTGGTTGAGGCTTGCGTTGCTTTTGGGAGCGTGGGGAGAGATTGGGCGTGTGTAATATCCATGATTTCTGGTGTAATCGGTGTAAGTTAGAATCACTGACTGGGCTGTCGGGATTCATTTATACCTTTATTCTGCTAACGTTTTATGGTACTGTGCTCTTCTGTGCGAGTGGATTTTGTTTGGAAATTTGTGAACATCAAGAGGATTCATTCTCGGGGTGTCAGCAGATATAAACTCAGGAGGCTCTATGGATCTTGGCATAGTTGGAAAGGGGGTCCAAGATACGAAGTACTATCTCTTAGCGGGGAAATGATCCTGTCAAGGTCCAATCAATGGTGATGTGTTGCCGTATTAATATTAGATCCCAGCCCGTCCCTGGGCCAAAAAGCCTTACCGTGGGAAGGATGTTATTTTAGGAGATTTTATTGTCAATTAATTGACATAGCCCCCAGCCTGTTTGAATATATTCCCCGTTGATCACATTCCTTTCTTCCATTCACATAGCTTTCATAGCTTTCCACAATGATATTGTGCTGTATTCTAATGATAGCTTCTACTCATAGAGTCGAACAAATTGCTTGGAGAGCTTATTGGTCTGATCCCACAATATCCGATCTGTACTCCGTACTTACAACATCCATACTTTACGACACCTGTGGAGGCTGCATAGTGGGTCACGCCATACGAGCCAGCCAATGAAAACACGAATTAATATCCACACGCTTAAGCCCCGATAATTGCCTATTCAGTCCGTGTGAATAGCTTCAAGATCGCAACTTGTTACTGTTGATCTTGCTAGGGTGGTAACTCTACACGGGGGAGAAACTACCGTCATCGAGTTTCCCCTCGGTATATATCAGATTTCGATTGTTATTTGAGAGTCGGACGTTTGAGACTTTGTCCTGGTGAAGCGATTTAGAGAGTTCCATAGCAATAGGTAAACGATGAATAAAGAAAGAAGCAGCTAAATCGCTCCAAGGTTCTTTGGAAAGTTCCTGGCCATTAGATAATCGATTCCAAGGCCATAATGTGGGTACAGTGGGGCCTCTCCGGCACCAACTTTCCCGTTTCGGCCGTTGAAAGTATGACGACCTCGAAGGTGATTATTTTGATTTTCATATAGTTCATGTGTTCCTGTGATAAGAATAGAAGTAACAGTAAATTCCAAAATTGTGCATATTGAAGAGGAATGTTGTGTCAATCGGGGGGGGGGGGAATCAAAGTGGTGGAGTGAGAGAAAAAGTGAAATAGTGAACGGCGAGGGGATATGACTGAGATAAACAACTTTATTGGAAAGGAAGGAGAGCGAGAATGAAGTCAAATGGAAGGGATCTACGTGTATTTATGGGAAGGAACGAATGGGATAGATGAAAATGGGAAGGAAAGGAAGGAAGGCATAGAAGGAAATAGCCTCAGAGAAAATGGGAATTGGATCTGGGGAGGAAGTAGGGGATGGGAATAACGTCAATAATTGTGATGGGAATTGTTCCAGGGCAAGGAAGGTCGACAAAGAACAAGGGGAAGGTACGAGACAGGAAATAGCTTCAACCGTCTAGTATATATGGATGGCCTGTAGGAATTGGTGGGGTACAAACCACCTTGGAAAGGGTGCGAATGGCCTCACGAAGCCAATAGATAGAAATGACGGGGATGACGGGGATAGACGCAATGGAGACAAATACTGGGGCGCAATAGCTTCAAAAGGCATCTGAAACTAAGTGGACCTCAGAACTCTGAATAGCTTCAGAATCACCGTATTAGGCCAAGCAAGATCCAGCCAATCAGATCACTGGAAATAGTAAAAAAAGGCCAATTATAATGAACATCCAACAAGAGTTGTCAATTCTCAAGCCCCGCTGGCTTAGCGGTATTGGTCTGGTAGTACTCCCGAGGGTACACCGGCTGGTTATTCAGGCGAGCTTGCGTGTTCGAGCCAGGGCGTTGTCGCTAAGTAAATAGGTCCTAACAGGTGCTTCGACCCACCTGGACAGCCCCGAGGGGGTTGGGCTGCGTGAGGCATTCGCTAACAACACGCATAGTTATGACCCTCTGTAACAGGTAACAGGAGTGGCAGTCGTGTGACACAAACGAGAATAGGTCGAAGAGTTTTTTTTTTTTTCCTTTTTCAAAGCTGCATATTGGTATACATTGTCTCCCCATCTTGCGACTTCGAAGTTTCGGAATGAGCAGGAAGCTATTTCCCACGTTTACCATTGGTATACAGCGTCTACAGGTCAACCCCCGGGCCGTTGAATATTATCACCAGCTAGTTCCTTCCTTGAATACAGTACACGTACCTAGGGACCCATGGACCTTCGATATGCTTGTAAGATCCATCTTTTTGTTGTGACCAGCTGCCGCTCTGGCCTCGCTCTCAATAGGATTAACCGAGAAATCGGATAATTCTTTGTGGATTATTCACTATCTCGATCTCAGTATTAGATGTCAGTAAGCGCATCCACCTCTCCACCTCTCGATATACCCAATGCTAACAACCAATTCCCAGCCATTATCCATGAAGACAGCAATGCAATGTACATGCAAGCCACAACTCCCACTCCGGTAAGACAGCAAACGGCAAACGATATTCAACCATCTAATCGCTAACAGCTATCCTATAAACCTCAACAACAAAAGACCACAGCTAGTCGCCATGCGGATCGCTTTGCAAGCTCGGATTTTGCCGCAGGAGAGACCGAATCGATCCCCCCCGAGGGAATCCCCACCGATGTGCGTGACCGTTGGAGTTGAACCATTGTATGCCGATCAAATTATGACCTGGGATTAGGGGTGAAAAATACTGAGCTGGGGTAAGATGCGAGAGACACGCTCCGAGGAACCTGACGCACGTGTGACTGGTCTGGAAGTGCGTGTTAGAAGTCCAGATATAACAAACTGTGCAATTGACGGTTTCCATACCCGAGAAAGAATGGAGTGGTAATTGTGATTGAGGCTGCAACACACTCCTAATGGGAGATCGTATGTGGAGACGTCAATCACGTACATCTTATATGGAATTTCTACTGTCATCTGAATTTCTGTGGGAAATCTGGTAAAAGAAAGAATAAGAGATTGATATTGGTACTTGGATACTCCATAATAGTTATATGCACAAACTGCGACAATGTATCAACACCCGAACGGCGTGTCACGCCACAATAACCTCTCAGCTCCTAACTCTTCCTCATATTCCTCTCCCGCGAATGCCTCAAAAATGACAAATTGTATTTCCCAGGTTGCCCGTACCGTATAAAAAAACTTTGTAAAATCCCAGTACTCAGGATAGAAGCCGGTACATTCCCAGTCCACGATTCCAGACAGCCGCCCTTCGTCGATGATAATATTTCGGGGTTGCAGGTCCGCATGGGTGAATATAGACCGGTACTGACGTGCGTGGACAGCGGCAATATCTTTCTTCGTCTCATTGAGCACATGTTTATGAACAAGAAAGGAATTGAAATCTGAAATATGGTGGAACGGACCACATACGCCCGAGGGGAAACGATAATCAAATAGCGGGCCGCCATGACTGTTGGAGAAGAGGTGAAAAGTCTGATTTGGGATAGAAAGTAGTTGCGATAAGGCGTTCTTCAGATCTGTCGATAGTTGTTTGCGCTCCGAGTATGAGAGTCGGTGAAAAACTTCATCCAGGGGTTCTCCAGGTGCGGCTGTCATGATAAGAACGGGGCACGTGCTCTGGTAGTCGTCTACCCAAAGGGGTGCGGGGATCGAAGTATACCGTTCCACCAGCCTTAATGTCTCTCCCTCATTAGGATTGCGATTGGGGTCTTTTGTGTATAATCCGAACGGCAACTGGCTCACGCGGCCGCCAAAATACTCTGGGTATAGATAGGTGCTTAGTCTTAAGAGCGTAATTTAACACTGCACACGTATGAAGTGAGGCACGAGGCGCCAGAGTGAGTGTAGTATCTTTTGGGTTGGTCTGTTCAAGCGGACTATCACAAGGAAAGAAATTAGCACTAGAGTTCTATAAGTAACGGGGTTATTTGTATCATACACAAAGGGGGCGAGGGTCGGCACTCGGCGATTCGTTCTTCAACATGAAACAGATGCAAAAAAGTTGCGACTCGGTGATGCGTTAGTAATAAGAATGGATCTGGAAGAGGCTAATTGGTGTCTTGGCTCTCCATGATGAAAATTTGCATTGTTGACTTCCAGTGGCTACCATAGCTAAGAAAAAGTCGCCCGTAAGGCTCAGGAAACAGTCTGGACACAAAAGATTGACACCAAGTCAGCTGAAAGTGCTGTGGGAACGATCAGATTCCAGGAAGTACTGACATAAACTTCGGTGGGAGTTTTGATTCTGGTTTCGGTTTCATCGTTCCACTGATCGGGGGTATTTGTTGGCGGAAGTATTTGGACTTTTCCATTCCGGAATGCCAAATGAACGCTAGGAGAGAGTAGAAATAGATTTCTGAGCTGAGATTCCAGTTTGTTAGTCTGTAAAATTGTCTGAAGCTCGGATTTTTTGGTAGGGGTCAAAAAACCCCGCAGGAGAGGATAAAGAGGACCCTTTAATAGTTCGTCAAATTAGTTAAATTTCTGATTCTAGGCCATGACCAAAGGTTATTATAAATATCTACTTGCGGATCCATGTCACTTTCATCAAAAAGGCTCGGTGGAATCACCCAGACATGATCGAACTGAAGGGATACGTTGGGGCCTGATGGTTTCTTGTTCAACATAAGACAGTGTGAGTTCTCTCGAGTTTCAACGAGTGCGCATGCTTGGGATGAGACCAAGTCTCGTCTGATGACTGATTTTATGGTTAGTGGAGATACAGGAGCCAGTGGGGACGCGCTCGGTTTCGACTGAAAATTCGTAACCAGTCGCTTCCAGTCAATTTTTTAACTCATGTAGGACTTGCTCTGTCGAAAAATCGGGGCAATCATGAATCCTTTCCCAGATATAGCAAGCAGCATGCTCTGGATCGACGGCCTCGTTCAGAAAAGCTCTCCAGATTGAGTGCTCGATGGGTGTGAGCGAGGCGGATTCAATGAGTTGAAGAGTTGCGTTATATTTCGCTAGTAGAGCCATTTTCAAGGATGCATGGAACTAGTGTCTAAAACGCTAAGTCACAATGTACGACGTATATACTGTGGTCTACTTCTCTACTATTGACGACAATAGGCATGCGTTGAAGGGCTGATGATAGACCACTTGAAGTTGGGACCTTGAAGTCCTAAGGCATTGATTACGGATGCCAAAGTGAGCTAAGTGCTTTTGAACTTTTAGTGCTCGATCCGTAGATCGGCAGGAAATAAAGATTTCGAGGCGGCGCAACGTAGGCGCTCCGAGGTACCAACGCAATGACAGTGGGGTAAACAAGAGGTTCAAAATGAGCAAGAGGCTTATGACAAAAATAGCCCTTGGAAAACTACTAATAATATGACGTCGGAAAGACCAAACAACGCTGGTGGTCAGGTGACTCCTCTCAATCTTCTCTTCGCATGGCAATCTACATACTAGTTGTCCTCTCTTGGGCTGATCCACCAGGAACTCATCATTCTTCTTTCTTGGGTTGTGGGGAATTTCTTTCTCTTGAAATGACTTGCAGATGAATTAACGGCAGTTTTGTGAAGATTTTTAGATAATTTCTTCTTACCTCCACACGAGGCGTTGTTGGCGTTCTTGACCTTCCAAAAGGGGAAGAGCCAACCGTGCACGTGACCGGATTTTCGTTGACCGGCAAACATAGCCCCATCAGGCAGTTGACAGGCATTAGACTAAGCCACAGTCCACGATCGAGACGATACGCATTGGCAGATCTTTGCCGACTGGGACCCGATATCTGATTCTGTTCCTAGGAGGCTTAGTTAGGCTTGGTTAGTTGTTAGACTTGCATTAACAAACGGCAACCATGAGCGAAAGGGGGCCGGAAATTGTGTATCGGGCCGAAAATGTCCCGATTCGCTTTTTCAAAGCATGTCGCTGGTGCAGAAGACAAAAGATGCGATGTGACGCGCGCAATCAAGTCCCTTGCTTCCGCTGCCGCTCTACCGGCCGGGATTGCATCTTGGACCCCATTGATGATGGTCGGAGACGAAGTGACCGTCGACGAAAAAGAACAACTCCCTCAAGGTGACAATTGAACTATCGATATTGCATATGAAGGCAGCGAGCTAATATTCCATCAAAGAAACCATACTGCTTCACCGTTGGGCCCAAGGACCGGATATCACACTCCGTCGTCAAGAGATCAGGGGTTCTCACCTGCCACCGTGCAAGATGGCGGTTTTGACCCATTACCTGATTCTACTGGATTGAGCAGCCTTCAGCGGTCTTACACATCTGATGCGAACGGACCAGACTCTCAGCAGCTCAGCCCAAATGAAATGATCGCGCCTGCATCAGCGGTACACTCTATGTCTGTGAATTTGCTGGGCACTAATGATGTGAGTCACAGTTAAACCACTTACAAAATTGGCATTGAACTAACAGAGCAAGATATTTATGGAAACCTCGACTAAGGGTGATCCCACTGGAGATGTCGTCGCAAGAGGAATCGTCAGTGAGGAGCTTGCTCGTATCATGTATGAGAGGTATGAAACCAACAGCCAAATGGAATTGCAGTGTATCATAATCTGATCAAACTGTGCTCTAGGTTTACGGGAGGATCGAAAAATTTCTTGCCTCTTTTTGATCCGATTAGAGATACATTCGATTCTGTCCGTTCAAGGTCCTTGTTTTGCTTTACAGTGATTATCTACCTGGCTAGTCGCGCAGTAACAGATTTACGTGGAGACACGCATATGCAGCGTGTTCTACAAGACGAGGCACAACGTTTGGCCGAAGACAGCTTCTTCGAGCGACCTACCAAACTAGAAACAGTCCAAGGAATGATTCTTCTAGCTGCCTACTCCGAAAAAACATGGTTCTCCATTGCCCTCATTCTTCGCACTGCCTTGGATTCTGGATTGGAGAAATCTTTGGACACTTTGCTCTCCCAAGAGAATGTACCCCGAAGTTCGCTTTCGGCTTCCATGGCTGAACGTGAATTGGTATGGCAGACAAGAACCTGGTTAATCAGTTTCACATTGGAGTTGGACGTCGCATCTGGTACAGGACGCAAATCACGCATTGGCGAGGTAGACGTGGTAAAACTGCGCAGATTCCTCGACTATCCTCTCTCTCTTCCCTGTGATATGCGTACTGTGTGTATCATTGAGCTTCATCAACTTCGAGGTAAGGCGAACAAAACTGCAAGCGCAATCTATGTGTCGAATTTCTAACAGGTGGCAGGTAATTCTCGTATCATTATTGATAATACTTCAACTATTGGCGATATTATGTCCACGGAACTACCGGCCATTATGACGAGACTGCAAAATTGGTGGACGACGTGGGATGAAATTCATGGAAGTAAGCTGTCCTTTCTTGCGTTCAATATACTCACAATCTGGATTATTTCTGACTTGTATAATTTGAAGATAATGGTTTCCATATAGGAGCCTTTCAACGCAGCAGCCTCAAGAACATGCTTAATTATGCTAGGATTTTTGTTTTCTGTGCTTCTCTGGCACGGATTCAAAAGTTACAACCGACGTACACGAATTCAAGTACCGAAATCCTCGATCAGGATGTGATGAATCTGTGGCAGTCCCTTGTGGCAACCATCATGGAACAATTAGGTATTTTGATCAACGAGCCATCCTATCGCTGTCAATTACCGTGGGCACCAACATATCCAGCCCTCACAATCGCTTTCGTCAGTAAGTTGATCATTTCCTCAATTAGCAACATACAATTTACTAATAATATGGGTTTAGCGACATTCGCTCTTCGGATCGCCAGATGGCGTCCGAATCTGATCAATCAAAGTCTTTTGCTTGAAAGAGCAGAGAAGATCTGTGATTTCCTCAAACAACCCCCGTATCCCGATATTCACCGGACTGTTTCCATCTTCGTGAACTATGCACGTGCCTTGATTGCCAGTCAGCGTCCGCAAAGCAGTCATAGTACAGATTTACCCCTCATGGATGATCAAAATGAGGGCCCACCATTCGAGAGAGCTGATAATCCCATGATAAACGGCCCGTCTTCATCGGGAATGGGTCCCCTCGATGATCTCCGCTACAGAACTGGCCCGACCATTCAGGCAGATAAAGATTCAAACATGGTCTCAATGCCAAGCGGTGACCCATCTGTAATGGCCAGAGCGCCCGTATCTCGGCTATCCGGCACGATGGAGGCACCGAACTGGACTGTGTCGAATTCTATTGCAGATTCCTTTGGTCTGTTCGAGGAGGGGCAGAATGATATATTCGACTTCTTGCCTATGATGCCATCAATACCACAGTAACAACAACTTACCTAATATATCTTATTGAAATTGATATCACTCAAATCCCACTGTCTAAACTAAGTAAGTCGAACAAGGCGGAAGTTCTAGCCTCGTAGATCAACTCTGAAACTCCGATGAACAACAAATTGGGCCGCAACGCGCAGGGCATTATCTTTTCAGTATTCACATGTGTTTAGTCATATCATTTTGAATGCATCTCCACCCAAAAATGCATCTGTAACAATCAATTTGTGTAACCGGGCCAGCAATTGAGGTCCGGGACCTGCCCGGCCCCGTGAGTGGACTGCCCTAAAAGCCGGTCCCGCATCGGCCCCGGTTCCGCTTGCAAAAAACCCGAAATATACCAGTCTCTCATTGGCCTGTTACTTACTCCAAGATGATAGAGAGAGATATTATGCAGAACCAACAGGTTCTAGACATAGTGAGTCAAAGAATCGACAAGGTTTTCCCTTCTGGGTCCGCCGGTTGCAATGGGAACGAAAAAAAATTTGGTATGGCATATATAGCGCTTAGGTCCTCATCTACTGGAGTTTTTTTTGAGAGTTAGAATAAACACATAAAACATACTTCCAGTCTTCTTCCTTTTTGTTCTAGCTTACCCCGCACATTTGATGGTGCAATATGGCGTCAGACACGAAACAATCCTTAACAGCTCAGATAAGCGCCATCCTTTCTTCAGGTGCGATCAACCTCAACTAATATTTGCTGGACTATGCTAACATATACTAGACAAGGATGAGAGTTCAGACAATAGGTCCCTTGCTTCAGCAACGGAGAATAACCAAAGGTCAAATAGCGATTACCAAATAGTTCAACAGTCTCAGGACGAACTACTTGTCGATTTTCAGGAGAACTCACCAAAAAACCCACACAACTGGGCATTTGTACGCACATTGAGATCTGTGTATTAGAGATATTAACTAACACTTCAAACAGAGCAAAAAGTTCTACAATGCGGTTGTGGGTCTATTCGTTGTTGTCAATAGCGGCATATCATCCGCACTCCCCAGCAATGCAGTCCCCACTATCATGCAGGAATTCCACCAGTCCGGAGACCAACAAAAGGTCTTACCAACTGCCGTATTCCTCGTTGGATATGTGATTGGACCTATGATATTCAGTCCATTGAGCGAAACTATTGGACGGAAACCTGTGCTACTCTGGTCTTTCACTGTTTTTGTCCTTGCTACACTTGGCTGTGCTCTAGCGCCAAATTGGTCCTCTCTTCTCGTCTTTCGCGCTATCTGTGGTCTTGTAGGAGCTGCTCCTCAGACCGTTGTTGGTGGTATTTATGCCGACATGTATTCTGATCTCCGAACTCGTGGTCGCGCGATGGCGTTGTATATGTCGGTATGTTGTCGCTAATCAAGTTCACTGTTTGAATAGTATACTGATATTTCTCCCAGGCTTGCAGTTTTGGTCCCATTATCGGCCCGATTATCTCCGGATGCTCGATCAAATATGGATGGCGATGGACTTTTAGGATCGATTTGATTCTGACGGGTCTTACTTGGTTGGGCCTGCTCTTCACGTCTGGTATGATTACTACTTGGCCCAGCAAACTGTGCCACCAGCTCATCTCAGATCGAAATAGAAACTTTTACTCCTGCACTTTTGAAGAAACAAGCTGCCAAACTAAGGAAAGAATCTGGATCCAATCGATACTTCTCGCGCGAGGAGCTTAACCTGGATTTGAGATTGACGGCGATGGAGATTGTCACTCGGCCCATGACAATGCTCTTCTTTGAGCCTATCATCTCCTCAACATCCATCTATATTGCCATTGCATACAGTCTGGTCTTCTTTTATTTCCAGGCCTATCCCATCATCTTTGGAGGTAATGCTTCCTTCCACATGGAGTTCCCATCCACAATATTAACAAGTTCGCAGGTGTCTATGATTTCACCATCGAGCAAACTTCCCTCACCCTCATCCCAAGTACGTCCATCGCATTTCTTCTATATCCCTACCCACAACTAACCCCATCACAGTTGGCCTCGGCGCCACTTCTTCCGGCTTCTTTGCCCTCTATTACGACGTCATCTACGAAAAGGCCAAAAAGCTCAACAAAGACTGGGCGTGCGGCCCAGAAGTCCACCGACTCCCCATCTCCTGCATCTCTGGGCCCTGCCTGACAATAAGCATGTTCTGGCTCGCCTGGTCAGCAAAGCCAAGCGTGCACTGGGCATCAGCCGTGATATCAGGGTTCTTCTTCGGGTTCGGATACCAGGCCATCTTCACTTCGCTTCTTACCTACGTTACCGACGCATATAAGATCTACTCAGCCAGCGCACTGGCAGCTTCCGTTATTCTGCGCAGCATTGCTGGAGCGGTTTTCCCACTGGCCGTTGCTCCGCTCTATAACTCTTTCGGCGTTGCTTGGGCTACCTCCCTCGTTGGGTTTGTTAGCTTGGCTTGCATTCCAATTCCTTTTGCTTTGATGAAATGGGGTCCCTGGATTCGAGAGACAAGTCCCTTCTGTCAGAGACTGATTTTGGAGGAAAAACAAAGGGCCAGTGGAGCGAGTACACCCGCACAGGTATAGATGTATTCTCGACGCTTTTTCTTTGGGTTGGGATTCTGTTTTATTGACCGGGGACTGGTTTGGGACGAAGTAATGACTTGATACCTAATTTATAATGAAGTTCGTGATTTTTCCAATTTCCGAATAGTCTTGGTATGGCGTAGTGAGATTTATATTTCACATCGTAGTAACATATGTTGTTGACCACGGATTTCGGTCATATTATACCAAGGCAATTATGGATTTTATGGTTGCTTGTGAACTATAGGTCTGCGTAATATGGAAAGAATACAAATTTCAAAATAAACTATTGTGTACATGCATCGCTGCAACCAACATCTGCAAAAATATGATGTTCCGGCACTGTTAACGGGCTACCTAGTTACCTGTCTTGTAGCTCAGTAAGTGTTCTTCCCTGTCTCCGAAAAACGACTCGAGGAGAAATACCTCAGTAACAAGAAGCATGTGATTCAAGATGAGATCAAGCTCCGAAGGAGGTTAGGTCGTAGAGCCGCGAGTGTCAGTGATACGAGTACCATTCCAACCATGATTCTCGGAGTTGTGATACTGGGCTGTGTTTCTTCTATCACGCGGCCAAGTTTGGTTGGGGCTTTGGCCTGTATTGTTGCAGCACCACGTCCTTCCACTTCAAAATCGCGCCAATTCAAAACACTGAGCATCTTCTGATATTCAACCACATTTCCAGGCCAGTTGTTCGTGACGACACCGTCAGACGTTTTGTACCAGCTATTGCACTGGGGGTGTGCAAAAGTACTAGTCTTCAAAATTGTTTGAATCTTATCATTGAATGCTCGAACATTTTCTTTCTTGGGTGTGAAGGAGACAATATCACCATTTCCCCGTGAATCTATCACTTCCCTGATAAGAGTGGTAATATATCGCGACTGTGATTCGATCATCAGGATGATACTGTTGTGCCCGAGATTTGTATTGGGTCCGTATAGCATGCCAAAGTTGGGCATATCCTCCACAAACATGCCGTAAAGAGCGTTGGCCTTGCCCTGCCAGATGTCACCAATGGTGCATCCGTTCCGCCCGACGACATTGACTGGGTGCAAAAATTCAACTGTGCGGAACCCAGTTGCGAGGACTATGAGATCATATTCCTCTTCTTCTTTGTTTTCAACTTTGGCACCACGGTCCGTGATGTTCTCGATATTGTCGGTCTCCAAGATGACATTTGGCAAGCCCATCGCTGGGAAGAAATCATCTGAGATCAAAACCCGCTTGCAGCCGGTAGGATAGTCTGGAGTCAACTTATTCCAGAGATCAGGCCTATTGGGAAGCGCGGCGTTTAAACTCGCAGTATGTGCCTGTTCAAGCATCTTGGAGGACGGGGCATTGGGCTTGCTGATGGAATCGTGCATAGACTCTCGAAAATCCATCACCAACTGTCGATGGCGTTTCTGAGCAGATGGGAGAAGTTTGAACAGAGAGCGGCGCCACTGAGGGATAATTGTATCCCCACGGGGCACGACCCAGTTTGGTGTCCGTTGAAACACAGTGACTGATTTGGCGACTTTCGCTATTTCGGGAATGATTTGAATGGCGGTCGCACCGTTACCGATGACTGCAATCCTCTTTCCTTCGAGACTGTAGCCCCAGTCCCAGCGGGCGGAATGCATCACCTTTCCACTGAACGAATCCAAGCCAGGGATCTGAGGAATATTGGGCTGGTTCAGCTGTCCAACCCCGGAGACAAAGAAGTCAGCCGAGATTGTGCTGTGTGTTGGCGAAACCCCACCATCCCTGTTATCGAGCGTTTTCAAGTCCAGCTGCCATTTTTTGGATGCCTCATCCCAAGCAGCACTTTCCAGAGTCGTGTTGAATCGAGCGTAGCGATAAAGATTCCACTTGGCCGCGACTGATCGCAGATAGTTGAGGATTTCCGGCTGCCCGGGATACTAATCACCAAATTATAAGCTCCACGCTATACCAAAGACCATGCTATACATACCTCTCGGGTCCAATCATTCGGTTCAAATGAAAAACTGTAAATGACAAATGAGAGTCAGTATAAGGAGAACATCAGCCCCTATTTGGGGTCATCTTACCTGTAGAGATAGCTCTGAACTATGTTGATGTTAGATATATTTTTGCACAAGCTAAGAGTTCACATGCAACTTACTATCACAGCAACAACCCGGGTATTGATTGTCGTGCCAAGTTCCGCCAAATCCATCTGATTTTTCTATTATGACAAAATCGTGATAATTATGGTTCCTGATAAGGTCAATGGCAACACAAATTCCTGGAATTGGGTTAGTTTGTCGTTGGTTGGGTAAGCAGAAGAATTTACCTGAGATGCCGCCCCCGACAATAACAACACCTGCATTGCTGTGTTGTTCATGGCGTGTAATACACTGCTTATCCACCAATTTTTCTGCCATTTATAAGGGGAACAGTCAATTACCAAATGAAAGTATCAGGTAATATGCGGAGTGAAGCTCAAGAGCTCATGCCTTCCAGGGGTGTATAAAGGAACGGTATATAAAGGAACAAGGAAAAGCCCCGACAACTTCCTCGCGAAAAAAGGAGCAATTCAGTAGCTCCGCATAGCTATCAGAGTTACTAACCAAACTAATAATACATCTGACCAGGTGGCTTCGGTTACCAATTTGGTCTTCGGAGTTCGGGTGCCCAAAGTACCATTCCTACCAACATAGCCACCCGGATGTGTCCCTTGCAATTTTACGGTATGAAGTACCTCTTACATATATAGTCAGTTTATTCTTTATTCTAGCACATTTATTCTAACATTCTGCTATAATGAAACCAGAAACTATGGAGAATCTTTAGTCTGGGAATATGTCTATGTGCTAATTATATGCCAAAAGCGTAGTGGAATTTCTTCTCATAATTCTGTGGCAGCGATAAGAATTCATAAAATAAAGCATGTGATTCGTCTGATTGTAGCATATGGGGTATGCAAAATGGCGTCTTGGCGAGCCGTCGATCCTGTCGGATATCCCAAAAGGGTCACGGTAAAGGATTGTTATTCCCGGGGCCCCAGGAAACTCAAATTGATCCACATGACAAGTCCTAGCCAGATGCCAAGAAGGGATAATTGCTGAATTGACGATGCCCATTCACACGGTTATGGTTCCGAGCATTACAGATGGCGTAGGAATCACGACTACGCACGCCGCACGGCCACCGAAAATGGAATTCCGGTAGAGCCGTTAGGATGTATGGTTATGGAAGATATATGGTATAATCAAGTTCTAATGTAAGAGCTCTTTGCTATTTGTTTCTTATCTTATATATATCTTTTGATCGGCATATTTTGAAAAATCGCCGACAGTCTTTCCTATATTTCAGAAGTTCATTTGTCAAATCGATTATCTCTTTAAATAACCGTTGTGATGGAGGCTTTCACCAAGAACCTTCATGCGAGCACGGACTTGAGTAGTCCTAACGCTGTGAGTGCTGGCATAGTAGCAACAGCCGTGGGCCGTGGTGGTAAGTGATCCCCTTCCAACAGACAGTTAACAGTTCTCTATGCTAAACGTGACCAGGAAAGAAACTGTATTTTGAAGCCGCAGGTGATGGAACTGGGGATTCTCTCTGGTGGCTCGCATCGCAGGGAAAGCTCTTCTGTACCGTTGCTGTCTTGCAGGCCGTGGAACGCGGTCTTATCGGACTACATGACGATGTTTCGGATATTGTACCAGAACTAGGACATCTCCCCATTGTCGATGGAGAGAACCCAGATGGGACCGTCAAGACAAGGCCATGACAGAACAAAATCACCCTAAGTCTCCTCCTCTCGCACCAGAGTGGACTGACCTACAACCTATTCAATCCAACGCTGCAGAAATGGGAGAAGGAACAGGGCTCAGACCTTCCTCTCCTGAATAAAAATTTTGTGAGTTATAAACTTTGTGGTGTCATTTTTGCGCTGTAATGTATGTATTAACAGATTCTCAGAAATCCTTCGAGACGATGCCGTTGATTTTCGAGCATGGAACTGATTGGGCTTATGGCTCCGGCCTTGTCTGCATATTCAACTATGTGAATCTTGGGGTCTCACAAGTGACGATATCCGACAGCGGAACCTCCTTTTCTGGTGCTTGTTTTGCTTTGACACGAGTACGTCCTAGCCTTCATATTCCTCCATACTACGGCAGCTCATTTAACTAGGTTAGATATGATATACCGCCTTGGAAGGCCACCTCAGATTCGCCTTTCTGATGTTACAATTTCTCTTCCACCTGCGGGCCAGGACATGAGCATGAGTCATGCCATGGGCGAGTCGTGGAATACGATCAGCCCTGGGGACGATGGGCGAATTTTCCTATCTCTTATCAAGGTCGCAAAAGTCCTTGTGAAAGTGTACGAGTGGGCGCAGGTCAGTGAATATAGTGCCAATCTACTTACACAGGCGCTGGAGCTTGATGGGAAGGTATGTGAGGGCGTAAAATGCTCGACCCTTCATTATGTGATTTTGGATATTTTTAACAAAACCTAGTTGTGTGGCATTCATAGTTCTCTCGAGCCAGAGTAGAGACTGTATGAACATACCATGTCAAACAGTCTCAACACTCTTCCTCCTCGAATGCTCACTCCCTTGGTACAGATCCATTGCTGGATTCTAAATGCCCGGTGGGTATTATTTTGCCGCATTGACATGCTGCAGACTGAGCGAGATGTATCTGGCGATGGAGGATTTATGGTGGACTTGGCCTGCAGAGGCTATAAATCTGCATCGTGCATGATACAGTTAGTTCAGTCCTTGCCGAGTGAATCCATTCCCGGCGGATGGTACGTGTTTTGAACTAACTATTTTTGTGGCCTATAATATTTTTTTATCAATTTAACTTGCTATTGCACAGGATATTTGACTCTTATAGCACATTTACCTTCTTTGTTCTCTTCATTGGAGTGGTCAACCACCCTCTTTCTCTCGCGGCTAACGAGCATCTTAGTGTGATGTCTAGCGTGATAGAGAACACTGCGCTCAACGCGTTTTCCGAATTGCTCATCTCAAATCGACACTTGACACAGTTCATGACTCTCTACTGCCGAGTGGCACGACTGCTAAAACGGCGGGCGGAGGGTACAAAATCACAATCAAACCAGAGCCGATGTAAGCGCTCTAGCTTGAGTGACCAGCACCAAATTCACTGCAGTTAACTCCGTGGTGGAACGGAGTTTGAATCTAGGATTATTATAGGGACAGAACGTTTTGTCAGGCGTATGACAGTGTCATAATGTATTATTAATGACAACAATACCGGATGTGTACTGGCTGGCTATTGTGTTGCATAATTCCCTTTATTTGAATTAAGGTGAACTTGAATATTAGTTCTGCAGGTCACATGGTTTCATATTCAAAAGAAAGACAACGGCGTAACTAGATATAGGGAGCGAGAAAGAGATTTTAGACGCCATGTCCCCTAAAGAAAAAAAAACACCCTTGGTAAACATGAGAGTCTTAGGGACTTGCTCAAGTCCAGATTGAAACTGAGTATACTACCATATATTCTGCCACCTCGATCAGTAAAGTAAGTTACTCTGTTCTGGTAGCATTTAAGTAGCACTTCCGAGCGTCTGGGTGTATCTTCCTACCCACATTGCTGGGATATTTGGGCTGGCAGATTGGGTGCCCGAAGTATGCGCGATGTTTTTTTTACAACCCTTTTGATGCGAACACTACCCTCCTTATAGCCAGCATGTAAGAGGGGTAGATGGTATTCCGTGGCAAGAGGGAGTCGTAATGTATCCCGGTTATCCCGATTCGTTTTGCCCTTCAACGGCGTTGTTTCGGATATTCCAAAATGGGAAGGTTCACGGGTAATTATGTCTGGTGCGACAGCCTGAACCTGCCGGATGACAAAATCGGGTGCAAGCAAAGTGGCAGTAGATTGGGCTGGGTGATATTCTCTAACAAGAAACCTGTCTTTTCAACTATCGCTAGATCAAGCACAATAACCGAATTCATGGACCCCTCTTCTATTTCTCCTTCTTTGGAGAAGAAGAGGAGAATATTTGAGGATGAAGTATCAAGCCGGACAAGCCGTAGTTTTTTTTTTCCTTCTTTGTGAAAAGGTTACAATTCAATATAATCCTTCCAGTCTAAAGAGCAAACCATTGATCATTTGTTGAACAATTGTTTCCTCGTCTGTTCCCACAATTGTTTATACTAGTCAACCATCCTATCTAGACTTCCATACGAAGCTTCTAGATCGGCCCATTGATGACCCCGGGCGTAAGCTGAGGGTCGTCCATGTTGGAGCGGGCTATTCGGGCTCAATGCTGCCATTCGAATTCCCGAGCACCTGGGCGATGCTGTAGACCTACAGGTATATGAAAAGAATCACGGTACGTATAACTTGACAGTGGCCGCAAAAACACCGCCCTGTGCCTTTTTCCATTTTGTGGGATGTTATGATTTCTAATTCTTTGCAGACCTTGGTGGTACCTGGCTGGAGAATCGGCATCCTGGTGTTGCTTGCGATATTCTTTCCGTTAGCTATCAATGATCCTTCGAGGACAACCCGAAATGGTCCCAGTAATACAGTACCGGGAACGAGATTCTCGAATATATGCGCACAGTGACTGAAAAGTACAAATTGCGACGCTATATTAAGCTTCGACACCAGGTTGTCGGCGCATGGTGGAAGGAGGACCAAGGCCAATGGCACCTCCAGATTCGCGACCTCGAGAAGGATGAAGTGAGTAACGCTGCACATTCCTTACCACTTGAGAACTCAAAATCCTCCTTCAATCTCCTTCAATCTCCTTCAATCTCCTTCAATCTCCTTCAATCTCCTTCAATCTCCTTCAATCTCCTTCAATCTCCTTCAATCTCCTTCAATCTCCTTCAATCTCCTTCAATCTCCTTCAATCTCCTTCAATCTCCTTCAATCTCCTTCAATCTCCTTCAATCTCCTTCAATCTCCTTCAATCTCCTTCAATCTCCTTCAATCTCCTTCAATCTCCTTCAATCTCCTTCAATCTCCTTCAATCTCCTTCAATCTCCTTCAATCTCCTTCAATCTCCTTCAATCTCCTTCAATCTCCTTCAATCTCCTTCAATCTCCTTCAATCTCCTTCAATCTCCTCCGGGCTATTGCTCCAACCTTGATTTACACAGGTATTTTCCGATTACGCAGACTTCTTTATCCTAGGCTATGGAATTGTGAATTTCTGGGAATGGCCAAAGATTCAGGGTTTGCATGATTTCAAGGGCCCTTACATGCACAGTGCTGCTTATGACGAGAGCTTCGATGCGACTGGCAAGACGATTGCTCTTGTTGGTGGCGGTTCCTCTGGCATCCAGATTCTTCCTGAGATCAGGAAGGTCGCTAAGAAGGTTTACCACTATGCCAAAACTCCCAACTGGTGTGCTCCCGTTGATTTTGGAGCCAGTGAGCTCATCAAGAGAGGCAAGATTGCCGAAGGAAACTGTAAGTTACTGTCTGTCCCCTCAGACTTGGTTCTTCTAGTTCCGCTGGACAATATAAATTTAACAGACAAGGTCATGGAAATCTTAGCTAACTTCCAAATAACTAGTCAACTATAGTGAAGAGGAGAAGGAGTTGTTTACTAAGGACCCCAAGGTCTTGCATGACCACCGTCTAGAGGTCGAGGAGAGCTTGGCCACTTTTATGTTCCCGAAGGCCTGAAATTTGGTACCGAGGCTCAAGCAGAAGTGTTCAAGGTATTCGAGAACCACATGCGCGAGAGGCTAAAGACCAAGCCTGAGATCTTGGACGTCATGGCTCCATATTTCCCTCCTGGCTGCCGACGTCTCACTCCCGGCCCCGGATACCTGGAAGCGCTCTGCGAGTTGAATGTTGAGTTCATTTCAGAAAAAATCTCTCATGTCGAAGATAAGGGCATTTTCACCGAGAAAAGTGGCTTGAAAGAAGTGGACGCCATTATCTGGGCCACTGGGTTCAATGTGTGAGTAACCAATTACCCAATTCTCAGGCAGACATTTAGTGCAGTCATGATACGAATTCCAGTGCTGATATTTCGTTCACTCTGTAGCGACTGGCTTGAGCGTTTCCCCACCGTTGGCCGACATGGGCGCAGCATGACAGATGTCATGGATCCTGATCCTGAGGCATATCTCGGTACGTATCCCCTGTTCTTGCTAACAACAACAGTATTTCCAGGCTGACTCCCACCAGGCATGTTCGTGGATTCCTTGCCCAATGCCACTCTAATTGTCGGGCCTAATGCCGCTCCCGGTGGCACCACCGCTATCCAAACCATCGAGACAGAATACGAACATGTTGTCGCTGTGTTGAAGAAGCTGCTTTTGCAGAAGATCAAGTCGATCTGTGTCAAGTGAGTTTGACTTTTCTATCATATTACTTTCCACCACAATAGTGAAGTCGGGTCTAATTAAATTCCCACAGGACCAATGTTGTCAAGCAGTACACAGCACAGATGTTTTCAGCACACAAGCCAACTATTTTCGGTCAACCTGTAGGTTTCCCTGATAAACTACTGCATACTATTCTGTGGGCCGACTAAGCTAACTATTTACTAGTGCCGTTGATGGCTGAAGCGCAACATTGCCGATGGCCGCAACGTCGGTAAGTTTTCAAAAGCACGCACTCCGGTATACAAGTGACAGCCACACTAATTACTGTGTAGCATATTATGGAGGAAACGGCCTCAACTTGACCGTCGCCGTGCGAAACCCCCGTTGGGAGGACTTCGACTACACGTACCTAGATGAGCTTGAGGGTAATCCGCAGTCATGGCTTGGCAACGGCTTCGTTGTCGCAGATGTCGACGGCAGCTCGCGTGTGAAACACCTGAGGCTTGAGAATTTGGACATCCCGCCTGTTCCCACTGATGATGAGGAGAAACCTAAAGCCCTGGCTATGCAGAACGGCAACAAGACAAGCGCCAATGGCGTGACCGCTTAAGTTCGGGTTCTGGTAGTTGAGACCTGCCAAGGCGTGCTTGAGCCGATGGTGCATCTATCGTCTCTTGTTTGTTTACTTTGTTTGTTGTATGTACTATGAACTTGTGCACAATATGAGCCATTTTGTATCAGAATGAGTCTTCTATAAGGATATATAACTAGACCTCCGCAAAGCCCATAAGGCCCCCATTATAGCCCACTAAGGGGGTTCAACTAGGATCTTGTAATCGCTGTATTCTGAACCTTCTACTAATTGTATAGACTTTGGATTTGGAATATATAATTGCGATTACTATATAGGTGTATACTCTAGTTTTAAATAAAATCTAATAAAATCTAACCAGTGGAGGTCAAAAAAAGGTCAATGTATGCTTTGATATCAGATATATATTTTAGATCTACGAGGGAGCACTCCGATCTAGTGAAACTCTATAATTTATAAAATTTCTAAACCGCGCGTTTTCTCGCGTTTTTAAACGTGATTAACATATTTCACTATTAATTTACTATATATCAATTATAAGAGTAAAATATTACCCCTAGATAAAGGCGAGAAACGGGGTCTACGGAGTATACATATAGTAATTAAAAAAATCACGTCTTTAATATTCGTATTGTTTGGTGCTTTTTGGGCCCATAGCCCACCGGTGGGCCTAAGGACCGGGCCCAAAACCCAGCCCATTAGTGGGTTGGGGCGGGTTGGGCTTTGGGCTTTCTGGGCTTTGCGGAGGTCTATATATAACCCGCGAATGTCCTCAGAAGAAGTCAAATACTACAGTTACCGTTGTTAATCCGATCGTTACCAGCCAGTTCTTTCTCAAAGAGAGGAGTGCATTCATTTCAAGCTTCTAAGTACAAATAAAGGAAGAGAAAGAAAGAAATCGAGTGGTCGAGGTTCTTTATCTCTTCCTTTCACATGTCAAACTTCTAAGGCGGTCACAAGTAGCAGAAAATTATTCCACTTGTATGGTATGGTCAAGGAATAGCTAACGTATTTCACTACCGAGCCGGCCACACCACCGAGCCGGCCACCCCCCAAACACATAGTAAATGCGATAAATTACAACTTGATATCTCAACAACGGCCGTTTATATAACGATTTCGCTATAGACTAATGCTCTTTAGGTAATTTTTAGCTTCTCTCGCGAGTTTGGGAAATATATATGACTTTGTGATTGTAGTATATATACTTCTGGCTTTTAGCACTGTAATTTTCAATACCGTAATGATGCACCTCTTCGATATTTTTAAGATTGCTACATAGTATTTAAAATTCTTATCAATAGCTATCTATAGGTAATAAAATCAAACAAAAACGTGGTTGTCGAGATATCAAGTTGTAATTAATCGCATTTACTATGTGTTTGGGGGGTGGCCGGCTCGGTGGTGTGGCCGGCTCGGTAGTGAAATACGTTATACATAACTCTAACTAACTACTAGTTAGTCAACTAACTAACTGACTACGGAGTAGTTAACTAATAGCTTCTGCCCAGGTGCCCAAGTGTTTCTATGAGCTTAGTCATTCCTCTGAGTCAGCGTATCTTTTCGGGGCCAAGGTTGTCTTTCTTGTCTCCAGCTTCTGAACTTTCGTCTTCTTTCAGTCCATCATGACATAGAACTCTCAATATGCCTGTAAACAAGCGCAAGCGTGCTCGAAAAGCTTGCAATCCGTGTCACCAGCGCAAGCGAAAATGCGATGGCGAGCATCCGTGTGGAACGTGTTCCACCTACCAGTATCAATGCAAGTACGACGACAACATCACCGGGACTGCAAATCCCCCAGTGGCTAAGCGCGCTGTGCTCGAGGGACGTAACATGCAGATCCAACCCCCCATGGAAAATGAAGGCAGCCCGTCCACTGGCAAGAGCCCCGGCATCTTCGAGGAGCACAAGTCCAGATACACCGGCGCATCGGCAGCTATGGCCTTCCCGCATATATTAGGCCTGGCTCTCGGATCTGACAACCCTCCCAAGATCAATTCAACTGCGTACAACTTTGGCCTCCGCCCGGAAGAGGCTTCCAACACGTATGGTTTGCTGGGCAGCCTAATCTCCGAGGACGACCTCGCCTTCTACTCGGACGTGTACTTCTCTGCAATGGGCTCTATTTTAGATGTCATGGACCCCAGGATCTATGCTCAGCGGTGTCGCGAGTATTATCATGGGCCCGGCAGTCCGCCAGTCGCGTTTGGTGCTATAGCCGCTGGTATTGCTGCAGCTGGATCCTTACTTTCTTCAGTCAGGCACTCCCGTGAGTCGGAACTACTGCAGTACGCGAAAGCTATTCTCGATGATTCGGCCTCGATGCGGATGCTGAGCGTCGATTATATTATCGCGTGGGGTATACAGTTATTCTATCTCCGAGCCACAACCCGTCCTAGTAGTGCCTGGGTCGCCTCCTGTACACTTTTACACCGCTGCGAAGTTGTCGGGCTGCATAAGGAAGAAAACATCCAACGTATAGCGTCCGTCGCTGGTGCCGCTACTCTTGGCTATGACACAGACCGACTAAGGCGTATCTTCTGGGTCCTATGGGCCGCACACCAGATACTGTCCTACGAGTGCGATCGGTCAGCTGTAATATTTCCAGCCGTAACTACGCAGGCGATTATTGCGATCCCAGGATCTGTTGCCGACCAGTTCGTACAAATCGTCCAGATTATCCCGTCGCCGAACTCTCCGTTCCAACTTGACTCTCAGCCTCTATCTCCAAAGGAGGAGCTCTCTGAGCGTCTTGCAGCATTGAGCAAACTACATTTCACGCATCCATTCTTGGTCGCTACCAAGGCGGACCTTGCATTTTGTTTCTATCGACGTATCTACCAGTTCAAGGCAGGTATCACGGATGAAACCATCCAGGTTGTCATCGATAGCGGTAGGGATGGACTAGAGGCAGCTGAGCAGCTCGCCAGCCAAGGCCGTCTACTATGGAATGTTATCGGCAGTGTCTTCCAATATGCTTGTATCTTGTTGGCTATCGACACTCCAGCCTCGTCCGTTCACATTCCCACTGCTTTTAAGGGGCTGGAGAATCTTGTCAGGGCAACGGACACAGCACTCACCCGACAGGCACTCTCTATAGCACGACATCTTCTCGGTCTTAATATAGCGAAGAAACGAAAGGAAATTTTGCAGCTGGAAGCTGTCGAGGCAGGATACGAACCCTTTCTAACACCACCGGAACCCGAGCCCAACACCGCTGTGCCAGATCTTGTTGGCTGGGGGGTGGAGTGGGACCAGTTTCTCGTGGAGCCATATCTGTCGATGTTTCCCGACATTCAGATATAAATTAACAGCAGAAGTCACACTTCAAGGAATCTAATGAAACATTATTGTATTAATGAGATCTAAGCCAGCGTTTCCTGCGAATCGCCCTTTTCTTGCACCCTTTCTATCTTGATATGAAACCGTTCCGCAAAACAGAAAAGCAGGGCAACAACTACACCTAGCCCGGCGAGCCCAACGCCCATGTAAAACGCCCCTCGGTAGCCCTGCAAGACATTCTTCCCTTGACCATTGACCTGGCTCTCGACAGTACCGGCAAAACCAAGCCCAATGGAGATGGAATAGTTGACAAACATAGTCACCAGCGACGCAGCCAGACCCTGATGTTCGCGCGGCATAGCTCGACTCAGGATAATCGTGGCAGCGGGAAACGACGAATCCATGCCCCATGGAAGGACAATGATCCCCACGAACGTCTGCGCCCAGTAGATCTGGTCCACAGGCATCGTCGCGAAGATGACACCCCCGATGAGGAAGAAGGTCATGGAGATCAACATAACTGTCGACGCGCGGAAGTTGTTTAGAAGTAAGCCCGTGGGACCCGCAGCAAACAGCCCGCTTATGGCAATGGGCGTCATTTGTGCAGATGTGAGAAGGGGCGTTTGCTCCCTGAGGACCTCCAGGAGGTTCAGCGCGTAGAAGACGAAAATCCCAAAGCTGGACCAGCCGGCGCTGATGCAGGCCAGGGTGAAAAGGGAATCGATGCGCAGGACGCCGAAGGGAATCAGCGGGTGGCTTGCTCTCTTCTCGATCAGGACGAAGACGATAAAGACGATGATGCCGATGATCATGATGGAGTAGGTATATGGTGTCGTCCAACCGACCACGGGGCCTTGGTTCCAGGCAAAGTTGAAAAGGACGAGGGCGGCTACACCGGTGACGGAGCCCCCGACATCGACGCGCTTCCAGACACTGGAGCTTTCAGACTCAGGGGTTCTCGGAGCTGGGGTTGCGGGAATCGCGAAGAAGCCCAAGACAGCCAGCAAGAGGCACGCAAAGCACAGGACCCAATACGACCAAGGCCACCAGAGTCTCTGAGATAGCAGGCTGGAGAAGACGGCACCAAGGAAAAAGCCACCCGGAGCAGTGGCCCCGAACAGGCAGAAAATCATGTTCTGACGAAGGCCCGGGTCGTAGCAGCGACTGACAATAGCGATGGCGTTGGGGAGTAGGAAAGCCGGGCCGATTCCCTGCATGGCACGGCAAAAGATGAAGAAGTTGGGGCCGCTATACACAGCAACACCGGCAAGACAAGACCACAGGCCAAACCAGACATATCCGCCTATGAAGAACGGCTTGTGCCCAAAGACATCACCGAAGCGGCCCGCGATGAGGATAAAGGTGCCGACGGTGAGAGAGTATCCAGAGGAGAACCAGCTCAGCTTGCCAGGCTGGTTGTCGATGCCAAAGGAGCGTCCGATGATGTGTTGAGGAACGATGCTGAGGGCAAGACCGGCTTGAGTGAGAAGCTGTGAGGAACAGATGATGGCGACAAAGAGGACCTCGCTGGAGAGGGACTTGGGACGTTCGACTTTGGAATCATCTTCACTATACTGACGATCTTCATGGACTTCACAGTCTTCACGGTCTTCACTCGGGGCTTCGAATTCGCTAGCTAGCGCTTGTGATGGTTGTTCAGAGGACATTTTCACTGTGAAATGATGTTTGTCGACAATCACGGGCCTGGGGAGCGAGTCCTAGTAGCGAAGTATGTCTGGTTGTGAGGCTGTGCTTGAGTCAAATATATCTACTTCGATCCATGGCTAGACCACACTCGGCCGTCTGACACTAGGAGAAATGGGTGGGAAGATTATCCGGGTGTTTCTTTCATTCAAGAACTTAACGCCGCTCGGGGTGGACATCGTGCGGCTATTGCGGCGTTACGATGTTGTGCGCAGCCATTGCGGAGTTCCAGGCTACAGTGCGGCTGTAGTGCGGCTGCTGCGGCGGAGATCATAGGCCGGAATTGATATAAATCAATCATGATTCCGCTGCTATTGAGTTTTAGTTCATTCAATCCAACCCAGATCAATTCACAAACATCACTCAAGCAAAATGTCATACTCTAAGGATCAGCCCGCCGGCTTCACCAACGCCATTGAGAGAGTCGCCATTGTCGGTGTACGTAAACCCCCCGTCCTTCCCTCCCTCCTCAAGTACAATATAGGATGAAATTAACAAACTTACTAGGCCGGAGGTACTGTTGGCTCTGTTCTCGCTGCCGCCCTCCTTAAAACTGGAAAGCACACCGTCACTGCCCTCTCGCGCAAAGACAGCTCCAACAAGCTTCCCGAGGGCGTCATTGTCGCCCTCGTCGACTACAGCGATGAGGCATCCATTGTCGATGCCCTCAAGGGCCAACAGTTCTTTATTATTACTGTCGCCCCCACTGCGCCCCGCGACACACACAGCAAGCTCGTCCAGGCGGCCGCCAAGGCAGGGGTCCCCTACATTATGCCTAACGGATACGCCGGCGACATTGAGCATGTCAAGTTCGGCCAGGATGTTATGCTCGGACCCGTGGCCCAGGCCAACCGAGACGAGATCGAGAAGCTGGGTATGAAGTGGATTACCGTGTGCTGTGGGTTCTGGTACGACTACAGCTTAGCGGGCGGGTCGGTGCGCTTCGGGTTCGACTTTGACAAGAAAGAACTGACGATCTACGGCGATGGCAACACCAAGACTTCAGTCTCGACTCTGGCCCAGGTCGGGCGCGCTGTTGCGACTGTGCTTAGCCTAAAGGTGCTTCCGGATGACGAAAACGACAAGAGCCTGACTCTCTCGAGCTGGCTTAACAAGCCCGTCTACCTCAAGAGCTTTGTCCTCAGCCAGAACGAGATGTTTGAGAGCGTCAAGCGCGTGACTGGCACGACCGACGCCGACTGGACGATTACCCAGGAGGATGCCCACAAGCGATACGCAGATGGTCTGGGGATGGTCAAGACCGGCAACATGGCTGGGTTTGCTAAGCTGCTCTACGCGCGAGCATTCTTCCCGGAGGATGCCGGTAATCACTCTGATAAGGCACAGAACGAGCTGTTGGGGTTGCCGGAGGAGAAGTTGGACGAGGCTACCCAGGTCGGGATTGATATGGTCAAAGCGCTGCAGAGCCGTGCGGAGCGCATGGCTTCATAGAGATGTACATTCTGCTTCATAGAGATATACATTCTTAAAATTTGAAATCGTCTCCGTGTTTGAATCCAGGTGACAAAATATGAAAAGGTTCATATTAGCTTAAATCAAGTAGGTCTGACCTAATACAGAATGTGTAAATTGGTAGTTATCTTTCTGAAGCCGAGATAGAGTCTGGGTTAAAATTCAGCTGTTGGGGTATATTGGATCGGCTTTCAAGGTCGTTGCAAGTGCCGTTCGTAATGTTGAGCCACAGACAAGCCGAAAGAAAACAAAAAGGCTGCAAGATGCGTCGTTTCATTTTCTTCAACCTTCGCATTCATGATTCGGAGGATGCAGATCTTCGAAGATTGTTTTCATATGAATTTTATGCGCTTGTTAGGTGGAGGAGCAAGCCCGTCTTGAATATAGATATGATAGCTTCGGGGCGATGACGATGATGAAAATTATGATGGGAATAGCTTTCATTTACAATACACTGTACATATAGAGCGGTCAAAAAGCGGTCTATAATCAGGCATAGTTCAGGCATCAGCTAGCCAAAAAGTGCATTGGGAAATTGGCCGTTATGCCGTTATGCCCGTTCGCATACGTATACAGAAGTGGAGAAAGAAGAAAGTAGAAATATGAAAACACACATTTTTATTTGTGCTGCCTAAGGCAAACATATCTAGTCCTAATCAGGTAATTATTTCAATGCACTGTCGGTGGGACCTGAACTCTGATCGAAATCAGCATACGAAGTCAAATTAGCTTAGGAAAGGCGGTGAAAAATGATGGTCAGGTACTAATATCCAATGAGAGAGTTATGTCCAGGTGGCACACCTACTCGCCCGTACACGCTGGCACTGGAGTGGGGAATTAAGCGAGAAAAGAACAGGCCTTGGAAGTTCTCAACTACATGCATCAGCTTACAACGCTGTAGCAACCATGCCCTGGAATCCACGCCCACCCAGTATCTTTCATGACGAATCATGGTCTACACCATGGCGTTCATCTGAGTTTCCACCCGAGGAAGCCCTTTTCGAGCGACGCAACCGACAACATGCAAAACCAGAGTGGAATTTCGTGTCACACTTCTTAAACTATCAGTCTAGTGCACCTGGAGGGTGGCCATGGGGCTGGGCCATCTATCGTACCTCCTATACAAATACATCCGACGAAGACTGGGCTAGAGCTATCGAGAAACTCGACCAGGCTTGTCTGGCTGACCTCGAATTTTACGAGGATATGTGGTCCAAATATGGTTGTACACACATTGAAAGAGTCCGAGAAGGCTATCGGAATGTTATATTTGAGGATTCCACCTTGGAGGGGGCGTCAGAAGCTGTTATTCGATGTCGGCATACACAATGGGTCGAAGACCATGGCCTTATTGTGTGCAGTGCCGTTCCTCGCCTCAACTATCCTCTTTTATTGGATGACCGCTGTGTGCGGTCAATTCTAGCTAGTGCAGAGCCGAAAAGACCAATTACTTTGCAATCTGAACCGGTAGGAATGGTCGGTTATGTTAACGTCCTTGACGGTGATTTCGTGCTTGAAGATCGGGAAGAAGAAGAGGGAGAGTACTACCTTGGGTTGGCACGGATTCACCTGGATTGTTTGTTTCGATTCGCTGTCTATTGTGAAAATCTGATGACTGAGCAGGACTGGGGCGACTGGGGTATGGATAACCCTGATGATGTGCTTTATGTTGATGGCTACTCATCCGTGATCGAGAGCAAGCAAATGTTTCTTTCTACTCAAGATCGAGATATCGAGAGGACAGCGAATATTACTGAGCTTGAATACAAAGAGAACAAGATGCTAGTTTAAATACTATATAGAAATGAGGAAGTGAAGGAATTGGAAGCATCTGAAGCATAAGAAAACAAAAATCCTTCAACAGCCGGGATATCCATGGATCACCAGATAGCTTGACTAGAGCAGAACACTACCGTAAAAAAACGAATAGAGCACAAAACTCATGAACCTTCATTGAAATTGTCTTTTTTCTCCAATTGAGCTAGTTATGTAGAGATTTGTATAGCACTAGATAGTACCATAAATCGTCAAACCACAGATTCCTGTCATATAGGGATAGATTTGCAATAGGTCTAGACTTTCCCCTGGTCTAGGAATTGCACCGGGAGATCCACAAATCGCGCCCGCAGATACTCCGCCAGATTCTTCCCCAGTGTGTCATACGTGCTGGTACTGTTTATCCCACGGTCTAAATGGTTGTGTGGCAAGAAGTGGACCGCATTAAGCCCGGGCAGCTCAAACCGGTCGATCTTTCTGGCCTCCTTGTATTCTTCGCCCAGCAACTCCTGGATCTTGGAAATGCTTAGCAGCTGGCGCAGCCACAAGTACTCTTCCGCGTTGCGGGCCCAAAATCCGACGTTCGCATTGGCCCCTTTGTCCCCAGATCGGGAGTGAACAAGCCAACCGAGCGGGCCGCGAGTGGTGGGGCCAAAGTCTTCGGCAGGATAATTTGCATCGCTGCTGGGCTGTTGCATCGGGTATGTCCGTGTTATCTGAGGAGGTCCGATCGTGATAATCACTTCGCCCTTCGAGCCAATCTCCACAATGAGATACGCCAAGTTCGTGATATTGGGGATATCCTTAAATCCACTATAGTTTCCGCCAGTAACATAGGTTGAACACTCGACGAGATGACCTGCGACGAGGGCGGCTGCTAATTCTGAAAGTTGATCTCGTTTCCACCCATGCCACCATATCGCAGCACCAATAGCAAGGCTGGCATCGGCCACGCGCCCGCCGATAATGATATCTGCGCCCTTTTCCAATGCCTTAGTGATGCCAAAGCTGCCCAGGTAGGCCTGAGCGTGGATGGGAGCTGTAGCGAACTTCTCCACCTTATCACCGGTGGCAAGATCAGTTAATTCATTTACCCCTTTCAGCAGCTCTCCTTCAATTGGTATCTCATCTCCTGATATCTATGCCACCTTCAACGACAGATTTTTCTCCTGCAGTAAGTTCCGCACTTCATTGAAGAGGCCTTGCGGGTCAGAGGCACCAGCATTCACGATAACCTTAATGCCTTTGCGTGCAATAGCTGGGAGGGCAGGAGTTAATGCAGTTAAGAAAGAAGTCTCGTAGCCCGCCGCGGTGCCTAAATGGATGTTACTGCTTAGCTTTGTATTACTTTATGACGAAAATTAGGAACAAAAGGGCAAAACATTTCGAAAAGATTCACAACCTACCACTCAACTTCCGGGTCACTGAAGACGGCATATTGCCCTCAGACAGCCAGTCTCCAATCAAGACATCGAACTGGCTGTCAGAATTGCACACTTGCTCAAAGGCATCACGTCGGTCCAATGCAGAGTCAGAGGCTCCCTGTTGAGGAAGGGTGAGTACAAAACACACACGAGCCAAAGGAAAGAGAGTGAACATACGCAAATGCGAATACTTCGTTTAGTTGATTGCCTCATTACTGATATTGCTTCTGTGAAGATACAGTTTTAGGGTAGTACTTTCAAAGGGAATCTCAACGATTTACTATCTATTTTATTTCCCTGATCCTATGAAGGCTAGAAAGGGATTATACCGAATTATACCCGTCGGATGAATCTCCATCCAGTCAACAGTAGCCATTTCACTGATTCTTTTCGTCGGCGAGTGGTGTCTTGTATTAGCAAAGAGGGGATTTTCCTCCCTGGGTCGGTTAGTATTTACGGTATCCGGGCCAAGAAGAACTATGGCAAGCTCCGGTAAGGAAATAATAAGGACCTGCTGGAGACAGTCGGAAGCTCAAAGCAGGAAAGCTCCTCTCCGTCTTATGAACGCAGCTTTGTGGGCATAACAGCGCCTGCATACATGCATCCCCTTCTCAATGCTACAGCTTGGAGACATGAGAGTAAGGGATGAGGATAGTGGTATTTTGTATTTCTGAGATTTAATCTCCCTATTTCTAATAAATAAACTAGAATAGAAATGATGCAATTCTGAATCAAAGCCAAAAACCAGCAAAATTTGGATTGAATGTATATTATTATCCGCTGAACCCGACTGCTCTCCCAACCTTTAGCATATGCACATTAGAGAAACATGTTGGTAAAAAGATTAGCCTTACTCCACCGCTAAGAACTACTGTAAATACTATCATAGCTGTGTGCATTTTGTATAATCCCTTAGACGTCTTGGATATTTCAAATCCTCAGACAAATTCTGATTTCCCATGTACACTACCTCAGCAAAATGCATACATGACAATTTATTGGTGATATATCTCGACATTCATGAATAAAAATATACCTACCATTCATCACTCTTTTGCTTTGAAGAGGGTAGTCACTCAATAATCTCAGTAGAGAGGTACTCGGGCCATCTAGGCTTGTCGACGCCATTGCCCCTAGTGCCGACCCTGAATTTCAACTCGACAGGGCCATTGACATACTTGATCACGGGCTTCACGGTCTTGATCTGCGCACCGATCGCCTTGCTAGTGCGCACCTCGAAGTGCTCTAGCAAGAATATACCGTCCGTCCCGGCCTTGACCATCATACCTAGCAGTCGTGGCATCGTCCAGACCATGCTGTGGTAGTGCCGGAAAACTGGGAAGCCATGTCGGCCCCGGACATCCTACTACACATCCTCGGGGTAACTTCCGACAAACTTAACCAACCAGCGATTGTAATAGTTTAGTGCGATGTCAATGCTGTAAGACCCGCCTTCTTGGCTGCGCTTGAGAAGAGCGTGAATTGCGGCAGCCGCTCCTACAACTCCGGTGCTGTTCCATAACCGTTAACTTCTTTGTTCATGTATCACGATATATGGGCATGATATTTTGACGGTTGGGGTAATAGGGAGCCTCACCAATAGTCCGAGTTAGGGAGAACAGGCACAACTGCTTCTTCATGACCCATTGCCCGGCCGTACCCCATAGCGACACCGGTGTTCTGTACTCAAGTCAGATAGGGAATTGACCAAAGATTTCGTTTTTTTTTTTTTCAACTTACTGCATCACTGATTGGTTGCCAGCCAGAACGGTACCACCACGGTCCATTCCATCCCTGGTAATTTCCGACGCGTTAATACTAGATGCAATGAATGGAAAGGGAAACACATCAGGACTATGCGTCATGGTGATAGAACTCACATAGCAGTTCTCTCTCATATAAATTATTCCCCGCTTCCTTTCTTTTGCGATCTTGAGGACATCATCCTTTCCGAATCCCCATTTGTCCATCACGCCAGGGCGATGCCCATCGATAACGATATCGCTTTCGAGGATCAACTGGTGAAGTGTTTCCTTGTCTTCCTCCTTTCTCAGATCCAAGTGCGCATTCCACTTTCCCCAGTTCAAATCCGAGTGCAGGGCTGAGAAGTCTGCGATGTGCGGAGCAGTGACACGCAGCACGCTCGCTCCCAGTTCGGCTAATTCTCTAGCTATGGTGGGGGCAGCAATAATTTTTGTGAGGTCGAGGACCTTGAATCAGACAAGAGGCTGCTTTTCGGACGTCTCAGGACTGTCATTCCACCAAGTTGGGCCTTTATCTTCATGGGGATGGTGGAATATCTCATAAAGGCCGACATGCGCATTTGCCTTGCCCTGTTCGCTCGCTTCATAGTCCTCGGGTGACCAGCAAATTGTGCCAGCTTGTCGATATTTGTCGTTTGCGAGAGTTTCTATTTCTTCCGAATCAAATTGGGCGATCTTCTCTATGAATGGTAGCCAAGACTCCTCGGCGGTTTTGATCTCAGGCCGATCATGCGGGAAACCGGGAAACCGAGACTATCCAGGGTCGGATTGGGATTGAGAGACCCTTTTGAGAAACGTTAGTTCATGGGGTTTCTCAGAATTAGAAGATGAACAATCTCCCTTGTTCGGGATAACTCACCATGAAGGTGGAAGCATCGATCATCCTTGGTTTTCTAAATATTGGAAACAGATTGCCTGAATACCGAGGAACCCATATTGTGAATCTCACAATTGGGGAAATACTTGTTGACCTTTGCCTGAAGCGTCAGGAGATCACTGGGCTCCACCGGAGCTGCATCCTCTCTGGGGTCTATGGTTTGAATAAATGTGGACATAATGAAGAGTTGAGCACGATCGCTGCCATCATCAGTTTCCAGTCCCAATGGAGGAATTCAACATAGACATACGTGTTGATCACAACCTTTCGCGGCTCGACTCCATACTTCTTTTTCAGTAGTAGACTGGTCATAATTGCCTCCAGTCCTTTGATGGGGAGATACTTTCCGCTAATCTCCAGTTAATTGGAAGGGAAGTAAGTTCCTTGCCAACATATTCAACATTATCAGCCAGCGCCCGGGCGTCTTCAGGAAGGTCATGGAATAGTGGGTTCTGGAGAATTCCTTCTACCAGGACTCTCTTGGATTCATTCTGAATCGAGTAAGACAAAGGCATGGTGGGCTGACTATCGAAATAAAACTAGGCAAATTCTTTGTCGGAGGCAATATAAAAGACAATAAGATCGGAGTCCTTCCCTTGCTGAATCGAATTATTTGACAAATTTCGAAGTATCACGTATTAATTGCTACATATATCTACTTTGACGTAGTCCTGGGTTGGTCTTTTAGAGAATAACCGGCCGTAGAAAGCAGAATCCTCGGTTCGACAGCTGTATTCTGTGCGGGGATTCATTACAGCCATCCCACCACTAGCTCGGATGTTCATTTCAGTTTTCCGGTTGCCCCAGATTTAGTTCCGGTTGTCCACATCAAGATCATTGATCAGCAGGAAAACATCCCATTTGCGTTTGCAGCATCGCAGGACAACAGTTTCACAACATGTATAAGAAGGTACATGAAAGCCTTGGAATAGGGGGCTCGCCAGGTCACCAGGTCACCAGGTCGTGGTAATAACTGGTAAGCATTTACCAGTAATTACTAGGAATCACTAGAAAATGGTGGAATTATATTTTCTTTTTCTGACCTAGTGACCTAGTCGACCCACTTATTACTAGTGAAAGGTATATCTGGGGCTGTATAGAATAGCTACTAGGTACTACTAGTAAATATAACCAAAGATCTCCGGTAGTTACTAGTAATAGTTAGTAACTACCTAGAAAAATATCAGAAAGAAGTCGGAATCTCCTCTCTCAGATATCGCTAGAAAAAGTGTATTATAGATGAATATAGAATATATCAAAATATAAGATTTCGATAATTCTATATTTAGTAGCCCCCAGTAATAATCAGCAGTTCTTAAGATTTATTAGATAACTATACAGTAGGTTCCAAGGTTATTATGTAAGGGATAAATATCCTTAGGTACAACCTGGAGACTGACAATACGGGAGTCAGCTGATATAGGGCCAATATATAATCAGCCAAGTATCGTGATCTGATCGTGAGGGGTTCGTCATATAACGGCCACGTCAGTCGATTAGATAGTTTACCCTATAGTCTGGGATCTAGGGGGATCCCACTTACTCCTGTAAGAATTAGTCTTGAGACAGTTCCACACAATATATTGTATTCACCTCCTCTTATACAGTCTTTGTATCTTACCCAGTTAACAGGCCCTACACCTAAGACCAGTATACCTTTACACGGTGCTATCTATCTCTTATTTCTTTTTTTTACCGATAAATTGTTGTATATCTACCGTTTACTATAGATCACTAGTAATCATTGCGTATATATCTTTTGATTTCTCACTTTTTTTTAACAGTAATACCTGGATTTATCTAGTCACTAATAGTCTTAAATTGTTGTTCTATACTTGATTACTAGTGGTAGACTTGGTTCTGACCTGGTGACCTAGTGAACTGCTCACCAGGTCAGAAAAAACAAATACGATTCCACTATTTTCTAGTAGTTCCTAGTAATTACTAGGCTACTAGTAATAACCAGGGGATTTTGGACGCAGAGTCTGGGAAAGGACTTAGGTATGACCTGGTGACCTGGTCAGCTAAAAGGTGCATCTCTCGAAATTATCACATGAAATTGACCTTTTCGGGAATACCTATTATTTACTACTAACTACTAGTAATTGCTGGTAAATGCTTACCAGTTATTACCACGACCTGGTGACCTGGTCACCTGGCGAGCAAACCCCCTAAAGCCTTGGACTATGGACGACTACTTATCCCACTTTGACTCTCTTGTTATCTTCACATATTACACAAACCACATTTCCTTCACAACCTACAACATTCGCAACCATGACTGAAGTCATCTCTACCGTCAGTGACACCCTCAACGTGCCCATCGAGCGTGTCTGGGCTGTGGTCTCTGCCTTTGGCATCGAGAAGGCCTACTTCCCAGGAGTTCTGAAGGCTTCTCTGAAGGGCTGGGGCATCGGCTCCATCCGCCACCTTTGGTTCCACGAGTTTGAGGTTGACGAGCAACTGGAAATCTGCGACCCTGAAACCTACAAGGTTACTTATCGCGTACTTGAGCCATGCCCGTTTCCTGCAAAGAACTGCACCGGCAACATCGAGCTGGAGTCATTGGAGGGTGGCAAAACTAAAATCACCTGGACCGGTCGAGCCGATTACATTGAGCCTGAGCAGAAGGTCTTCCTCTGGGACAATTTGCATGGTAGATATACAGGCGCCATTTTGGGTGTTCGCAAGCTGGTTGAGTGAGTTCACAACTAGTAATTGCTTCACTATGTCGATCTGCCTTTCTACGCTTGAACCATCGAAGGATCGAAACAGTGGATAGAATGTGACCGGAATCTGATGTATTACGATGTATGATACTACTCGGTGTCATGTAAATCTCTGACTAGCTGAAATGGCAATTGAATGGACATGCTAACAAATTATAATATATATTCATAGATAGGATTCCACTCCCATTATCATAGCATGTTCAGGGGTGATATAGAAGGTAAAATGCATATATTCAACTTTTGCTTTTAACAGATAACCGTGAGGAGTCTTAATTCACCCTCTACAATACTCGGATGGATGTCGTCAACTGAGCAATTGTCCCTCGGCATCACACTTGTGAAAGACTGAATTAAGGTTTCTGGGAGTGTGGGGTGAAGTGGCGGTGCCTTACCGTGCCCCTTTTTTAGACATCCGGCGACCGGATTGATGGTTTGTCGAATAGAATGCCTTCCACGTAATTACATGCCAAGACGGCTATTCGATCTGGCATATATCCAAATCTACAAGCTTCGCTGCTTGGAGCTCATGTTGCCGATTTGACTACTCCAGCTTTTTAAAGCTAAATTTCATACTTCTTTATCTTCCACCTACCATATTTAAAGCATCTCCCCAAATAGCCTGACATAAGTACTTTCTTCCCGACGCCCCTTACTATCTTTTGTGCTCTTGTATCCTCATCCCAATTCAATCTCTTTGCTGCTGTAGCAACCAGACAGACAAAACGGAGATTAAATCAGACCAAGATTCTTTCATGGACGGAAGATATAGGCGGGCAAGAGTTGCCTGCACGCGGTGTCATTCGCGCAAAGTTCGTTGCGATGCCACTATCAAAGGCACACCATGCACAAACTGCACTTTGGATCACTATACTTGCCGGCTGTACCAAAGAGAGCGGTAGGTCAATCCTATAAATATTTTCTTAGCTTTTCGAAAGAAAATTAACATATATACCAGTCCTCAACCTCCAACGGAAGCATCCAACCAATCCAAACAGCGTGCTGTCGAGAAGCTTACTCCAGTCAATGCGATTTACCGAGAGCGGGATTGGCCACCAATAAACATATTCCAAGACCAACAAAATTCAGATTTTGGGTTTCCTGGATTATCTTCCGTTAACCTTGATTTCTTCGATCTATCTTTCATCGATATGGCATACACGGCCAATCTTGGCGAATTTCCGAAGGACAGCCCGGGTGAAATCCCGCCTGTCGAAATGGATGGCGGCTATACAGACGACAATACCTATTCAAGCCCATCAGAATCGGTTCACAGTGGACAACCTACATCCTGGGAATTGCCCTGTTCCGAGGTGTCTTTATTTTGGTTCGAAGCACTATGGAGGTCACATGGACTTGACAGACAGGTTGCTTTGAAAAGTTAAAGCTACGTGACTGCAATGCGATATTTAGGTAACAATTTGGCCCACTGTCCAAATATAGGGGGAAAAAAGTTACATTTGTGGTAACATATTTCTATCTAGATTTTGGGGGCGTATTGACGAGACATGCGACAAGTCGAGGATGTTATATATAGATGGGAGACCGGGTAAAAGCCTCCGGGGGCTAAACCGAATCGGGGAGTTGAGGGCGACATACCCGGAAGGGAATAAGGCGTGGGCGGTCGAGGGCAGCAAAAGGACAGGGCAATGGGAGGCTCGTATACTCTACGGATTACACTACCGGTTTTTATGTATTTCCCCCTTTTACGGACCGCATGATATGATTCAAGATCTAGGGGGCCAACACTCCGAACTTATGATACTAAATAATCCGAAAAAAAGGAAAATGAAGCCAAACCTCATCGAGATCTAGATCGAATAATCAATGCGCTAGGTTGAAACTTCACCAACCAGAGTGCCTAGTTGCCTTGCCTCAAATCACCTCGCCTCTCCACTTTCAAAATATCCAGAATTGCGTCTTGAATTTTTTGATTCATTCCATTACTCAAAATGTACTCACATCTTGAAGCTGAAGGCACATCAGTGACTGTTGCCCATTGTAAAGCACAGAATTTGCCAGTTGGTTCGTGATCCCCGAATTCTTCGTGTCTATCAGTACTGACTAGATGGTCAAGTCGATCGCATTCTTGAACAGCAAACCATTGGGAATTTCATTGGATTTGCGTTTGGTGAGCGCCCCCTACCCAATGGCAAAGAATCCAACACCGAGCGCCTGTCCATGGAGGAGGTGTCCTTCTTCCAACATGACCAAAATTTCCCACCGGACTCCGATGGCGAGCCTATCATGACCAGTGTCATGGCGCGCATTGGCTCCGACCGAGATTTCAACCGTCTCTGCATGGTTGGAAAGAACATCCAATCCCTCAAGTCCCGTCTATGGGAGGGCATCATCCCGCTGAGCGAGCAGCTATGGCAGGAAAAAGGCCTCGACCGGCCCGAACATTTCGATTTTGCCTGTCAGCATCTATCAGCCGTGATCGCAGTCTTCCAGTATTTGAATGAACCAACGGTGCGATTATATCTTCGCGACACGTTCAATTACATCTACGATCACTGGGCGACGCTCGACACTGTTCTCAACAAGCGCAGAGCGGAGCAGGAGAAAAAGCCCGTTAGTGTCGCGGGGCTCTGGACAATTTACATGAGTGCGCATTTCGAGATGATGACTGAGCGCGCCCATAGATGGGTTATGGTGCATGCCAATACGCTACGTACTCCATTGCTCCGAGCCCTTTTGGAATACCGACCACCGGGGGGAGGATACCCAGGCAGCGAGCCTGATGCTGTGCAGTGGAAGATTAGTGACTCGCTGCACATGTTGACTGAACTCGTCGCGAATGCGGATTTCACCATCTTGATCCCCATGAACGGTTACAAGGGGCACTTTGCGGATGCCCCGCGGGAGGGTCCGGCAGAACTTCATGCGGCAAATCTGCTGACGAGGAGTAAAGCTTACCATGAACGGTTGAAGCTGCTTACTCGGGAAGCCATACCCCGTAATGCGGCTGGGTTAGGGGAATCAACGCTTTCCTCCGGGCAGATGTACCATGCGACATCCCGGAGCCAGATTGAGGGCCAGAACAAGTTGAGGAAAGAGGTGCGTGGTGTACCTGTTGAGCCTATTCCGCGCGAGTCGTGGATAACTGCATGTTCTTCGAAGATGAATTCTGAAAAGAAAGAGGGAAAGGAGGAAAAGTACGGGTTGGCTGTGTATCGGTTGACTTATGGGCAGACGGAGTCCGAATGGACAGAATTCGTTCGCAAAGTGGAAGCCCATGTTTCGGATTGGGGCAAGGGCCAGACAGGAAGCAGCGCTATCAAAGAGCATTTAAAGCTCCACTGGCTAGATGGGAAGGAATTGGGTATTGCAGAGGGCGATGTTGATGCAGCTAAACAGTGGGTGTACGCTTTCTCCACTGCATTTCAAAACTAACAAGCCAAAAACAGACACTTCAAAAACATAGAAAATGGCAACGACGACTGGTCAAAGCTAGAAGATGGTGCCTTCCTCGTCGTTGATTCCGCGTCCTTCGCCTCATACACCACTGATTCCTACAGTTCCGCAACATCCCGACTTACACCTGGTGACTTCACTGGCTTCCTCCTCGCCATTGACCCAGAATTCGACCCAGAGAAGGGCATTAGCCGACCCGACGAGTCACCAGGCTACAGCGGGCAGATGCGAATCCTCGGAAGCCTTGTGTGGAGCGATCTCTATTCCTTGCTATCATCACAGACCTCAGGACTCGAAGACCATTGGCCATTAGCAAGCGAGCACCCGAACATGGTATATGTGGGCCCGACAATCCCATGGCAGCGATTTATCTGGCAGAAACACAGTGAGATGCGCTGGAATCTCCTTCGAGCGGTGATAGACCATGTAAAGCTCAGCCTGGGAATGCCAGTAGCGCCACCGCCCCAAGCTAGCTCTACAATGGCAACTCCAGCAACAGCTGTATCTTCAGCCGCGCCGCTAACTGACTCTGTACCTTTGCCAACGCCACCCGCAGGGGCAGCACAGGACCCCGTCAATGCTGCTATCCGCACATACATGCTCACCGAGTTTCAGCGCTACTTGCGCCATCACGGTCAACCGCGGCGGGCGGCTATGGTCGATGAATTGCTGCGTCTTCAGCCAGGTGAGGAGCCGGATGGAGCGCGGCTGCGACGGTTGGTGGATGATGAAAATGAGCGGCAGGAGCAGCGGAGGCGAGATGGATTGGGTGAGGATGAGGAGACTTCGAGGGAGTATCACCCAGAGTGTCCGTTGCAGTAATGATATTCAGTGTATGATTGGGCTATGTTTGTTTAATTGTCAATATTTACCATAATGGAATGAAATGAATTATCTGGCTGGTTTGGGGAAAACACATAGATACAAAGACTATTCGTGCCATATTGAATGAAATCATTTCCATAGATTGTATGTTACTTGGGATCACGAATCATCACGACCATCACTAGCATCAAATCTCAGGGACAGGGACACATGCTGAACCTTACACATCTAAGCCCTACTCCAAACTTCAGAGACAAGATCCATCGACGCCGACTCGAGGTAATCCGCTTACGCGGACGATCATTCGGGTCCGCAGCCTTGTGCCAATCAACCTGACAGCACCAACCCTCGACTAACTCCATTCCACAGCAAGGATAGAAAAATCCTTCCGAGCGAGTTGCACGAAATTGATCAGTGTCGACATTAATTCCATCGGAAATCTCGTCGAAGAAATACTCCTTGTCGGGAATAGCAGGTTCTTCGATAGATTAGGTACGTCCTCAACTAGGGCAAGTATTGATAGATATATGTGCTTGTGGGATATACATACCGACATGATATTGACAACTTGTGTGTGAGTTTTGAGCTGGATCAAACTCCTCTAGGCAGTAGATGCAATTTTGGAGAACGGGTTTCTTTGAGGAACTGGTCGAGGTGGACTCTTCCTCACCGGGCAGAGCGGGAGTAGAGGCAGTTGCAGAGGCTGGGACAGCCGGCTTGGATTTCACATCTTTCTTGTCCAAGAACAGCCATTTCGAAGCGATTTCACGGCCTTTTGGGCAGTTTCTGATGATGTCCCACAGGATAATCTGCAGGTGTTCGTTGTCTTGCTTGTTAATTTCTACCGTCAGGGGGGCTTGTATTCTTGTTTCCTCGTCAGTGGAAGGCGAAGGCATGTTGGCGGTTGCTGGTGTGAAAGTTGTGTAGGAAAGATAAAGGTGAAGTTTGTGTGTGGAGAGTTGGGAGTGACGGCGCACCTTATAGTCATACTATAAAAGTGAAAAGTGATCTCAAAATAGCAGTCATCATATGTGAGAAGACCCCGCTTTCGAGCAGTGCGAAAGGAAACAGAATACCCCATATGTAAAGTAGGCACCTTAAGAAAATGGTGTATATGCAAGAAACAAACTCATCTATGTGCTTTAATCACACTGTATAAGGCCACCAGTTTAACATACCATGAACCAATAATAAGATACCAATGTATACAACACATCATCAGCCCAAGAGAGAAAGATTCTGAGCCAGATTATTCCAATCAGAAAAGTCCACAAAGTTCGGATCCCAACTACCAATATCAAACCCTGCCTCAACCCGCGAATCCCCAGTCCCAATCCCATCAGCACAAGCAGGACGGTTGTCATCAACAACTCGCTGGCTCTGCTCAGCAGAATCATCCATCTGGCTAATAAGCCTCGCCTTATCCCGCAACCGCACAATCATCGGCCACTTAGGTCCCGGGTCCGGCCAACAGGGGTCATCCATCAGATCGAACTGCCTATCGATAGCGCGCCAGGCCCGTTCGACGTGTGGACCAGTGGGATAAACACACAGACTCCACAGGATGAATGTAAGAAGGTGGTACTGGGTGAAAGTCATCATGAGCCAGCGGAAGCCGCGCAGTATTTCGTTGTTGTGCATCTCGAGGTCGATTTCCACTCCATAGCAGGCTTGTGCTAGCGTGTCTTGCACAAGCTTGTAGTCGAGGGAGGAGGCCGCCGGGCCCTGTGATTGTAGCTGTTTCTGTCGAATACACACTTCCGTTTTGATGAGGAGCAGCCATCCAAGGAGGAAGCCGAAGCGCTGGATTGGGATATCTGGGTCGCTGTGTCGCAGGTATTTCTCCTCTATTGCGCCTTTGAATTCGGCGATGAGTCGCTCTGGATCGGCTGCTCCCACTAAGCTTCGAAATAAAGCTGGCCGTCCCCTGTTGATTTCTATTACGATTAGAGAGAACGTCATCTCAGTCCATCGGTTCTGAGATACGACTGGGGTGGCGATATTCGTGTCTGATAAGCTCTGGTCATCGATGTTCAACGGTATGCCAGTGTCGCCGTGGTCATTTTCTGGGACGCTGAGCCCATGGTCTTCTGCTACTCGGACATCGGCCGATTGGATATGCCACCATGTTCGTCGGCGTAGCTCGCATTCCAATTGTGGGAGCTTGAAGTATTTTCCATCCCGCTGGAGGCCGATTGATTGCGCGGCTCGGATAGTTACACCATGTAATGTCCAGCCAGACCGACCGCTATTGCTAAATCGAAAGCATGCCTAGAAAGCAAATCAGGTCAGCAATGCCAAGCACAAGAAGATTTCGGGAAACAATCTCTCACCTGATATATCACCATCGCTTGCAACGAAGCAAGGGTTGGAGCATCCAAGAACTCGGAGTAATACAAAGAGAATTCCAACCCCTGCTGATACCGTCGCAGATCGGCAAATAGGACTTCATTCTGGGTATCATCCGAAAGCAGGGTTGTTGTAGCGGCGAAAAAAATCGCATAGAGCAAAGCACGTACATCAGCACACGCAGTCTGAGGTCGGTTTATCGCAGCAAAGATGCGCGATTGCGCCGTTGGAACATGAATGACTTTTACTAGCGGATCTACACGACTGAGAAAAGTCTGCCATAGCGAAACTGCCTGCCAACGACTTGGAAATAGATCTAGAGGGTCAATCTGAGCCAAGGGCGGCTTCGTGAAGAGACCATCTCCCCTTAGTACCGGAGGCCGACGCGGGCTACTTGCACTAGAGGGTGTCCCAATTGCAGACTGAAGCTCCTGCTCTTTCTCCAGCACCCGCGAGAGGAGAGGCTCGTTGATATACCGGCCGTCCTTTCCGAAAAACCCTTGGTGTGCGGGGCGGTCTGCGGCAACTAGTTGGCTTGACAGCGGGATAGGGTCGGATCGGCCATTCGGTGCTGGTGAGCTAGTGCTTAGGCCTTGGGCTTGACCGTTCAAGCTAGTCGGCCGTTCGTTGATTATTGCCCCGATAGTCTGTTCAAGCTTTTCCAGCTGTGCTGCAAGATTGGCCATGCTCTTCTTTGGGGGCTGGCGCTTGATTCGGTTTGGACCTGGATACTGGCAGGTTACGCTCTGCCGTGTGCATCTGTTGCATGGTGAGCGCTTGTCGCATTTGATCTTGTGCGCGTGGCAGCGTAGACATGATCGCTCTACGTTGTACCGGCGTTGCTGGTCCATGGTCCTATATTATGGCAGCTATAGGGAAACCAGCGCAGCTTGAGGATGTCTTGGTAATAGGTACCGAGGAGAATTTTTTTTATCAGATCCTCGTGGCTTCTGCAAGGCGAAGGGTGAGCTCGGCGCTCGGTTATTCGTAAATGGCCGAGCCGATGTGGGGGCGAAACCTTATTTTGTCTATCAACTGCCAACTGGTAACTGCGCCGATATGTATACTCCTTCTTCCATCATTTTAATGCTATTGAGTGTCTTCCAGCAATAAACACAGGCTTGACTTAGGTCCCCTCAAGACAGAGAATAAATGCCAGCATCCTTCATAAGCACAGTTCTTCACATATAACTAAGCTTTCAGGACTACTTAATACTCTTCTCGTATATTACGCTCACCTTTCTAGAATATGCAAGAAAAGGTACTCGTATTGCACTAGCTACAGTTCCACAGAAGAATATGCATTCCAGGGGAAATGTCACTACGGCCATGTATTGGGCGCGCTCTTCTTGAATCTATTCCTGGCTACATGGTATGTACATCCGTGATTCTAGTACTATCCTGCCTATAACCTCTTGCTCATGGATCTAGTTGTAATTGACTCAAAGATCATGAAAATATGGCAATGGCGCGGGTAGGATTGTCCCGTGTCTTCCAACGGCGATGAAAAACTGGGTAGATGATACTATTGTCGCTGCTGGTCCTGGGTAAAATAGATAGGTTAATACAATATTAGGGGCAACACGCGCGCATGAAAGCCCCTGGATTTTTATATTCGCTTGTTCATGTGCCGTGGCATTTCATTACGGTATCCAGCATGTCAAATTGCTCTTGTTTTTCATCGCCTCTCTGCTCTCTAAGTCATAATTGTGTAACTAGTATAGAGTTGCAGGATGTTGGAGGAATGGATATGGATTGTTAAGCAGCTGTCATCAACCTTGGAAACTGTTAACTTATAATAAGGTCAAATTAGGTTATGTATTTTCTGCAATGCAAATAGGAGAATAAACTCCAGCTTGTGATTATCAATTTATTCAACTTTTGTTCACATCTTGTCCGAGGTGGAACCAGTATCACACCTTCATCAGTCGGAAGAATAACAAAATTCAGGCACCAATAGACATTGATACGCCAAATACAATCTTGAAAGACAAATGCTAATTATAAACGCTAATAAAGCAGACTCTGGGCCAATCCCAGAAGCACCGTTCGCCAATTCCCAAAGGAAACAACAAAAACACTCAAGTGAGATTATGAGATAAGCAGATCACGGACACTCATGCCCTTTCTCCTTTGAATCTCAGGCACAGCGGGTGTATCTTTTTCTTCCAAAGCCACAGCCAACGCCGTACTCCCAGAGAAACTCTCACTGATCGAATCAGCAGTCCCCCTCCGATCCTGAGTCAACATAAGCAAGGCAGCCGAAGCCTCGTGGTCAACACCCTGAAACTCATGCATCTTCTCGCTCGATGCCCATATCGGACCCAGTGCCGGACTAGGAAGAATGGATGAAGCATCCTGTGGGATCTGGGCTGAGGGGACTTGGGTGCGAGGGGAGAAAGATGGGGATGTTTCGGGGAATTCGGTGGGTGTAGTATCCACCTCCGGTGATGCAGATGTGAAATATGATGAGTAAGTAGATGCACTATCCCTTCGCGTGGGCTCAGCGCCTGTTTCTGTGATGAAGTCAGGGGATGTTGGTGAGGGTGGTGCGGCAGGTGTGTGGGTTGATCCTGCAGTTTTCATGTCGCGGATACATTTCTCTAAGTAATTGACGTAGTCAATGCTTGCCTTTTTGGGATGGTTAGTATATTTTTGTAAATTTCCCGGAAATGACGACCGAACGTACCTGAAGAATGGCAAGCTTGTGCATTTCCTGCCCCGTGCAGGCTGGAATCATGTCTTTCAATGTCCCAAACTCCTCGTTCATCTTAGACCGTCGTCGACGCTCGATTAAACTGTGTGCGGTCTTGCGGGCGATCTTGCGTCCTGCAGCACTGGTTGCACTGGGTTGTTTTCTCTTGGTTGATGTTGGGTTTGGGATTGCGTCTTCTGAGCTCTGTGAGCCCTTGGTAGTTTCCCTTGTCTTGGGGGACTTTGAAGGCGATTTTGGTTTCATCTGGATGATTTTGCGGGTTCTAGTTGGTGGCGGAGGCAAATCAAAATCCTCGAGTGGGCGTTTGATAGATGTACCCGACCGTGAGGTGTGACTTGTACGGCGACCAGATAGCTCTGGTGAGGTCGGTGATGGCGGAACATATGAAGGATCTGATCTAGAAGACCTCCGGCTGACAGCCTGACTCAATGCAGCTGGAGGTAATGTGAAAGCATCTCCGTCGGGCTTATCTTTGATGATGAAGCCACCTGACATAGCTGGTGTTTGAAGTCCTGACATTATGAAAAGGGGGGAGAATTGTGATTTGCGTACAAAGTAAAGAGTAAGGGGTCCAGACTATATAACTGTGAACGTCAAGGCTCTCTATAGATGGTGTCGCGTGCTTGTGCCCACGAGCCATAATGGACGATTCTGATTGGTTGCAGCGGAGACTCGTGCCTCAGGGAGCAACGGGCATTTGCTGGAGAAACAAGTGGGGCCTGGAGAGGTTATCGGTAGGTACTAGGTACTTATAATTAAAGTAGTGAAAAGGGGTAACCCCAATGTATTCAGTACTTCCTCCATCGATTGAGGTAGCCCAGCACGTGCATTAATTGGACAGTCTGTCCTCAGATTGCACAAACTCGCCTTTTTATACTTCGACATGTGCAATTATAAACAAATTCCTGATGGTTCTCAGGCAGGACAGATGTGCCTTAAGCCACAGTTACCCACTGAGTCTTCTTTTAAACATTCACGTGTCTCACTCTAGAAGAGTGGACCTTCCTCTCGACCTCAATATATGGCACGTGCTTCCTTCTTCGGCCCCGGAGTCCCCGTGGAAACGCTGGGCTTTTTCCACACAATTAAATTGTGCCAGTCCTCTAGTAAGCTAACGTAAATCATTTTTCACTTTGGGAATATCCCATTTTTACTATTTCCTAATTTGTCAGAAACGGAAACTGCACTTCATTTTCTATACTTCATATCACATGATAACACTCTATATATATATTCCGCTTATCCGATCTCATTTGTAGTAATTCTCAGGATGACACTTCTCTGTGCATTGTAAGTAAACAGACCAGCTAAAAACAAGTTAGTCAAGTGCACTCTATATATATATATATGTATAAAAACAAGGCAAAACTAACCAAAATTTCTCATCATCCGGTACAGCAATTGAGCAAGTCTGAGACTGCAAAGAACACAGGTCATGACAGTAGTTGACATGAACCCGATTATTATGAGCTGATCCCGTCGACAGGGGTGCTGTGCCCTGTGTACCCGTCGGAGTAGCACTGTGGGAGGTAGTTTCATTGGTAAGGTCCGTGAGAGTAATGCGTGCACCGTGGTACGACATATGGGGCAAGAGATGGGGCCTTGCAGCGATGGTGCTGGTCAGGGCAGCAATGCAGACGGTGAATATGGTTGTGAACTGCATGGTGGAAAAGTGTGGAGGATATGAATAATAATAAGCACAGAAAGGTGGATGTTGTTTATGAATTGTTCTTATGATGATATTGAGGCTGTGGTTGCTTGGGTTATGAGAGTCTTGTCCTTGACCAGTCCGTCTTATATAGAGACGCCTTCGCGGCTTCCATATCCTGGAGGCTGGCTTTCAATCTCTGAGCAGGCTGAGGAAAGCCTCCTGGATTGTGCAGTGTGGCAGATTGGCGGGTTTGATAGGACTGTAGTGGTAAGTGTCATGGTCGATCTTCAGGTGTACTACATTCCACATTCCTGTAGAGGACTTGGAGACACCCGCCTCACCTCACGATTTGGTAATTGGATTCATTTGTTGAATACGGTCAAATCCTCGGATCATTTCGCGATTTAGCAATTGCCATGGGTGATCAACCGCAATTCTTCGCATAGGTGGTGCATAAGGGCATGTTTTGCGCGCCTTGATGTAGTTGATGTCAACACCTCGTATAATCCGTACATTCCAGGAGAAGATCTCCAGGTATTAGCCCAATCATGCTCCAAGGCAGAAAAAAAAAAGCAAGCTTCACGTCACAATTGATTCCCTCCCGCGTTGTAGTGCATAGGGCTTATGTATGGCTTGACATGACAGGGGTACGGACCAACTCCCACGACTCGCCAGTATTCGCTTACCCAAACATAGGTTGGCCACAGCAAAGAATGTTCGAGATTACTCGGAGAATATTCTCAGCCCGAAAGAAAAAATATATTTCAGTCTATAGAAATCAACAACTATGCGTGTCTATGCCCATCAGATATGTTCCCCATTATCTATAAAACTGCGATTACTTAAAGAGCCTGTCAATAATGACCTGACCAAAGTTACCCTCCACAGGTGACCCATCCATGCGCCAAATGCGATTACCAGCACGGCTACTCAGCCAGAGACCATGGTCACTCGAGCTCTCCTCCTCACCCTCGATACGATGACGGTTACGGCGGTCAACCACACACATACCACGAGTCCACTGGCCCAAGGTCTCGACGCGAATATCCTCAGGCGAGTTCGCCGCGTAAACCCACTTCGGGTCATCGGATGTCAACGCATACCAGACGCACACAGGGTCGTGCAGACTCAGCTGAGCATCGTCGCCAACATGGCCAGGGTGCAGACGCTCCAGGGTCCGGAAGGTGTGTCCCATGAAGGCATCCACCCACTCGGCGAGCGGGGAGCCGGCAGCCAGAAGAGGTGTGATGGCCTCGCGGAACTGACCGCGCGATAGGTTGTGGCGGAGGGTTATGTCCAGCGGGAAAAGACGCAGAGTCAGTTGTCGGCTGAGGGTTTGAGGGTATGGTGGGAGCTTGTCGCTCTTTGTGGGTGGGATTGTTGTGTGCGGGTTAGGTGAGGTGAGTGCGAAAATACGCGCGGCTGCCACTGCGTCTGCGTACGCATTGAACTCGCCCAGTGGTGTCACCTATTAACATCAGTCAATCTGTCTCAATATATACTAGGGCCGGGAAAGGCTTGGCTTACATTTCCGGGCTCGTTGATAGCACCGCCCATGACGACTACCTCTTTCACGCGGAGGAAGGTCTCGGGGTCTTCTGCTGCTGCCAATGCCAGGTTAGTGAGCGGGCCCACTGCTACCAGAGTCACTGAGTCTGGCTCGTTATCGCGGAGCGCGCTTAGAATCTCCTTGTGTGCTGGAAGCTTGGATGGGGTGAAAGCGTGGTCGTCGGCGCCGGAGCACTCAGTGACAGGCTTAATTCCCTCGCCCTCCAGAGTTTTAGCGAAGAGGTGAGCCCATGCCTTGTTAGCAGTGAGGTGTGGGTGCTATTTCGACGTCAGTATTGTTTACTTGCTTCTAGGCCATAGGAAAGGCCTAGTTTTATATGGGTGCTCACATACCGTTGCGTGAATACCACCAAGTCCGTCCGTTCCATCTGCGGGGATGTCAGTAAACGGCGTTTCTAGTATAGTAGAGCTGTACATACGGAAATAGTCCGCAAGCATTTTCTGATCTTCAAGCGGGTCCTCTGCACCGATAGCCAATATAGGACGGAAAGCTCTCAAGCTGCCGAAGCCTTCGGGCTTGCCCTTCTCGCGGCGCCACTGCATCTCCCGCTCGAGAATGTGGAACATGGACACTGCATTGCGGAGACAGCTGTATACCAGGTCAGATAGTGTAATGTTCCAAATGAAACGATCACTTACCTCTCTACCTCGATGTTACCGAATGTCAATGAGATGAGGAGAACCTCTACCTCCTCCGGTGTGGCGGAGAGAGCCAGCAAAAGGGCGAGGACATCGTCAATGCCCTATGCTATGGTTAAGTCTGAAGCTATAGCAATAGAATTTGAAGGAGCATACCGGGTCAGTATCAATAATAATTTTTTTTCCCATGGTGAATGTTGACCTTCAAAAGTTGGAGGATGACAGAAGTGGGAGCTTATCAACGTTATCGGCTGCGGGGGTTTCGTCTGGCTATAAACCCGTCTTGGGCAATATATCGGACACTTTCAGGTTGTAGGGTTGTACTAGAGACTTCACTGTTATTGAAATATCTACAACGTTACAGCCGATTTTAAGCGCTCGGGATATGATATTTATCCAGTATGAAAAAATATATATTTACTAGTCCAGGTCTCGGCGACCGACGGCCCCCCGACTGCCAACCCCAACGACCCCCCGGGGCCGGCCGGTATCAACCCGAGCCTCACTGTGCCCCACCAGATGGCAGATTCAACGCCTAGGATAAGGAAAATGTCTATTTGGTAACAAGATAGTGCCTGCTCGCTAAGGTTTGCTGTGTGGAGCACTTTTGGAGGGATCAAAGTAATTAGATACTTGGAATTATCATTGGAACGTGCACCTTGAGCCAATTAATCATAACCAATGTTGCAGGACAGGTAGGATCGCCAAGCCGTAGAAGGATCTGCAGATGGCCCTCCAATCCTTCACCTTCGAACACGTGGAAATCAACACCAGTACTTGCAGCTCAGCCGCCGATAGCTCAACAGCCGTTTCATATCAGTGCCAAGCTCTTCGATCAAGCTCCCTGCTACCGGCCCCGGACTATCAGTGATCTCCGCCAATGCGTTGTAATTTGAGCCGTCGAGAAAGATTACCGCCCGCACAGTCTGGATATTGATTCATGCCTTGTCCAGGTATATTCCGTCAGTTCCCAGCAGCGTAACAACATGTGCACCGGAACTGTATCCCATCAGAATGATTCGTTCGGGATCAAAGTCTAGTTACGCTGCATTTCAACCAGGTAGCCCAGCGAGTCCGCCACCTCCTGCACTTGCTCTTCTACCACCACAGATGGGATGAGTGTATAGTTCACAGTGGCAAAGGCATAGCCCTAGTCAGTCAAATGAAGAACTTTGGCTGATCAAATCGAGTCCAAATATGTCCCTGTTCGCCAACTGCCACCGTGAACAAAGAGGACGATTGGGGCGTTGGGGGATGTGGGCTTTCAATAGCGGAGATGCTGCGCCTCTCTATCTCCATATTTCATGTCCGCGCCTCCGGTTGGTTGGTCGGTTTTCATTGCTAAAAGGAGCTCCTCTGCCTCCCTGTAATATCGTCTGTCGGTGTTTGGAAGATTCTCAGTCCAGTTATCTCTTTCCCTCGAGCTGCTATACCGATGGGAGTAATGCTAGATGCGATTGACGAATTAGTATCGGGGTATCTGGCCGATGAGCTGGTTGTGAGCCCCGTGTTTTGATTCATGTCGGCGATTATGTTGCTGGAGAATTTTATTGTGAGTTGAGCCTTGTAATGGTTTTGAAAGATACAGCAAAGGGAGTTTGAAAGGTTGAAAGGCGTTGTTTTGGAGTTTTGTGATGATTCAAGATATGACTTTGAACTATTTGACAAAGATTTTGTCGGGCGCAAAAGCGTGAGATCTTAAAGCATGCATTTTGAGATCAGGTGTCGTTCGAATATGCCCTTCATCGGTTACCCCTGCGATATCGCTAGCTGTTTCTGGGGTTTATTGACGATTTTCTAATTGCTATGATTCGATGCCACTCAAGAGACCTGGAAATAGGACTCTTGCCGGATTAGAAGTAGACAAGCTCACTGTTCAATTCAATTGCATTCATTTCCAACCTTTTATAGCTTTTACTTCTATCGCGTGCTTCTTAGATCCTAGTAATCAACCGGTCAAAGAAATCTTACAATATGGAAAGTCTTGGAACAATAGTGAAAATGCAAAGATGAGAATAAAAAAGAATACAAGTACAATATAGCCAATAGGACATAAAATGGTAAGAAACTAGTCTGATAACTATGTCGGAGACTACTTACGGAGTACAAAGTACACATTCAGGTTATTTTAAGGAGTGCATGACCCGTGAACCAATCCCAAGCCTCCCTTTAAGGTGCCGCTGCATACTGCAGGTCTAAGACTCATTGGCCAAGGTTCAACTTCACGGCATTTGCATTACTTAGACCAATTGGACCAAGTTGTCATGATACATAACTCCTTCCCACCTCGTGGTGGGCGTGAGGGCCTCCTGTAAGGGGTAAAAAACCCTAGAAGAGAGATCCCCTGCCGGATCGGCAATCTTCAATCTTCCCGAGAAAATCGATCAATCCAAATGTTGAACAAATAAACGTTCAGGAGGTCCATTTACGACCAAGAACGCGCTAGTAAGATATCGGTTGAGAGCAAAAAGCGGAGAGAAGAGAGGCGGAGACGTGGCCTGTTCACTCTCAGGTGAAAGTTATCTCAGAGCCATTAACTTTTGACATTAGCCAGAGCACTGTTCCCCGGGTATGGAGTACAATACAAAATATATGATGACAGCTTGCAGTATGGCAGTCAGTGCTGGGTAGATCTCCATACCGTATGAGCATCACATTCTTCATTTGTCCCTAAGTAGGGATATGATAGGTAGATGATCAAATCAATTTTATATAGAAACTGCAAGTAATTAAGTGAAAAGAACAAAAGACATCCCAAGTCGTCAAAGGTACAGAAATAACAAATTGACTCGAAAACTAAAGGC